ACCCCACGCAATAGAAGTCCCAGAAAAAAATTTAAGAAAAACGAGCAGCGTTCACTCCCTCAACTCGCAGCCAGAACAAGCGGCCACGTGATCTGGAGCCGATTATATGCCGCCAGTGTTGATCATAGCCACGCGCTGGGGTTGGCAAAGCGCAGGACACGCGCTGAGTTGCAGACATTGTTATGGCTCGGCTGTTGTCGTCGTTGCAGCGATTGGACACGGGTCACTACCCGAATGCTTCTCGAGCTAGCAATTATCACGAGCCCAAGTCGAGTGCCCGCGCAACGCTCGGGTCCAATCTATGAACCGCATTCAAATATCGTCACTTGGGTGTACTGCGATCCCCACGTTACGTCATCAAATTTTGCAAAGGAGAGATTGAATGAAAATGATCGCTTTTGTCCTTGAAATTACACCGCAACAAAGGAGTTCCTTGGCCAGTGGCGTTGCGTGTGGGTATCCTTGAGTCCCAGGTGTGCCAGTAAGCTCGTGTAGAGTGAAAAACATTCCAATTGAATATCGTTGCACCGGTCCTTTAAGTGTCTACCTTTTTTGCGGTTTCCACGTCTCTTGGGGATCGGGCAAGTCCGCGGGCACGGAGAGAGTAACTAAATATCAGTGCATCATATTTTAACCGGACGATGCGGAAACCTCCTCCACCGACAGGGGCAACCCGCGGTACCGAAAGCGCGCGATATGTGACGTCTTTGGTCCTAGGCTTACTACTGGTCAGAGGCGCTAAAAGCTTCTTTTTAGACGAAATACAAAATATAATTGGCGCGAACCGTTTGAATTATTTATAAAAGTAGTTTTTGTTCAGTATTTTAGATCAGAAAAGAAACAAATGCAGTTTATAAAGTACGGAAACAAGAAAGGACCCGTCGACATACCCGCCACCAAGAGGTGAAAAAGGCGGCGCATACTAGAAAGGAGTAGTGGGATCAGGCGCCGACACGGAAAGGTCCCGGATGTACGCGGCGGCGCTGCGGTCGTATCGACTGAAGGATCCGACCGGCTCCGAGCGTTCCGAAGGCCTTCGGTGAGCAGCTTTGTCTTGCGGTTCGGCCGTTTCGCGTCATGGCAGCGCGAAGTGGCTTTCATTCTGAACTGATCTGTACCCCGTGTTTGCTGTCGTTTGTGGCCAATAAAATGTCATGCCGAATTAATGTTTAATCGCGCAGCAAATGCAATGAGAGCCGCTCTGGCTGCCCGCTGCATACAGCCTATCCAGAACATGCTTTAGTGGCGCCCTCACGAGCCGTCGACACGGAGTGCGGCAGCCGTGAGCGCTCGCTGAGCTCACTACCCCTCCTCTAGTTCACGGCACATCAAGCAACCAAGGACGTCATGAGGGAGGTTATTTTTTGCTTGTTTTTGTAATATTGGTTTGCTATAACTTTTAAAATAAAGCGAAATTCGGGAAAAGAAAAGTTTCATTATGTTACTACGTTCAGTGCGCTCAGGTTCGCTTAACCCCTCGCCGCTGACCTCGCGCCCTTGTGCGTCGGAGACGACTCAGACGAGTGGCCGACGCGCTGACCCAGTCAGGCAGTTGACGTCCCCTCCTGCCGGGACTTCCTCTTCGCGGATCCTTGACCCATGGGTCAAGGATCCGCGAAGGTGCAAGGCCGCAAGGGCTGACGGAACAATGGCGGCATTTATTCGCGACGAGTTCGGGTCTTCCGTAAACTACCCTGTTTTTTTTCTGGTTTTTATTTTCTGTGTTTTTTAAAGAAACATTTAGGTTTTCGCGCAGAATGTTTTAGGCTTGCTATATGGGCTTACATACAAAAATGTCAAAAAAGCGTAACGTGTAATTTCCCCGCAAACTTTAGCTCTGACATTGAATCTAGATTTACAATTCGCGTATGAATATGCACCAATTCAATAGCACACCAGGTCAATTGCACACCAATTCATTTATACACCAATTGAGGTTTTCCCGCTAGATGTAGCGGAGAAACGAGAGGTGCTCCTCATTCTGTGCGACTCGACTTTATCGTATAGATATGGTGCCTGGAACGCGTCTCCGACTGGTGTGTTTAGTGTCCTATGCTGCCCATACATCAAAAGTGGTCCCCAAGTGGCAACAAATGACGTCACAGAAGCCGGAGTGTCATGCTGTTAACTGTCGCGATCCTGGCGGTTGGACGTAGAAATGCCGGCGAAAAGCGCGAGCGAACGCGAGTGTCGCTGTCGTCACGGCGTCTCAGGCGTCCCAACTTTCGGCTGCTGTAGCTTCCGTGGACTGTCACTGTGAAGACCGACCTGCAGCATAACAGGCGTCTGCCACACACACCACAGCTGCTGACACACCACCAGGGTCGCGACCGGCGACAGCATGACACTCCTATGACGTCATCAGGCGGAAATCGAGGGACCACTTTTTTGGGCGCGGTAAACACACCAGTCGGAGACGCCTTCCAGGCACCATAGTATAGATATCAAGCCCACACCTACATTCGGCGGCTCCCGGCATCGTCCGCAGAATCCAGGCGCCTGGAGCGCGCGTCTCTGACTGATGTGGTGTTACCCAACACCACTTAGATTCACGTCATCGTTCGCGGATTCGCGACCCGCCCCAAGCGGAAAACAGGGTGAAGCTAGACGAGAACCTGCCTGCGAGTCCGCCGATTGGCGTTGCCGCGTCCTAGCGTCGCGCTCGTTCTGAGACGCTGCAAAAAGCGCTGCAGTACCGGTCGCTGCTGACGCAAGCTAGACGCGGAGCTGCGGGGTCACGCGCGTCCAGTGAGCCATCCGTCGGGACTTTCAGTAAATATCTCTTAAAGGTATCCCTTCACATTCATAACAGCCGATGAAACACACGTTATTATTATTATTTTTTTCTTAGGTCAGCAGTTACCGTCGTGTAAGTCACAGCCACCGTTGCTGAAATTTTAGCACCTCTTATCAAGTGTTTAGATACAAAAATTTCAATTACATTTACTTCTATATTTTTAATTTGCTACTTTACTGCTACTTACGGGTACACATCCGTGGCCGTCACAACAAAGCGACAGTATTGACACAATTTCAACGCTCACTGACGTTTATGAACTTCATTCTTTTTCAGCAGGTTATTTTTTTATTTAGTTATTTATTTATACTGCCAGGCTGTTGAGGCCAAAGAAGAATGAAGTGAATAATTTGAGTAGAGACGTACATTTTTCACTGAAACAATACAACAATAATTTATGTACACATCCTTGTTTTACATCATATATTCAACTCCATACTACGAAAACTTTTTTTTCTTCAAAATTTGATAAAGCCTGTATGATTTATAACATAATTACACACATTTATAGACGCCTGTAATAAGGACTAGATCAAGGGTTGAAAAAAAAAACTAACATAACCATAGCTATATTCCCCAGATAATGACGTATGCATTAACCACTTGGAATAATCCCTTCATTTTTTGCGATAAATAAAACGAAACAAAGCTCGCAATTTCGGTTCCGTCGAAGGCTGCATATCGGCAGCGGTGGCGTAGTCCGAACTGGCTGATGAGATCGGTGTGCTGTATCTGTCGCTCAGCTATCAACTGGAAATCCTTACCTCGTTTCGTCTCCGCTTCGCGTGAGCTCCTCGGATTCGCTGAGGTGTCTGCCTCTTCTGTAGAAACATGTTCAAAACTGCTGGACTAGCAACCATTTATTGAAAATAAACCTCTTCTTCTTCCAGTCCCATTAGTTCCGAGATATGAAACTAATGGCTGTGGAAGATGATCTTCAGTAAATGGTTGCTAGTCCAGAAGTGTGTTTGTCCTCTTCTCTCTCTCTCTCTCTTCGCGTATCATCCTACGTTCAGCTGGCATCTTTCAGAAGCATGAATCACCAACTAGCTCAGTATCGACGACGTACGACGCCGGAATTTGCGAGTCGAGGAGCACGTGCGAGGAACCTTTCGTGACGTCATGTTTTCCCTTTGCCTTTTACTCTCCCACTACCGCGGAGGGGCGTGGTTTCAAGGCAACTTCAAAGGCGTCTTTCTAGGTGATGCGGACATGAAATACCATACTTTTTGTGATATTCGTGATGCTTGGATTAAGATTAAAAGTATTTAGGTGGTCTTAATCAAATTCAAAACCGCTTCAGCTTCCCTATAAACAGTGTTGCACGACTTGTCTACCCCAAAAATACAACAAAAAATAATATTATTTTAAATATCTCAGGTGAAAACGAGTACAGTCTGTTATCACAGCCATTTTAAGAAATGCAAGGCGTGATGTTTTAGATTTCAGAAAACAATTACCAACATTTGTGCAATAGATAGATAGTTAGTTCGTTAAAATGTTGCACCCTTTTTGCGATAGGCGGTGCCAACTCGTTTTCAGTGTGTACAGAGAGCCTAGATTTAAGAGAGTGAACAACTCAAACGTTAGAGAGCGTTTGCAGCAATGTAATGGCGGACACTTCCTGTGCAGAATGCTTGCACGCGCGCGCGTCGCCTTGTCACTTGATAAGGGGAAAAGCGGGCGGAGACGTTTCCGGACGATCAACAACATCTCCGTCACCTCAGCGCAGCTCGTATTGCAAACGCTATCCATAAACCACGGGACGTCGATCGAGACGGTTGATACGCTCTCACATCTAGGCGCATTAACTTTTTGAAAAACTTGTGAATTGAAAGTTAGGAAAGTCGAACCTAGTTGCGACGTTCCTACTTATAAAGTATGTTCCTCAACTCCAAGGAAGGCGACGCCACCCAACGGAGAAGACGGCCATTACCGCGCCTATCTAAATGCGCGGCATACATTTTTTTTTTTTTTTATCGCAGCCTGGTGGCCGAGTTGTGAAACGGAGGGACGGTGACCAAATGCGTACTATTGAAGTTGCGACCCCCGTTCCCCGCAGATAGTTGTGTAGTTCTATTTTTTTTTTTTCGGACGTGCAGTGACGGATAGTGTCTGCCTCTCGGGATACTGTTAGTGTACGATGCGCTGACTTCAATCGACGTCCCAGACTGAAGTAGTACTCTTTTCTTGTCCTTTGCAGAGATCCTTCACGCTCATCTTGGAGGCTTTAGATCACAACAACCAGAGCCAGCCACGTGAGTGTCTTCTCTTTCATTCCTGCTATTTCATATACTCATTCATTTGTTTGTTCGTTTATTAATTTATATTTTATATCAATAAACAATGAGTGCTCAATTAAAACTTGTTGTTGGCCTAGTTCGTTCATGATGCAGTCTAGAAGTTTACAGCCACAGCCATAGAGGATAACAAGGTATGTAATTCGGCGAGTGCGGTGCGTAATCAGAATAAATAAAACAGCCCAAAAAAGGACACAGGCACAAGTAGAGGACTCGTTCGTGCGTCCTTTTTCGCGCTGTTTTCGTTTATTCGAATCAAAGATTATAGTCTGGGGTCTAATAGCAGAAAAGACCTTCCAACGTGGAAGGAAATATAAGCGAACCATGAACTAAAAATATCATACAGGAAAATAACGACGCAATATATAACGATAGATGTCTCTGATCTTGAACGCGATATGACAAAATCTCTAATTTGACCAATCTGCGAGGTGTAACGTTCAATGAAGTCACGTGCACTGTATACAAGGCCTGCACTGACGTCATATCAACTCTCATTGTGGTGGCCATGCCGCTGAGCGCGCACCTTCGGGAGCATATATTTCGCACCACGGATTTCGGTTTTTATACTAATGGTTCTCCGTAATTATGACTTAGAATAACTGGTATTGTCAGCGATTCGTTGCATTTCCGAAAATGTGATTTCAAATAAGCACTACGCATTATTGCTCCTCTGTCAGCGAGAGATGCATCTTTAAAATTAACATCCGCCAATCTGTGCGTGTGCGTATGTATGTTTTCATGTGATTTTAAGAGTTACGTCGTGGACGTCCTCTCTGCGATACGAGCGATACTGCGATCACGTCCTCAGTGTTTGTGCTTACGCTAACCACAGCATTAAAACTTCACACTAATTGTTGCATGACAAAAAAAAAAACGAAAAAAAAAGTTCGCCATTTTTTTTTACTAATTTTCTGCGATTTTTTTGCCACCACGCAATAAATAGTTGTTGAGAGACGACACAGATGCCGATCAAAGATAAACAATGCCACCGGAAATATCTATAATCAAGATTATTTTGCGACATTTAATGGCCGATGGTGTTGTCCTTATATTTATTTTTCTGTAATGTACACCCTCCAAGCACGTAGCCAGGGGGGGGGGGGGGGGGGGGGGAGGCCATGGGGCCCGCCCCCCCCCCCTCCCCCCGAAATCTTCAATTTTGCTGGGACCCTCCTCTCCCCCCTCCACCTCATACAGCATTTTGTCATGGGCGCCCCCCCCCCCCCCCCCCCCCCTCCCGAAACAAAATCCTGGCTACGTGTCTGACGCCCGCTAGTATAGTCACTATAGCAAGGTGAGAACGGCAGGGCGTCTCTATCGAACGCCCGGACTCCAGCGCGCGCTGGTTGCCTTCCGTCGTGCTTTGACTGCGCGCGAGCACGCTCGAGGCTGGCGAGACGCCCAGGCGTCATCGACGGCGGGAAGCTCGCGCTGCAAACGTGGAACAGCTGAAACTCCTCCCCTGCCCTTCTCACCTTGCCACTGAGTATATGAGGCAGAGAACCGTTCCTATAGCACAGTAAACAAAAGTATAAATACAAATACTGCACTGTGCCCTCTATCTATATAAACAACAAAACACAACATTTACGGCTGTGGTGGAGAACAATGATATGAACGTGACCAAGAGACCAATGACAACGTATATTGTGGTAAGCTCTATGAGCCATCTAAAATGTATAAAAGTATGTTTATCAAACAAATCATATATGAAATGTATCTTTTTCTTAATAGGGTACTTCGATCTCTCGATCAAATTGTCACACGCAGAAGAGCGCTTTTTAAGGAACGAAACGGACGCTGACGACGAGTCTCGGCCTTCCTGGCGTGTGCCGCCGCGTCTTCTCAAAGCGTTACCAAATCCTTTTCTCCAGCTGTGCTCCTTTTTTTTTTTTTCCTGTATTTTCTAAAGTTTTTGGCAGATGGGGACGTCTTTTGAAAGAGTCGAGGCGTCCTCTCCTCGGCCTTTCGTTTTATTTATCATTATCTATTGTTTTTCTGACCTTTCTGGCTGATGTTCATCTCTTTTAAACCTCACTGTACACTGTACCACGTGACGTTCCAAAATTTGTGCGAGCCTCCGTGAGCATGCAATTCACCGTTAAAACTAGCGTTTTTATTAAGTCACACGAGGGAATCGGCGCTATAATATACTACGAATAACGCTTAGAAATGCAGTTTATAATTTCTGCTCACCGCGTGCCGTAGAAGAAAAGCAGTCGAAACGACGTCTCTTTTACGTCATTTCAATGCGCGGAGAATCGGAGCCGAACGAACGCCTATTTCATCGGTACATCGAGACGAAGTTGTATGCGTCCTTGAAAAACATGCGTTTTACTAAGGAAAAACTCCTCCTTTTTATTTATCATATGAGCGTGCGTGCACGTCACACTGCGTGCATATGTCACACTGCTCATACTTCATAGAAATTACAGGAAGATCCATCGGTGAATTCTTGGGGAATCAGTTAGGTTGACCCTTTGGGAAATACCACACACGTACCCCTTTCGGCTTTGTCTGTTTTGGCTTTATCTTTTGCTTCCTCTATTTTTGCTGCCTCTTTTTGGCCTCGTTAGGGGTCAGTGTTGGCGCTTCCCAAAGGTCAAGCTAACGGATTCGCCGAAAATCCGCCAACAGATCTTCCTGAAATTTGTTTCGCCCCAATTTCTGCACTCTGTCTGCCAGAGTTTGTCAACACCCTTGTATACGGCCATCCATATCACCCGTGGAAAGAAACATATCCATACCGCTCGTGGAAGGAACCACATCCATATCACTCGTGGAGGGAACCGCATCCATCGTTTTAACTGCACAAAAACATCACAGCCCACGCGCCGCTACTACGAAAGCCCAGAGCGAAGAACAACCGGCGACGGCAGAGCGGCAACTGAGCACGCCCGCATTCCACCGCGCCGCGGCGCGACACCTCCTAGATAACAAAGCCGTTGTGCTGAATGAGATGGCGTCATCAGAGAAGGCCAACGCTGGGCTCAGATTGGACACGACGATTCCGTCAACGTTCGGCTCAAACTTGACTCAAAGCCGAGCGCTGGCGCAGCACTCGTTTCCAATCTGTGTCCAGCATTGGCCTTCTCTGATTCAGTCGTCTCATTCAGCACTTTGTTATCTAGGAGGTGTTGCGCGGCGACTCCTCCTCTCTGGCTCCGTGCCAGCTGTGCCCGTGACTTGGCCGAAAACGAAAGGGCTCGTTTTGACGAAAACCCGGCGGTGTCTGTCAGTTTGTCAGCGCCGGGTTCAGAGGGAGAGGTTGACACGTGACGCGGTTGACGCACGCGACAACTGACAAAGGAAAGACACCGCCGGGTTTTCGTCAAAAGGGGCGTTCTAATGCTAATGCATTAAAGAAGACAAGGTGTTTCCGGCAGACATGATTATCTGCCGACATGCCTCAGTCATGTTCGAGGCACGTTCCAGGCATGTGTGTGTATGCTTCCAACATGTTTACAGAAGGCTTTTGTACAAATGTGATAGGAGCGTCACTCAGACGGTGTCCGCAGACTAGCTTCTTGTATGATGCATAGGGTGTCTGAAGTCACCAGGCCCGATGTAAAATATGGATCGTAAATATCGACGCCTGCACGAAGCGACCTGAACTTTTCGTCAAAGATGTATTTCACAGGCCCGTTTTTTCTTTAAAAATTATAAAGCGTAGCGCCCTTTCTGCAAAAAATAGGGCCAAAAAAGTTGCCAGGGTCAACGACGGCGGCGACGCAGAATACCGAGTGGAGCGGCGGGGCGCGTTTGGTTCACGTATTGATAGATGGCGTCGGGAGCAGCGTCGGAACGTGCCGCCGACCAGCGAAAGAAAGCAGACGAAACGTAGACGAAATACGTCGGCAGCAAAAACGCCGTCATTTTGCAACCGCGTTTTTTTTTTTTTTTTTTTTTTTAATCTTTAAGCTTTGCTTTTATTGTCCGCATTTATTTTTAAACCAAGGGAACACTGCAAAAATACTATTTTCATTTTAGCAAATCATGGTCGTCGCGATCAGTATCGATAAGGAGGTCGCGCCATCTATCAATACGAGCGCCAAACGTGCCCGGCCGCTCGACTCAGTCGTCTGCGTCGGCGCCCGCCATTGACCCTGACAAGTTTTTTTGGTCTTATTTTTTACAGAAACGGAGCTACGCTTTGCAATTTTACAAGAAAAACGAACCTGTGAAATACACCTCTGATGAAAAGTTTAGATTGCTTCGTGCTGGCGTCGATTTTTACGGTCCATTTTAGATCGACCCTTGCGACTTGAGACACCGTAGCAGTGAGAACGAGGCTTAAAGGGAGAGGGGGGCAGGCTCTATTCGTGGAACTCATTCCAGATGCCAGGCCATAATAATCGAAGACGAAGCGGCTTCGTTAGACCCCAAAATTTCTCATATTTTTTTATCGCCGCACGTCGTCCGTCTGGTCCGTTATTTCTCCAGCCAAGCGGAGGCACGAAAAACACGGGCCAGGCCTTGTTCTTCTCCGGGCGATTGGGCCCAGGCTCGAGAGCGGGAGGGGTGCATCGAGGCGGGCCGCGCGTGCACGTGCACGAGCATTCCGCTCGGACGCGTCGGTCCGTCAAGGGCAAGGTTGAAGCGCGGTCGTCGACCCCCGGGGGCCGACCCCGTCGTTTTTTAGCGGAACCGCGGGCTACCACCGCACGTGGCGGATGTCTCCCGAAATAATTGCCGCCACAGCAGGTCCCCTTCTTTACGGGAAAACCCGGAAGTAAAAAAAGCGCCCTCGGGAATTCGCTTCCCCGCCCTTCCTTTTTTTGTCTCTTCCGACGAAGGACCCAAAGAAGCCGATAAAAAAGGCCGAGAGACACGAGTCGACTTCCGGTGGCGCGTGTCCGAGCGGAGTCTTCGCACGTGGCGGTTAACTGTGCGAGAATCAACGATTTTTTTTTCGCGTCGAACGCTGGCATCGGAGGAGGGCGTCGCCATATTGGAGTTCCCCGTAGTTGCCCAATAAAGCAAACCCCGATCCAATTTGTATTTCTCTCTCTCTCTTTCACGGGTATCCTTCTGAAGGCATTTAATTACTCGCGAAACTGGGGTGTAATGCTCCTGTTTCACCTGCACAGCGGTCTGCTTGACGGGCACCTCGAAGGACCTCAAAACGAACTGCTTCGAAGAATTGGCTTTCCGGCGCACGCCGAGGGGCACGCGCAGTCCCCGAAGTGTAAGCTTTCGCAGAACAGACGCGACTCCTTCGCAGCCCTAGGTTTGTCGCTTCGAAAGGCGACTAAAGCACACGCAAATACGTACGAACGCTGAAAGTGGCACTGGCCAAAAGCCAGTTTCTGGAATGGTCTATCGACTAAAACACAGTTTACAAACAAGCCCGCGCCATAACTCTTGCCTCCCGTGCCAAACGGCGCCGTTCGGTACGTTTCCATATGAGCTAAGCCTTTTTCTTTCTTTTGTTTTACTTTTTTCTCGGGTATGTTTGCTCTTTCTAAATTTTATATAAAAAAAATGCACCATCTGTGGGCAACGCTGCACAAAATCGTAGCACGAGAGGTTAAGAAACCGAATTTTGCCGTCGATTTAAAAAGCCTGGCCGCTATTTGAGACACCTTGTGGATTGAAATTAGTACTTCCAAAGGTAATCAGATGACTCTCGCGATTACTTCCCAATAACTGTAATCAAACTATTACAATATTACTCCATAAAGTAATCGATCACAATTAATTTGATTACTCGTAACGAGTGCCGTCCAAGTCTGGTATAAGGTCAATGACAGCTCAAAAGACGCAGCGTGCAGATAGTCCCGAGCACATGATCATTGCCCGGCAGCCAATCATAGTGCGGCACGGGCCGATAAGAACGCCAAAGGACCAATCAGAAAGCGAGAATGCGTGAAGGCAGCATGCCATACCCCGCGTTTCTACTGGCGACTCGGGCGAAATCGACGGCACCTGGCGGCTAGAACTGAAAGCTGTGGCGGCGGGTTCGCTCGCCGGCAGTGCACTCTGCCTGACGGTGTGAAGAGGGAGCCGTGAAAGCAGGTTCCAAAACGCGCGGTAGAAAATGGCCAATATAGAGCAGGCTTCACCCGCTCTGACGTATCTGGGGTTCTCCAGTCCGTCCAAGAGATATCGACTTCATTTCATTTCATTTATTTATCCCTTAAATGCCCACGTGGGGCTACGTGACTTGCTACGTGAACCAGTTTAGAACGCAGTTCAAAGCCCAACCCTGATTCAATGTATAGTTTAGAATTTGCAGCTCAACTAGGGTGACCACCCGTCCCGCGACTCGCGGGGCTGTCCCGCATTGAGGGCTCGTGTCCCGCGTCCCTCGAGAAATTCCCAAATCTTCAGAATGTCCCGCATTTCATACTGTCGTAAAATTCACTCTGCAACTCATGGTGCTGCCGAACAACGGGTCACGGGGAAGCGCGGAGGTCGCTGGCAATCGTGTGAATTGCAATGGTACAACATTTTCTATCCAAGAACTGCGGGAAGCGACCCTCGTTCTTGCAGGAGAACTGACGCGCATGTTCCGGCTTTCCGCACTAACTACTACTACTCTCCCCTTAGCGGCAAAATATTGTAAGAAAAATTGCTCGCCAAAAGTTTAAATATAAAATATCGTAATTATTCTTAAATCGCTGTGTCATGGCTAAAAAGCTGATGTAAATATTTTTTTTCTTCTTTTCTTGTGAAGACAGCCACTCAAGGCAAAAAGACTGCAACTCACAACGGTCGAAAAAGAACATATTGTTAAAAATTTGTGTAGGACCATGTTGATAAATGTAAGAGTTGACAGCAAACAATAACCCGAAAAACATGTATTGTTTTTCTTAATTTCATTTGATGCAATGAGTTCTGCTGCAGCTGATTTTGATGCTTTCAACTTCGACACATTTAATAACATATTTGGCATAAAAATATATCGCTGGGAGTGAAAATGATTTTAGCCTAATTCCTGAAATACAATTTCAGGTGTATAAACAGCTCATGATGGTAAATGTGGTAACAGAGCCTCGGTTCATGGTGTGCTTGTTTACATATCCCAATCCCCCCCATCCCATCCCATCCATCATCCCCCCCCCCCCCCCCCCCCCCCCCCCGTCGTGTCCCGCATTTCGCTAGCAGGAAGGTGGTCACCCTAAGCTCAACTCGGGCGCCGATCATTTCTGGTAACGTTTTCCAGTAGACGATGTAGTCGTGGGAAGCTGTCTTTTGAGTAAGGATCCATTTTTCTACCAACTGAGTTTCCGGAACCTCGGGTCGAAGTCTAATAACGAATTGAAAGACGGACAGGCGAAGAACGAAAGATATAGGTGCACGAAGCTAGCCTTAATTTCGATCACTTTCTATGGTACAACGTCAGGACAAGAGAGAATAGAACAATGCAAACATAGTAGCAGAAACAGATTACCTTCTCCTCCATAAGCAATCAAATCTATGCGCCCCCCCCCCTGTTTCTGTGTGCGCGTGTGCACGTGTGTGCGTGCGCGCGCGCGCGCGCGTGTGTGTGTGTGTGTGTGTGTGTGTGTGTGTGTGTTTATTTCATACGATGCATGAAGAAGGGACAATGACGATGCCCCCCAACATTGCCTCATCAGCCTACCTGCCTTCTTACACTTACTTTTTGATTGCTCCAGTTGTCAGACTGACAACTCGTGTTTTGCTAGCTTTTGAGAAAGTTCTCAGGATTTGCACCATGATAAAATCCAAGCGGACCGTAATATTAATCGATTTATTCAACTTTTCCGTAGTAAATCACCGAAAGAAAATGAAACTCAAATTAGGCAACAAAAATTCAGTACTTCCCTTTTAAGACGATCACCTTTATATGGGCATCCTCCATGAAACTCGATTTGCCCGTGTTGGTCGCAAGGCCATGGTTAGCAACGGAGCGAATCTCTCGAACACCATAAAGTCCCCGCCACAAGAAGCGAGGTGTCACGTGACCTCATAATGTCACATGACGTGACGATTTTCATGACGTCATGTGACGTCATGGCGCCACGCGACGTCACGATTTCCCCACAAAAATCTAGCGCGGGAATATATTCCGCGAAATTCCGATGGAAAGTGCTGCTCTTTTAACAAGCCCACCAAGTGTTATCCCATCTTCACTGCGTTTGAGAGAATAGGAAGTTTATTCTGATCATGCGCTCTATGTGACGCCCCTAGCTGTTTGGGGGTCAAGCTTTGTGGTCCTCTATTCTACAACTCTCTAATGCCTAAACCAGGCAATTTTATTAAAAATGTATAAACGCCCAAAGGACGGTTGACAGTGTCCCACCCGAAACCCGCAGACACAGACCACGTGATCGAGCGGCTAGCCTACTCCGGCCTGGTGCTGCCGAGCGCCGAGTGGCACACGTTGCGGCATCCCGGGGTCCGAGCCCAGCTGGCGTACCGGGTCCGGGTCACGTGCGCGGCCAACTACTACGGCCCGAGCTGCTGGAGCCTGTGCAAGCCCAGGGACGACCGCTTCGGACACTACCGCTGCTCGCCCGAGGGCCGCAAGGTACGCCCTCCTGTGCTGCGCTGTGTGCCTCTTTGTCACTTCTGTTAAAGACCGACGACCAGTTCCCGCTTTCCACTATTCCCTCGCTTTTTCCCCTCCCCTCCCCCCCTACCTGTTTCCTTCTTCCCCCATGGCGAGGAGAATCTTCTGCTTTGCAAAATCTCGAGTCTGGTCGTGATGGATTCTGAGTTTGCCTTTTTGTGGCGTAAACTCGATCTACGTACCCTAAACACGTCATAAAACAAAACAAAAAAAAAAGTATTAATTCAAAACACAACTAAACATCACGGCATGCTCCTTTTCTGATATATATCTTAGAAAAGAGGCGTGGTGGGATGTTTGGTTGCGTTTTAATTGGGGAAAAGGTCGCACATGATTGTAATTTTGGTTTTTTTTTAACAGGCTTATAAGCTTCTTAAAACCCCTTAAAATCAAGGGCACATAAGTTCAGTTCGGATCATAAAAATGCAATCTTAAAATCCACTTTAGTGACTCTCTAAGGCCCGTTCGCGCACTTAGGTTTGCTTATGAAAGAAATTTTCTGATCTCTTGCGATTAGAGAACACAATGGCACGCTGGCGCCATCTATGAGGTGATATTGGAACGTAATTTCACTAGAGCGACGGCTTCGCGGTATTTGCGAGTTTAAATGTACGTACTATCTATTACAAAGATTCGTTGATAAATCGCCAAATAATTAAAAAAAAAAATAATGCGCAGAAACAAAAAAAAAAATAAAAATAAAAAAATTCGGAAAAATTTGAAAATGCGTTTACCCGATAGACGGCACCAGTGTGTTCTCCCGAAGAGATCGCAAGAGGTTTTAAGGCCCACGGTCGTAGGCAATAGCAAGTATGTGAAACAGCCTTTATTTGTACGGGCGTCCAGAATTCCAATTCCGGTTCCACGGCGGCCATCTCAAGTGACTACCGAAAAGGCATTTTTTTTTAATTGATTAAAAAAATATAAAAATGGAAACTCAAAACTAGCTTTGCTAACACATGTTTTGTGTTCTTGGGGACTCAAGGTGAGACTAATAAATTCAGAGGCTAGTTATGTAATTGGATGATTAACGAGTAAATATTGTCACGCGCATCCCATTTTTCCCCGTTTTAATATTAACATTAACAGACTGCTAAAGTTACACCGCGTACACAGTAGTACAATAAAGTAGTGGACGAGAGCCTTTTTCTAAATTTTCGCTTCAAATTGCTTTTCAATAAAACATGTTGTGGTACAAACTACTTATTTCTTAAAAAATAATTTGAAACAAAAAAAAAATTCAGAAAAGCTCTCGTTCACTTCTTTATCATAATATTGAGAAAGCGTTTAAACATTATCATCGCCTTCACATTAATATCGGAGGACGAAAATGAGAAGCAAACGGCAATATGTTCTAGTTAATTATCTAATTGCTGCATTAATCTGACTAAAATTGCTTCCCCTAGAATCCTCAAAAACACAAAGAATGTGTTAGCGAACTTACTTTTGAGTAAGCATTTTCAGATTTCTTTCGACGAACTACATACCGTTTTGTAGCCATACAAGAATGACCCTAGAGCAGGGTTGGGCAGAAATACTCAAAAATGTATTTGGAAATACAAATACTGGGATACATTGAAATAGTAGCTAAAATACTGATACTAAAATACATCTGTAAAAATGTATCGCGATACGTATCGGATCAGAAATGATAAAAGTTACAAATGAAGTCAAAACACTGGGAATAACTTTTAATCAACATTTAAGCTGGAATGCACACGTGGACCGTGTTGCTGGGACCTTGGCAAAGGCTTGCGGTATACTTTGTAGATTCAGACAAATACTAACAACTAAAGTCAAGCTAATGCTCTACAACTCTCTTTTTGCATCCCATATAAACTACTGCAACCTTGTCTGGGGAGTGACGTCGCAAGCTAACAAAACTAAGTTGCATTTATTACAAAAAAAAGCTATTCGTCATATAGTAAATGCCCCATACGATGCCCACACAAAAGAATTATTTGCTTCACTCAATGTGCTTCCCTTCCAGCACTTATACAATTTTAATCTAATAATGAAATATAAACTTAGCATTAAAAATAACAATTCCACTTTTATCAAGTTGTGTAACCTTAAAAGGCCTCATGATGCATCGTATAATATTAGAAAAAAGGATTCCTGGCTGGTACCCTTTTCCCGTACTAATCATGGGTTAGACAGGCTGCAACACCGCATGCCTAGTTGTCTAAACTCTTTAGAGAAAAGGAACCTTGATATACACACCATTTGTAAAAAACATTGAAAGAACACTTTTTCACACAGTGAATAATTGTGCAAAAATTTTGTTGTATTTGCTTTATATCTTTCCTGTATAGAACTGTCGGAATACATGTTTTAGTGTGCACGATGTCAGTATTAGTTTATATTTGATGTAAATTGATTACATGTATATTTTTCATAGTTTGAATTTCTGTGTATATGTCTTGTCAATTTTAAACTGTCGGTTTGGTTGTTTCTTATGCCAAGGTAGGGGCAGGAACCCCGTCAAGCTACTGTATTGTAGCTTTTTGTTCCTGCCCTGGCATTTTTTGTTCGACAAGGAATGTCAAATAAAGAATTTGAATTTGAATTTGAAATACATTTTAAAAATAGGCAAAAAGTATTTGGAAATACAAATACAGGAATACATTTTAGGGAGGGAAGAAATACAAATACAGAAATACTGATAGTGCAATACATTTTACAAATTTTTTGAGACTCCAACTGAGATGAGGCTTAAAGTTTGAAGTGGATGTTTTCGATCCCGAAATTACTTTCCTGTATAGCTTGGCACTTTGCCTTGATTTGGGACGACAAGGGGTCTTCAATGTGCCCAAAAAAAACGTTCCATCAAGGGCTGACCGCGGTCCCTTCCATGACATCCTGTCTGTCTGACGAGGGAATCCTGTCAACATTGATCACATGATGTCACGGTGGAATGAACTAGTATTCTTTATCTGTATGTGTGGCCTTGAACATGAAACTTTACCACGCTGCTGTACGAAAGGACAATACGTACTTTCGTTGTAGGTTACCTAGTTGAAGATCGTGAATGCAGTGTCATTTGGAATTTTCGAGAATAGTGGACCACCTGAAGGATCTTGGAATACATGTCTTTTCTTCTGTTACGGTTGAAAAAACGATACGGTAGCATCCCTGTTATGAAGGTCCTTACTACCGACCCTCCGCCACCGACGCACGGATTGCAGTCCTGAAGTTTTGCCTAGCATTATCCAAACAGAGACCTCGTGGATTGCGAGCTGATATTACCGTACAGGTACGAGCTGTCCGAGAAACAGCGGTCCCGAGAGGGGTCGCGGGAGTGCGTAGTCTGGGATGGCACAGCGAGGCCACGTCTGTCCTGCTTCCTGGGTCTCGGATCACCAGACCAGCGGGTCACGTTCACGTCGGCTGATGACGTGCCCTTGAGCCGTGCAATGTTACGGGCGCAGCCGCAGACGCATTCGCATATGTGTTGAACTTCACTGCATGAGTCATCCTACTACTTCAAGTCAACCACCGCCAGGCTCGTGCTGCAACGGACTGTAACTCAGCATTGCCGGCTCGGTGTACTTTGTACGCTAAGGCGAGAGAGACGGTTAGCAGCGGGCATTGGATGCCAGCAAACAATGACTCAAGAAATCCCTACCTAAGGACCTGCGGCAGACGCTCTGACTCCACTCCTGGCACGCCACCTGGTTGGAGTCCCCGACTACGGAACACTTCTCAGTTGAGATAAGAGGACGCATAGAAAAATAGTTTGCAGAATCAAAAGGAACCTTGGTCAGCATAGTAACAATGCCCCAGCATCTCCTTTACTCTGGTGCCCTCAGAAGTAAAAAAAAAAATGCGTTCGGACTTGTTTTTCCTTTTTTTTTTTTTCGGGGGGGGGGGGGGGGGGGGGAGGAGTATTTCTCAAGAAATGTAACGAAATACATTTCATCCTGATTGTATCGCGATACAAAGAACCATTCCAAATGTATTTCGATACAGGAATACAGATACTGGTGAAAAAAATGTATCGCGATACAGAAATACAGATACGAAATGTATTTCTGAAATACTATCGCGATACATTTGTATCGCGATACTGCCCAACCCTGCCCTAGAGGCACCGGGGCCTTAATCAGGTGGCACCACCACCGTTTGCGTGACAGCGCCGTCTCCCGCCACGTCTTCGCACTCTCGGGGCGGTAAAAAGAAAAAGAAAAAAACTACGGCCTCAAGGCGCCACCGGTATCACAAAAGCGTTAGGTACTTGCATTTAAGACAGGGACCATCAAGAGCGTTTGCAAATTAATTGCGGACGCCTCCTGCGCAGATTGGCCTTGAGTGCGCATGCGTTGTCGAGTGGCGAGAATGAAAGCGGGCGGAGAAGCGGAGAACGCACGATCAAAGCCTTCCTGACCATTCGAACGTTTTCGAGCAGTTGGGAACACTCGGTAACCGACGCACACTAGATCGGTGATTGCAAGCTATAGGGTCACCTCTTCATATTTGTTTTGCAGGGTGGTTGCTAAATTGCTGCGACGCGACACAGCTCGTATCGTGAAACTTTCGTATCGAGGACCCGTACGCTTTTATATGAGCTGTTACGAACTGCGGGGCGGCTGGGACCTTCTTCGCCAAGTGGCTGTTGAAGAACTTCTTGTCTCAATCCTCCTCTTTCACGTGCCGTTTTTTTTGTTTTTTTTAATACACAGAATTTATATAGGGGTAACCGTAAGGATTTCCTGTCCGTGGCATCCAGCCTCGTGACGTCATCCCACAGGCGCCCAAAATGCGTAGCGTAGTTAGGTCGTGCGTGACGTCATGGTGCTACGTGACGCGAACTGACGTCACGTCATTTGGTCACGTGACGTCAGGTGGCACCATGGAGTCACGTGACGCTGTGGTGGCTTTATACGTATATCCACGAAAACATAGCAATGTTCCCCCGAGTGGCCTCCTTACGGTGCCCGCAAAAGGGTAGCGTAAAGAGACCTTATGCTATGCATTTGAACGCCTTAGGGTCATTCCATGCCAAAGGAGACGGCAATTTTCGTCATATTTTGGATATGCTTGAAAAAAATAATATGAATAAAGACACATTTGAAAGTAAGGATGGCTAAGTTTGAGGGCTGAATTATGTTTATTTTTGCTGACGTCATGCTCCAAAGTGCCGGGAATTTGAGAAAACCTCCTGTATTTAAAAAAATTGCTGAAAAAAAGCTATTCTTACCACATAATTTTACGTTTGCACGCAATCAAGCATAAATATATTCTATCTTACCTTGAAAGGAAAACACGTTACGCCGCCATTTTGGGTCCAGACAGGCACTCCAAACCGAAGCAAATTTTTAAGATTTCTTGATTTTTTTTAGACAAGTTGAAATTAAAATTTGACTAAGAAAATTTTTCTACTTATTTTTATAAACCTTATACTCGACTAGGTTGCATTACAACAGTAAAAAATTATTCGGACAGTTTTTAATTAAATGGTGAATATGACACTTTCTTCAAAAACTGTCCTATAGAGGGTAAAAAAAAAAAGCCACGTGGGCAACGGTGCTCGCATTTTCTGAAATAGCCAAAAGTTTAACCGACCCCATCTGTTCAACATATAAAAAAATTGGAAAAGTACTTTTTGATATTTTGGAGAAATTATTTTTTTAAATATGAGGCAGAACAACATCGCCTCCAGGTGTCCACCTCGTCGGCAACGCACGCCGTCGTCTGGTACGGTCGAGCGAAACACTGCACGGGGAACTTAATTTCGTTAACTATATTTGTATAGCTAACGCTAAGAATCTTGACATTATGACATGTCTACTTATAGTGACTAGAAGGGGGATATATATTTTTTTTTTTTTTTATCTAAACAATATGTTTGGGTGCGCTTGCAATTGAACAGCGACAACTCGAATACTGTTTGGGATACTTTTTATCAAAGCTGAAACAAATCGCATTTGTAGTTCATCGACATTTCTTTTTTTCTTATGTAGATGAATGCAATATATAGTCCAGAAATACTATGTACAGATGTCACTCAGATAAGATATCAATATACCAGAAAGGGCAGGCGGATACTCATATTTAGGGGTTTTCGATAGGAGCACAACACAACTTTTTTTCATATAGGGGAGACATATATTTTACAAGTGGTAAACACGCAACATGCTTTTGTTGTGTTATAACCTTCGAATGGCCGTTGGCCTGAATATCCACTCTTAATGTTCTGTTTCTTTTAATGTTTCACTCTCTGTGTTTCAGTTGCACTATGTATTTGCACCCCAATACCTTTTCGTTGAAAAGGACAAAAATCACCGTTATCGCTCGGCATCGTTGACGATCTCAAGCGTTCACTATTTCATTTTTTACAAGCAAACGCAGTATGACCAAAAAGGGAAGACGCGCCGTCTGCTAACCAATTTTGATGAACCGTCTGCGTTCACAAACTCGGTTAGTAGACGACGGCTTTGTCTCCAGTCACCTGAGCACATGTAAAGTGGAATTAAAGCCTTCAAATTAGCGTGTCAAAAGAATATTATTACGTGGTGGCTAAAATAACACCCACGTCCATCGAGCAGGAAGTTTTCCATGCGAATTTAAGACATCGCGGCAGACGGTTCACACCCGTGACATTCCAGACGTGCGCAGTGTTCTAGCCTATGACATGAACTGAAAGCTAATGAAACACTGATATTCTAAATGTGATATAGTATTTCTTGACTATATTTTATGTTTATCTACATAAGAAACAAAAACGTCGGTGAGCTGCAAATGTGCTTTGTTCCGGCTTTGATAAAAAGTATCCCAAACAATATTTCGAGTTGTCGCTATTCAACTTGCAAGCGCACCCGGACATATAGTTTAGAGAAAAAAATGTATGCACTCTCTAGTCACTATAAATAAAGATGTCATAATGTCAAGATCCTCAGCTTTAGCTATACAAATATAATTAACGAAAGTACCCCGTGCAGTGTTTCACTCGATCGTAGCAGACGACGGCGTGCGTTCCCGACGAGGTGGACGCCTGGAGGTGATGCCGTTCTGCCTCATAATTAAAAAATAATTTCTCCAAAATAACAATAAGAACTTTTCCAATTTTTTGTTATGTTGAACAGATGGGGTCGGTTAAACTTTTGGCTATTTCAGAAAATGCGAGCACCGTTGCCCACATGGCTTTTTTACCCTCTATAGGGCAGTTTTTGAAGAAAGTGTCATATTCACCATTTAATTAAAAACTGTCCGAAGAACTTTTTACTGTAGTAATGAAACCTAGTCGAGTATAAGGCTTATGAAAATAAGTAGAAAAAGTTTCTTAGTCAAATTTTAATTTCCAGTTGACTAAAAAAATCAAGAAATCTTAAAAATTTACTTCGGTTTGTAGTGCCTGTCTGGACCCAAAATGGCGGGGTAAGGTGTTTTCCTTTCAAGGTAAGATAGAATATATTTATGCTTGATTGCGTGCAAATTAACGTAAAGCTATGTGGTAAGAATAGCTTTTTTTCAGCAATTTTTTTAAATACAAGAGGTTTTCTCAAATTCCCGGCACTTTGGAGCATGACGTCAGCAAAAATAAACATAATTCAGCCCTCAAACTTAGTCATCCTTACTTTCAAATGTGTCTTTATTCATATTATTTTTTTTCAAGCATATCCAAAATATGACGAAAATTGCCGTCTCCTTTGGCATGGAATGACCCCTTAGCAAAATGCCATGAGACGGCCAATTTTCTGACCACATGACAGCAAATGAATCGATGTAATTAAAATGGGGGGGGGGGGGGCGGGGGGGGACGTCCAACCAAGCCCTAATTAAGGACAAGACGTCCCCATGCTTGCGCGGCCTCTTCTTCAGGGGTGACTGTGGCAATGGCCGTTGAGACTGCCATCGCCACAGCCATCCCTGAAGAGGCCGAGTAGACCTCAAAACATTGACATCGCTGTGGAGGCTACGTGCGATTTCTGTCAAACTTTCACTCTCAAAGAAATGAATTGATTTGGTTTGCCTCAAAGGTGTGCCGTCCCGGATGGACGGGCTCGACCTGCGAGAGCCCGGTCTGCCGGCGCGGGTGCCACCCGGTGCACGGCTACTGCGACCGTCCGGGGCAGTGCCTGTGCCGGCCCGGCTGGAAATCCGAGTTGTGCGACCACTGCCAGCCGTACCCGGGCTGCCGGCACGGCTACTGCAATAACACGCCCTGGCAGTGCATCTGCGACGTCAACTGGGGAGGCATCCTGTGCGACCAGGACCTCAACTACTGCGGCACCCACGAGCCGTGCTTCAACGGGGCCACGTGCGAACACACCATCGGCCAGGACAAGTACCTGTGCCGCTGTCGCCAGGGGTTCTTCGGCCGGAACTGCGAGCTGGGACAGGGACAAGGTAAGGACTGTGTGCCCGAAGGGCAATATCATACACGAGGAAAAGACATGCCCATGCCGTCGTCGTTCGAGAATCCTCGACCCGCCCCAAGCGGCAAACACGCGCATTCAAGCGCGTAAATGGGCTAGATAAAAGCATACCAGTATTAAAAAGAAAGCTTGACACAGAGCTTTTCTCATTTCAAATTGCTTACTTTGATACCCAAGCAGCACAAATTTGGCCAATCATTGGCCAATGGCTGGCAATGGTCCTTTGCTCATCGGTCAATGGCCATTGGCCAATGGTCTGCCCAGAATGCCATTGGGCAGTGGCCATTGGCCACTGGCCATCAGCCATCGGTCAAGCATTGGCCGATGAGCGGCCACTCTTTAGCCATTGGCCACAAGACCATCGCCAGCCATTGACCAAAGCTTGGCCAAAATCCGTGCTGCTTGGGTAACGGGCCCAAATGTAGCCGCCATTGCGACCTTATTTTGTCTTTCCGAGATACTGAGCCACTGAAGCAGGCATTGACGAGCCTGCTAAAGGGCCAAAGGTGGTGAGAAAGACACAGTAGAATTTAAAATGGCAATAACCTGGCCTGCAATGGTAATGATGAAGCCAAGTAAACGGAATAAGAGTGAAAGAAAAAAACTGAAGGTCGGTTATGGCGGTGCGCACAGCCGCTGCAAAGCGTCCACACACCAACTCAACTCGCTGACGTCACGCCACGCAGGAAGTGCTTGCTTCAGGTATTGAAATAATGTTCATGCTTTGCAACTATTCAATTCCTGTGTTTTTCCTTTAGAGGTGTGTCAGGCGACCATACTTTTCTTGTTTACGTTTATATGCTATCTGAAATGTTACTAACAAGTGCACCAATGTATAGGCTTGGGCTGTTTTTGGGCACTCAAAACAAACAAACAAACAAACAAACAGCGGTGGCGCTGCTGTCGACACTGCGCATGCGCAAATGGTGCGTGCCGAAGAAGATTTTGGGAGCAATTCCTATGACACCTTTAAAAAACTAGTGCACAGAAGCTTAAAAGCATTACTTTTAAGTCTTATATCACGCTGGCGTCGAACAAAAATGACGAGTTAACGTTAAGTGAATAGTCGGGTACATATTAAGAATGCAGGGAGAGCTCCACCTATAGCACAATCTTTCAACTTTCGACACCCATCTAGCGCAAGCTCAGCTAAAGCACGACGGAAGCCATGGAATCGTGCTGGAGGCGGATCCTCAACTACCTTCTCAATCTGTCACCGACCATGATAGTTGGCAGCGCATCAAATCTTTTGAAACTAGAAATTACGGGATGGGTGATGCTCGAAAGTGCTACTCGACGAATGGCACTTTGGCCGCTGTATACTTTATGAAAAATTACGTGCGAACAGGTCAGAACAGTTCATGCTCAAATATGCTCCCGCATTCGGTTTTGTAATGAGTCCTAAAATTATGTTTCAGATTGTAAAAATAGGTCAATGCCTCCTTTGTCCCCTTACGCTCGGATCCTTGAATATTGTCCACCTGTCGTGCCTCCCGTCATGTCGTATCAAAAAAGCCCCAAAGTACACATCAAGAGTAAAAAAAAAAAAATGTAATATTGCCAATTGGTAGATAACAACGTCGTGTTGATTAACGTAAAATTTGGTCATAAGAAATCCCACGGGACAGCGATGGACACTTGCAAATATACCTAAGATCTGTACGTGTCTCTCCCAAGTGTTTTTCTTTCCAGTTGGGCGGGATTTAAAGGTACGCATTTTCACGCAAACTGACGCCCATCAACGCATCTCGCGCGTCGCAGCCCAACGACCCTGCTTGGCGTCCCCCTGCCTGAACGGCGGCACGTGTAGCGAGCGCAATTCCACCTTCGAGTGCGCCTGCCTGCCTGGATGGACTGGGAACAGATGCCAGAAGAGTGAGTGGGCCGACCTCGAGTCGATTGCATTCACTAGGCCCTGGGGCTATCGCTTAGTCAATTCGCGAATCCAGCAAAACGGACGGTACCTAGTGGGAAAACTCTGAACTGAACGAAACAGGTCCTTTCGTGATTTCTGCTCGGTCCTTGAGGCTCCGTGATTACATGCTGTCGGCGGTTGGCGCGATGGAACAGTTGTTCCGGTGACTCTGTTGTTACTGTCGTATAAGCGTGTTACCTAGGTTGCTCTGAACGCAACTATACGCTAACGCCTGAACAGACGTAGTGCGTTTATCAACATTCATCCGCACCAACAGTCGTACTATCCCTTCCCCAAAGAAGGTGAAGACTCTGGAAGCTCACTGACGCTAACGCATCTCCGCAGATTTGAAACGTAGGAAATGAAAATCGGGGCAAACCCTCCTGTGTCCAATGCTTGTCTGCTGAAACCCGAGCATTGTGCGTTGATCTGGCACATGACACGGCACAACCTGTAAAAGACCGCCATATGTAACCCTCTGCTCCCGAAATCACAAACAAAAAAAAAACATGCTAAAATAGTTGCTGTTGCTACGTTGATTCTCGACGACATGCCTCATCATTTAGCGCAGGGGTTCCGACACAGGAGAGGATGGGTATTTCAACCTCGCAACGGACCGAACTCTGTTGTGTTCGGAGAGTCAGTCTGTTCTCCTAGGCGTCGAATGCAGCCACCACCAAAGCTTTCTTCGATCGCCGCCTACAGTCCGCATGGCGTTGTCTTCGAAAAGCCAATCTTCCTCTCTCGGGTGTCGGCGGTTTCGCGCAAACGGCGTCGTCGCTGCGCCTCGGTTTTAGGTTGTCGCGTACGTTGTGCATACCGGGCAAACAAAATCATGTGCCTACGGCCCCGTAAGAGGAGTGCGGATCAACAGCGGCGCGTCATTAGCGAGTTTTAGTGGACCGTGTTCCCCCTCAGCTAAGCCCCTCCGCTACCCGGAACTGTACAGCCAAGGCCATCGGCGCGCAGGCACAGTGGCGGTTTCTATGTAGCGGAGGGCTAGCGGAGGGGGAAACACGGTTTACTAAAACTCCAAGTACGCTTTCCCTCTTAGGTAAGAGGGTAAGTGTACGTAACGAGCGAACGAACGAAGCGAAAGAACACGGCGGGAACCGAGCTTCGGCCTCGCGGAACCAGTCCAGTCCAGTCCAAACCAAAGACGGCCGCATGTATTTACTAGGATAATAAATGCTAACACATTTAGAAAACCATTGATAACGGCGGGGGACTTCGGCGATCATATTTTTCAACAACCAAAAACGCGAGCCGAAGTGGTAGCATACCAACACCCCAGGGATTGAAATACAAATAAAAAATACTTCAACAAGATGTCTTTAAATGCATATACAATTACACTTTTTAAGAAAGGCGTTTAAATACAACATGCAAATACAACGAGGGGTATTTGATAATTCTCCAATAATTTTAGAAATAAAATTTGTTTTCCCAGTTTGAAATCTTAGATTTAACTTAAATTACAAATTAAAAAGACAGCGCCAAATTGAATAGTGGAGCTCATATGTACCAAGAATGGAGTGCATAAAAAGAAAGAATAAAAATAAAAGGGTTTTGGCGTTTGGTAGGCGATCACAACATTAGGAAACACGTTGTGTTCAGTGCAAGTTTATTTCCAAACGTTTAATCCAAGCACCAGAGGCTTTTCAAACAGCATATAACGTCTTTAAAAAATTAAAGCACCTAACCAAACAGTTTATAAGTCTACCCATCTTGTCCCCCCCCCCCCCCCCCCTAAATACATTGTTTTCTTCCTTCTTTTTCTTCGACGTTCATGATGCACAAGGCGCAGCAAGTTTAATGGGTTTTGCTAACACTCTTATCGCAAAGAGGAGTGCCAAAAATAGCATTTGATTGAGAACAGTGCACAACATTGTATGCTGACAGCATTTGTAATACAAGTATTTAACATACTAATTTTTTATTATTTAAACACAATCAACAAATACATTTCCTAATATGTAATTCAATACGAAATACAAAATACTCAACGTACTTTAAACACGCCTTTAAAATACTTGTATTTGAAATACTGCCTATCTCCGTATTGTTCATACAATGGGCGAAGTATAGTGGGTGATGGGTCAGCTTGAACGTACACAAACAGAAGTAGAAAGGACGAGATAAGACAAAATTGCTGACTGACAGCTTTGCTTTTATACACTTCTTCGTATGTATAATCGTCTTCTTCGGAGGATGTTCACATATGCATGCACACATTATTAGTTTTAAATTATATTTACACAAGAAACTTAATAAATTTACCGTTACCTTCTGGGCATGGCGCACCGCAAACACCGATTTTCTTGTGTGTGTCACGTGGTGATAGTGATGGACGGGGCACTAACACATTCCTCCACGCGTTCTTCAATGGCCAGTGCCTCGACTGGCACCTCATGTGCAAAAGGATTCTTGTTTGCTGCCAGAATGGTGGTGTTGCTGAATGCTGCACTGCAATCGCATGTATTACAAGGAGTAAGAAATTGCCTGCTGCTGTGCCCTCCACAGAAGCTGCATGCTCCCTAATTCTGTCGTTTATGCATCGGCCTGTTTGGCCATTGTTACCACTTACTGCACGAAAGGGGAATGTGATGAACAACTCCTGCTTGGCCCTGGGCATATCTTGTTCCGTGGGAAGTGTCGCATGTTTTCATTTGGTTTGTTGGTTGGTTAACTCTTCTGCACATAGAGTATGCTTTGTTTGGCGCTGAGCAAACGATTGGAATGTTCATTCTTCCGGCGGTCATTGTTTAGAGTATCTCCGTTTTCTTTGGAGTCTGTCCTTGTGCGTTTCAATATTTTGCAAATATTCTCACAGACCAGGGGGGGGGGGGGGGGGGGGGGGCGGGCTAGAAGAGTCGTAAGATATCCTGCATCGCATAGTTTGGAAATCTGTTTTTCAATGCTTAAACCAAGTTAATGTTCACAATATTTTTTGAGGGATTATACAAGCGCTCTGCTGGTAGCGGTTATCTTGATAGTTCTTGAGTGCCCGGCTTTCGCGTATAGTTTTAAAACTGGGAGCCATCAGATTGCGGTTTCACTTGGAGAAAGGAGTTAAGGGGCCGTTTGGCGCGGCTTCAAAGCCGATGACGTCGGCTCGCTCCATGGCATTAAAAAGAACCAAATGGCAGCGTCCCTTTCGTTCAAGTCCTACGATGCATAGAACCCGCTATAGTTAAGAAGCGAACGTTTAAACTTGTTTTGAAATGCAATAAACGGGAGTGTTAATCGTAATGCACAGGGTGTCGCAAAAGAAAATTTACGTTGTTTTTTTTTACCGCAAAAATAAACCAGACATCGCCAAACGCTCATTCTCCGCCCAAAGGTATACCACCAGAGATCACAATCAGATACCAAAGTTTCAGCCCGATCCGATACCTTAATCAAAATTTATAAGTGATTTTCTGAAAATTCTAATGGGAAAATGGCGGCCGACGGAGTTTTCGAATACATGGGGCTCTATGGCACCAGGAACCGAAGAAGGGCAAAAATGGGCTCCATTTTCCCATTGAAATTTTCAGAAAATCACATATAACTTTTGAATAGATATCGGATTGGTCTGAAACTCTGGCATCTAGCTGTGACCTCTAGCGCTACCTTTGAGCGAAAAATGAGCGTTTGGCGATGCCTAGTTTTTTTTTTTTTTGGCGGTAAAAGAAAACGTGTAAATTTTTTTTTTTTTGTGACACCCTGTATATGATTTGACGTCACGCGACGTGGTCATACGACGCTAGGTCACTGAGTCATGCCGAAGTGTCAAGTGATACCAAGATGCCAGGTAACACCATGGCACGTGACGTGACGTCATGACTTGACGCCGTGACGTTTGGTCACGTGACGATTGTGTTGCCATGCCCTGCGATGAAATGGGGTATGCGCGGACTTAAAAAAAGAAGCGTTCGTCTCTGCTTCCCAGACGTGAACGAGTGCTCGTCGTCGCCCTGCCTGCACGGCGGCACCTGCCTGGACCTGGTGGCCGGCTACCGCTGCCTGTGCCAGCCGGGCTGGAGGGGCTCGAGCTGCGAGACGCCCGACGACACGCAGGCGTCCCCCGCCAAGCACAGCGGAGCCCCGGACCGGGAGACGCCGTCGCCCTGCGCCGCCTGCCCCAAGGGATCGCGCTGCGTGCTCGGGCCCAGATCACAGGTACAGCACTGTTAACAGAAATGCCTGGTTCCTGGTCTGCTGATTTTTTTTAACAGACTTTATTGCAAAAAAGGTTTTTTGTCTACCAGTACGACCGATATCCCATGAATGAAGGAAAAACTTAATTAGTTTTACGAGCGAACTTCACAATTTTAAGTGGTTGAATAAGTCTCTCGTATCTTTATGATCTCGGTGTTGTGCGCTACATCTATTTAACAAAAATATCGCTAATAAAAATAAAATTAAAACAAGCGGAAGAACAAAAAAAAATAAAGACGTTTACAATTCCTTGTAATGCCGAATTAGAGCGCAGCTCTTGAGGGAGAGGAGGGGAGGGTATGCCCTCTTCCCCTTCCGTACCCTCCTTTCCTCCTCTCCTGCTCCCCTCCCGTTAGCGGAAATTTTTCGCTAAATTTCCCGCTAAATTTAGCGAACATTTCCCCGCTAAATTTAGCGGGGAAACTGAATTGGTGCTGAGGTCACGTGACGTCAATTTCCCCGCTATATTAGCGCAAAACTTTTTACGGGTTGAGTGGCGTCACGTGTGACGTCAAACTACGTCACGAGGGCGTGACGTCACACGTTACGTCACGTGTGACGTCACGAGGGGGAATTTTTTCCGCTAAACTTAGCGGGAAATGTTCCCCGCTAAATTTAGCAGAAAAATTCCCACCAAATTCAGCGAGAAAATTTTACCCTCATGACGTCGCACGTCACATCATGTGCATTAGGGGAAACGTCCCATAATGCAACACGCGGTTACGCCGACGGCGACGGCGACGCCGCTCAACACGGAAACGGGGCGCGTAAGAGCTTCTCTCTAAAATATTTATCTGCCATCTGACAGGGAAAGCACGGTAGACAACCAAATCCAAACATCAAATTGACATGTGCGTTCTTCATTAAGAAAACTACATATAATGTCGAACGGTTCTTTCAATATATGCGTAAAATATGATCGTATTATTACGTTTTTCTTTTTTTCATAATGCAGAATGTGTTATATGTGGCTGGCTCCTAGCCACGTAACACAACAAAAGAGCGTCACAAGAGTCGCGCGTCGGCGTTCGGCTTTACCTCGTGTCCTCCCCGATGGAACACGAGTTCCTCCCGAACGCTGGCGCGGGACTCGTGTTCACGGACGGGTTTTCGGTGGGTGAGGTAGAAAATCTACCGCTACGACTACGGTGCCTGCCGGAGCGCATCTCCGACCGGTGTGTACACTGCGTCCAAAAAAGTGATCCGACTGGTTTCCGCCCGATGACGTCATAAACGTGCCGCGCTGTCGCCGGCCGCGATCCTGGCGGCGTCCCTCTCCAGCTTGACAATCCACGGAAGCTTCGGAAACCGGAAGTTGGGACGCCGCGACGACTGCGACACTCGCGTTTGCTCGTGCTTTTCGCCGAAAGTTTCACGCCCAAGCGCCAGGATCGCGACATCCGACAGTGTGACACTATGGTTTCTATGAATCGGTTTTCTCGTTTTTGTGGCTCGATTCCGAAAGAGTGAGCAAAAACACCGCCGTAAATCCTGCAAAAAAAAAAAAAAAAATAAGGAAAGTTTTGTTGGTGAAAACGCGCACATTTCCGGAGTTCTTAGTTGAGAATAAAAGCGACTTTCTTACCAATTCGTAAACAAAGCCGAAGCCCCCCTGACATATTTATTAATATACAAAAAAGTCTACGGTACACAGATTTTTTCGAAAAAAACGTATTGACAGATGTGTACCCACGGAAAGAGCTCTAAATTGTACGTGATGGATAGTAACATTTTCATGGTACCTTTACTTTGTTTTATATATTTTGACACCTCCAACCAATAAAAATTCATTCGGTTTGCTTGCACTCGCTCGGTACTGATTTCGAATGCTGGTTTCAACGAAAACCGGGCACGTCATAAGCACGGTTTTGTGTCTTCGGTATTTCACCGACAAACACCGAAAACTAACCACCAAGCTGATTTTATCAAAATCAAAAAAAAAGAAAAAAGAAAATCCCGCCTTAGAGCTGTTATTGATCAACCCCGACTTCACGGACATACAAAGAGTTATTAAGTAAAAACAACCGTGTTTTTCCTCCCGTCTTTCGTATTTCTCAATTATGTTTTGATCCAGGTGGCGTCATGTTCTCAATCTTTCAACGTTCTATCCCAACCGCTGGCGTCATATTCTCGCGAAGTTTGAGCTTTCTGCTATGCATAGTTTATTTACCCGGGCAGAAAAACACGGTTCTCTTCCCTCGGGAACTCCCGGTATACCTTTATCTGCAGCTTTACTGTGTGTCCTGTCGGCGAGGCTGCTTCTTGCTTCGGGAACCACTCCCCTGGGCCGGTTTCCTTTTCGTGTCGATAGTTCTCCCGAGCACTCGGATCAGGTGCTTGTTCCCTGGGGTTGGAGAATCCGGTGCCCGTGTTCCGTATTTTTCGAAATAGGCAGTCATGTGCGAATAGTGGATTTTGAGGTTGATGCGAATTCGAAGCGAATACTGGTTTTTAGCCAAATATTTTCACATTTAATTTCTAAGTTCTTCTGTGCTCCTCACCACTGTACCACGCTTAAGCGAAAAGTCAGCTGAACTTGTAAAAAACTGTTTTTAAACTTCCACTTTTAAATTTCTAAGCTCATTTTGATCTAACTATATATCAAATGTGGCCTCGGAAAGTCCAATGCCTACATTGGAATGGCAAGTAAACGACGGATTTGACATAAAATTAAACTTATAAAGATGCCCAGTTATACATAATCGAGTGGATTTATAGATACCCTTGTTATATGCAAAGTTATTTTCTTCAATCTTAAAAAAAAAAAAAAATAGAATGATTAAAGCAGGTTGCCAGGTTGCCGGGACTCACGCCCTCGCTGACAGAACGGGAGTCTCAGCCGCCTAGCATCTGTTCTTCCGAAGATATACGCATGCAATAGTCAGCTTAATTTTGAAACTTTTGCTGCAGTGTAGCTATCAAGATCTCAGAAGTAGTAGACGCAACACCCGCGCAAGCGAGCTCCGCGCGTGTTGCTTCTCCTCAGTGCACCGGTGCTCGGCAAAAAGCGCGCTCAACGGGGCTAACCCGCCGCGATCGACACTTATGAAAAATACCAGTATCGCAGTTCATCTCCAAGCGAATATCGAACAGCGTATTATTCGAAACTCCCATTCGAGAATTCAAAGATACGCACAATCCTAAAGTCCAGATCATTTTGTGTTGTTTTTGTTTTGTTTAACACCAAAAATTGCCACACACACACAAAAAGAAACATCCAGCAACCCCTTCTCACCCTCTTAAGACAAATAAATAAATAAAAACACAGCTCAGAGATTCACAAAAGATAGACCCCGAAAACACGGAACCCTAAACACGATGCTTCACTGAGGCAGTACGAAGGGCATAAACCAATCTCTAAAGCGGGACGGCCAAAACGAATCGTCCCCCCAAGTCGACCGGGTGCTTGAGCGCACGTCCTGCGTCGCGCAGGAGGTGTGCCAACCGGCGTCGGACGGTTGCGCGGCTCGGCCCTGCGAGCACGGCGGCGACTGCGTACCGCTGCCCGGCGGCCGGTTCCGATGCATCTGCCCCGTGGGCTTCGGCGGCGTCCGCTGCCAGGTGGACGACGATCCCTGCAACCCGAACCCGTGCGGCCACGGCGCCTCGTGCTTCAACCTGGGCCAGAGCGACTACTACTGCCACTGCGCCGACGGCTTCGAGGGCAAGAACTGCACCCGGCCCAGGCCGTGCGCCAGGCCCCCGTGCAGCGGGGCCGACTCCTGCTCGGCGCTGGGGGACGCCCCGCTGGCCCCGGACGCGGCCTCGCTGTGCGGACCCCACGGACGCTGCCTGCCCAGGACGCAGGGTTTCGGATGCCTCTGCGACCCCGGCTACACGGGACGCTACTGCCACGAGAGTGAGTCGCCCCTTTACACCCTCTCTGAGAGCTTAAAGTCCGGAGCTCCTCATTATCATCCCGCCGTAGCCAATCGAGAGATTTAGTAGGTTGTTCCGACGATTCCGATAGCGGCACGGTCGATACTTCGCCGTTTTCAAAGGGAACGTATATTCGTGAATAATAATTAAAGACAGCTCAGTCGTGGTCACTACTCGTGAATCGCCAAGAAAGTATAGACCTTATTAAGCTCGCTCAATGTTCAAGCAACGTAAACATGGCAGAAATCTCTAGGCTTCTGCTGCGCTATTATGAAATCGTGTTCGATAAAACGGCCTTCTATGAAATGTTTGTAGCCAACAAAACCTTTTTTTTTCTTTTTTTTTTTTTTTGTAATAGCTGCCGCGCAAGTGATCCTAGTTCGCCATTGCTCTTTTTGGGCACACTCTTTGGGCATCCATTAGCCACAAGGGCTGCGCGATATGGTGTGACACGTTGACTCGGATCCGCTTTGTGCAAAACGACTGGTTACTGCCGATGCTGCTTGATGGAGTTTTGAAAAGGGTCTATTGCGTATCGAAAAGGCTGCGAATGTGGAGGAGAGCTGGTGATGATATTGTGTAACACCCGACACTGTTGTGAGGGGGAAAAACCGCAACTCCACGTGGTGAATGATGTTGATTGGGGCGAAGCTCTGGTGGTGCTTGTCTGCGTAGACGCTGAGCCGCAGCATGCCGAGGCTTTCGTTCGTTTTCATCCATGTCACGCTGCGATCAAATGCTCAAATGCGTATATAACCACGTTCCATACCACACATTCTCTTTCTGACATGGATGAAAACGAACGAAAGGCTCGGCATGCTGCGGCTCACCGCCCACGCAGACAAGCACCACTAGAGCTTCGCCCCAATCAACATCAATCATCACGTAAAGATGCGGTTGTTGTTGTTTTTTTTTGCCCTACCCGAGCACGGGAGCACGTGCTCACGTGCTCGTTACCCGACGGCGGACGGACATACGGACATGGCTAGCCCCTAAGGAGCTTCGCCCCTAAAAAAGAAGAAACTTTCGAGTCGAAGGAAAAGGAGGTAGAACGTGTCCTTTCTCCCCCTTCTCCAGGGATTATTAATGCGAAAGCATTAACTGTGCCCATGGAGAGAACCGACGTCATCAGCTTTTGAAGCCGCGCGCGCCAAACGGCACCTTCCCCTGTCCCATTGGAGCGAAGCGTCTGTAGCAGAAATCTGATGAATAGGCCCCCATTGGCTGGCGCGCGTCATATGGTGAATTCTACACGTCGATCCAGAGCGCTTTCCAAAATCCACGACGAAGGCGAAATTCCGCTCCGTGGGACCCGCTCCGAATCGACGAGGGGAAGATAAACTCGAATTTTTGGAGCGACCTCCCCCAAACCACTCCCCCCGCTTCCCCCTCCGCCGTTTAAAATGGCCGCTGCTCGAACTTGACAAGCCCACCAACGCCTCAGCTCAGCCGACTGATCTTTCCGATGACCAGTGACAACTCTCACTGCTTAGCTGCAGAAATAACACGCGACACATAACAAGCGACACAGGCCGGACGAAATTACACGTACCACTGCGCGCATGTCACAAATAACGAAGACGTCCACGTTCGGCACCGTCACATATTTTTCAGCCGCCTCGAAGCGGCGGGGCACGGACAGCGACCGCCATCGGCGGAGTTCAGATTTCTGGTACGACTTCAATAAACACAGAGGTAACAAACCATCACTTGCACGGTCGTTGCCTAATCTCTTCTTGCTTTATTGCACGGGAAAACGCCGGCGGAATGCCGTGTAAAACTGTAAACAGTCAGTGGCTGCAGAACGAACAGGCCTAACTTTGCGTCCGCCTCCGACTTTTCTGTCGTTCTTCAGATGTCAGCACTTACAATTTACCACACTCCAAAGACCCGGCTTTGTATCCCTGATCTATGCGAGGTAGAAACGTTCGAGCCGTCACAATCCCTCGTAAACAACCGACGCACCCGAACAGATCCAACTCAACGACCCGACCGTGGCTCCACCGGCCCGCCGACCCTGCCAACCTCGCCGCGCATGCGCGCTGCCGATTTAGGAGAAAATCACGTGGGCCGCTCAGTCAACCTCCGGGAAGATCTGTGAAATCCCGCAGAGCAAGTTCGGCGGGGTTTGAGGCGCTCCGTGGAGTAGGCGCCGCTAGAGATCTGTGAGAGAAAGATGGACCAACTCGAGCCAGATCTGCCAGCCGGAATATGCGCGCTCGAAATGGAGCGCTTTTGGAGCGCTCAAGATCTGCGAGCGGAATTCACCAATAGTTTCAAGGAACGAGGCTCCCATTGGCTCTCGCGCGGTGTAGTTGCAAGGGACGCCACCAGAGAAACCCTCTCCATGGCGGCGCAGCGCACGCAGCGGCCCGGCTGCCGGTAAGAGGAAGCAGAGCCAGCACGGGCAAACTCCGGAGAGGCTGCACGGCCAAGCTCCGCGCTCGGCCATCGGCGGCTACCTCAGCAGCAGCGAAACGCGGCCGTCCACGCCAGTGCGCCGCAGACGAACTAAGGGAGCGGAAGAACGACATTCATGCTTTCCCATTCCCATTCATGCTTTCCCATTCACAACTCATAAGAAATGCTTAGGTGTCCTCGGAATTTTATCGTTATTCTTGTCCGACTCGCTTGCACCTTTGCATTATCCTAAAAAGAGACGTTTCCCGCTTTGAAAAGAGACAACTTTCTGCGGTATTGAAACGTTTCTCCTCCCGGGTCTTTTTTTGTTTTTATCACCATTCTTAGTTCCCAGTTTCATATATGTGTGACTATGCATGTTAAAGGAATACTACAAAGAAATTTCGGCGCGCGCTCAAAAGAGCGGTATCACATGGAATATACCAATATCTTGTTTAAAAAAGTCTCGAAAAGGAATTTTAAAACGAATTAAACGATTAGCGAGGAGCACCTGGTGGATGTCGCTAACGCCTCGTTTGTAATGCTCGTCTAGGAACCTTGACAGCTAGTGACGGAGGTTGTCTCGTCTCCGGCCACGACGAGAGAAGGGGGGAAGGAGGAATTCCCCTCTTCCCGAGAATCCCTTTTGTGTGTCGCAGAAGTCGCTATTGTCCCCCTAGAAGATTATAGAAGATTAACCCGTCACTCAAAATTCGTACAAAAGCAGCCGCTTCGGTGGCTGGAACGCCTAGGCCACCCTCTCGACGTCAGTTTCGCCGTAGCTTTGCTCGTCTTGAGACGACCTACGTCACGATTGCGTTGGATGTCACGTGCTCTAAGCTGGGCCTTCTCCGAGCGCTTGCCAGAGTGGGCCGTTTATAACGAAAAATACAGCCACCAGGATCAAAATACAAACGTGCGATTGTCATTTACGGATATTGTGGATCATATTCAACCTATTTTTAAACACGACGGGAATATTTCAAATTTCGTTGAAGTATCCCTTTAAAATTCCTTTGCGCTCCAGTGTATACTGTGCTTAATGTCCTGTGTCGTATCTATTGCGTATCGTCAACGTCACTTCTATCATTCTCATTAGTATTTTGCCCTGTGTGTCCTAGTCGCCCGTTTCCGGCTTGAGCGGCGTCGCCGTTGCCGTCGGCGTAACCACGCGGTGCATTCTGGGAAATGCCCCATAATGCGCTGCGCGGGACCCTCGTGACGTCACCTGTGACGTCACGAGGGTCGCGCGCGATGCATTATGGGACATTTCCCATGATGCACCGCGCGGGGAGGAGGAGGGGGTTGGTTGGTTGAAAAATGTCTATTATAATTATAAAAAGGTGATTCACGCTCGCCGATCTTGACTTAAGTCATTGTCACAGGTTCGGATGTTAAAGATCCCATTTAAACAAACAAATTTGGAATTTGACTTGGCCCGCTGTCCAGGTGTTAGGACCACACCTTGGCGATAGACATCCTGAGAGGCGGGAGGAATTGAGAGCAAAGCATGCCGACGTTACGAACAGTATTTTATGTAAAATAATTCAAAAAGTAAGGAAAGGCACACAGGACGTACACACAGTCGAAACAAGGAAAGAAAAAAAATCAAAAGTCGAATCGAGGTTGTCATACAGTTTTGGAGGGGGAGAGCCGAGTCAGCGTTCCAAGGTGCAGGTGGAGGTCCGGTTCGTTGCGCCGCCAGTCGGGGTCGGGAAGCCATGGTGACTTGGGTGTTGTAGTGACGCACAGCACTCACTCACAAGCACTCACACCCGTCTCCGTCGAATACCTTCTCGGTGTTCGAACAACCATACCGACGCGGATCTGCTCAGCGCCGACCATCCACACCGTCGCAACCTTACTCCGCCGGTGTGTTCCACAAAACCTCGCGCGCGCGGGCTAAGCTCGTGCTCCTGTCCTCGGCGCTCGCGCACCCCACTCACAAACACGGCAACGGACAACAACATAACCATTGAAAAGCAAAAGTAGCTATTGAAATCTGTGACAGTCATCTTTGAGCGAATGAGTTTATGTGTTTTTTTTTTTTAGATGAATTGTGTGAGTTTGGCTTCCTTCACGTAACTGAGAAGGGAATCGAAGGTTGCCTTGCGATGCTCAGGAGATCCAGTGGGCAGGACCCATTCTTCAAGGCTATTCGGTCGCATTTGATGTGGTAATGCATCTAGGGCTTTCCGTCTCGTAGGAGGAGGAAGGAGGACGAGGGGAGAAGGAGGGAGAGGATGAGGGGGAGGAGAGGGAGCGGAAGAGAGGAGGGAGGAGGAGGGGAGGGCAGGGGGAGAAAGAAGGGAGGGGAGGAGAAAGGAGTGAGGAGGAGGGGGAAGAGGAGAAGAGGGGAGGAGGAGGGAAGAGAAGGAATGGAGGAGCTTGAAGGATGAAGGGAGGAGGAGGAGGTGAAGGAGGAGGAGGGGAGGATGACGACCAGGAGGAAGAGGAGGGAGGAGGGGAGGAGTAACAGCGAGGATGAGGAGGTGAGGAAGAAAGAGCACGGGGTATGCTCTCCCCTCAGTACGATTCCCTCCTCCTCCCCAAGAGCTGCGCTCTAATTCGGCGTTACAGAGTGTTGTAAACGTCTTTCATTTTTTTTTCTTACTCTTTCAATGGTACATTTATATGATTATCTAGGGTTATTTATAGCTTTTTTTTCCTCATTTATATTTACTTATTTATTTTCGGGCCTTCGAGATAGCAGATCCCCGATCCGGTCCCTTAGCCAAAACGTTTGGCTAAGGGACCGGATCCTGTTAATAAAAGTCTCGGGTGTTACACAGTATATTTGATTATTGCGTATATTTGGTCTTCAAAAGAGCGACAAACGCCTGACATGCACGACGGCTGCGTTACAACTCCAGCTACGCAAAAAACAGTACGCGCCCCATAAGCCTATCTTAATCATAGTAACAAGCAAAAGACGAATCGCCAACATTCAACAAAGCCATCAAGAAAATGTTCTCAAAGAGGCAAATGAATAAACATTTCTAAAACCAAGACGGAGGCTACAAAGAGAGGACAAACAAGACGTCTCAACCGAGACGTCTTTAGTTTGTCTTTTCTATGGGCTTTAGAAATGTTTAAGTATAACCAGCTCGCTTTCCTTACTACGTTATCTTCAGTCAAATGGATGTTCGCGTGTGTCAGGGTGGAGACATCCTTTGCTACGGACCAAAGCAAACGTAAATAAAGGCTTTAGGCTATAAAGCAAACTACGCGTCTAGAGATACCAAAACGGGTTTACTTTCAAAAACACAAAACAGACTTCCGTCTCGTATTTTTTTCTTCTTTTTTTACGTTAGTTTACATGGGGTGACGCTTTTTCGACGTATCACGTAAAGCCATTTGATGAGTTTGAGTTGCCTTACGAGTAGTAGCGACAAATACGTCATGGCGGCTAAGCACTCCTCGCGCGTTCGCACGATGGCTGTCGGAAGTTGTAACAAACGCGAAGCATGACTTTAATCATGGAGCTTTAATTTCACGCGCAAATTGTGAGCATTTGGGACGCGCCTGTGTCACTTTAAAGCGCAGCAAAAGCCAGAAGAGCGAGCTGCGCGCTTCGAATGGGCCTGCCGAGCACGCGGGCTCTTACCAGTGCAAGATTAGTTCAAGCACGCGCTCATGGCGAAAGAGGTAGCCCTTGTCCAGACCAGCGCTCAGTTTTCACGTAACCATACGCCCTTCACTGCCACAGAAACCAGAAGAAATCCAAGATGTTTTCATGAAATGAAAGTGGCGTCAAAAAGGGAAGCCCTCCAGAGCGCTCCGGAATGACCGCGCGAATTCGATCACCTCCGCCCGCGGGCATCGACTGCGCCACGCATGTTTCAACCTGCGTAAAGAACTCGCTGGGCAACCTCCCCTCGCGGAGTTCCACTCCACTGGCATTCCGCAAAGGGGGGACGGAGGGCATCATCAGTGTTGGCCCCAAAAGGGCCGGGAGGGAGGGGGGGTGGCCATTCCCTCTCGACGGGCGCGTGGCCGCCGGTGTCTCGGAGGAGGCGGTCCTTTCGGTAGCGCGACCGACGTGCGCTCGGAGTCATCAAGAGCTCCATTGAGCCGGGCATAAGAGCGTGCGCGGCGGGGGGGTAGAGCTGCCGGGAGCTGTCCAGAAGCCCAAGCCCAGAAGCCGCCGGTGCAGGCGCCACCCCCGAGGAGCCGGATGCGGCTGGAATGCCGCTCCTCCGGTCCCCCCGGTGGTGGTCCCTCTCCCCTGGGCTACCCCCCCTTTCAATACGCGGGGCAAGGCCTTCCCCCAAACGTCATCACGTGTGGCTCCACGCAGTGCCGCGAGCGTCTCTTGCCGTGTCTCACAACGGGCGCGACGCTAGCAGACGGCGACGCCAAGATGCGCGCGTCTGCCGCTTTGTGGCGTACCCTCGTAGTCGAGCTTCAGCGTCTTTACCGCTCGGGGCGGGTCGGAGGTCCACTAACGATGACGTAAGGGTCAGGCCTCATCTTCTAGTGATGTCGTCCCTTCCGCACCCTTTGCATGCTTCGCCGCAGTGCAGACACGGAGGGATCATATCGTCGCCACCGCCTTCTTTTCTGTACAGACATCAACGACTGTGCGACTCGGCCCTGCGTGAATGGAGGCACCTGCGTGGACGGCCTGAACAGCTACCGCTGCCTCTGCCCGGACGGATGGGAGGGACCTCACTGCAGCAACAGTAGGTGCCTTTGGAGTGTCTGTGCAAATTATACGGACCACCTAATGCCCACGCATGGGACTAGAGACACTTCCGCCATCTTCTTGCTATTTATCTGAAGCTTTGCCTGAAAATGTAGGAAGCGCTTTTCCGTCCTCTAGAAATGTTAACATAATCCGCGACAGAACAAAACAACACCGCTTGAGCTTCCTGACACAACCTCAAAATGGCAACGCCCACGAAACACTCTTAGAGAGGAATGTTGATACTCCAAGCATAGCCATAGCTTCCTATATACTGACAAAGCCTGGCAGATCGGCACGAGAAGCGACCGCCAAAATGTAAAAGGTGGAGCGGCACACAATGAATCAGAGGAGAGCCACGTGACTGGCGTCCCGCTGCGGCGATACGCCGAAACACACTTCTCCCGAGCGAACAAGTGTGTTTCGGGTCCTCGCCGCTGCAAACGCTATGCGCTGACGCTCCCTACGGGAGCCAGAGTTGCGCATTTGTTTTCCCCGCGCCGCCACGCCGCTATTCGCCGAGATCCATCACGTGAGGAGCAAAGCATCCGTTGGCGTGCAAGAAAGCCACCTTTACGGTCGCTCCGCCGACGTTTCTCTTGCCCCGGCGTATGTTTCCCTGCTTTCCGCCTCCTTTTCCTCCTCTCCTGTTTTCCATGCGCGGCGCCGCTATTCGCCAAATTTAGTCACGTGAGGAGCAAAGCATCCAGCTCGTGCGGGAAAGGAGGCTGAATGCGCAACTCTGCTACCGTAGGTAGCAGCTATACATGAACTCTAGGTTCCCTGACAAATGGCTCTTTGATGCTCTGTGCTACCAGATCCTCGCGTTCCAAATCTGCGACCAGGCACTCTATAGCTCTGTCGTCCAACTGCAGGACTTTGTGAGTATAAAGGAGGCTATGGCTTAGCGTATTTGGTGGCTGTACGAGGGACTTTAGGTTCCCTCCCAGTTTGACCACGTCTCATACGTGCTTCCTGCAATGCTCTCGCAGACCGCAATGAGTGCCATCCTAACCCGTGCCACAACGATGGCAAGTGCACGGACCTGATTGCTGACTTCCTGTGTGAATGCCAGGGACAGTGGAAAGGCAAGACCTGCAATCTGAGTAAGTCTGCCCTAGCATTGTCATCCATGCACTAACGGGTAGTTTTCACCTGTCTGTTCTCAAGATGCACATACTAGTTAGGAATAGACATCTAGGGGAAAAGTTTTCCTTTGCTTTAATAAACATGATGATTGTTCTGCATAAATACAAAATGAGCGGCATCCAAACTATTCTGCAAGAATGTTTAAGTAACATAAATTTCTTGTTTTAGTAATATCATATCCAATCGATCGACCTCCATTATATCATTCCATAATGTAAGAGGTTGCAAATAGTTGCAAAACTTATTTGTTCTGCTTTATATATCGGACAGCATTATTATACTCCCTTATCAAATTAATTTAAATAAAAACTGATGGCAAAAGCAAATTTCTTGTTTGTGGTTTTTTTTTGGCATTTACCAACTTGATCATTGTAGAAACCACAAGGGTTATTATCTATGAATGCAATAGCACTAATAGTTGCACATATGGGCAGGTGTTGGGTTCCCCACTAAATTTACTGGGGAAATTGAATTCGTGCATAGGTCACGTGACATAAATTTTCTGCTAAATTAAGCGGGGCAACTTTATTGGTAAATTTTCCGCTGAATTTAGCGGGGAACCTGAATAGACCTGCTGCGAACCCAAGGTGGTTATATTTAGGACTTCTAGAGTGGCGGTGGCGCTGCGGAGCTGACGCCAAAAACGGCGACCGCCGCCATCTTACTAAAGGTAGAAAGCGGATCGGCTTTCTACCTTTTTAGCAGCTTTTGGGGCCTCTAAACAAATAAAATATTCAGTTTTGTTTTTCTTTTAATACGCAGCCCCAAAAGCAACGGTGCACTGCTACTGCCGCTTCGAGTGCCGTTTCGTTTCACCTTTAGTAAGATGGCCACCGACCGGCAAGACTGGCTTCACCCGGTCGCATGGGAGAGTGCGGGAGACCACCACTCCAGAAGGCTTAATATAACCTCCTTGTGCGAAACGCACAGCGCCACGACGGCGGGGAATTTTGGGAACCCAAAGTGATACAGATCACGCGCTTTCTCGTTGCGCCTCCGCGGCTACGCACGAGTCGCGGCAGCTACCGCCAGCAGCCGCAGGAACGGCGTACGTCGTTGGCGGCGTACCGTATCTGTCGCAGCGTAAATGCATCGCAACAGTTGAAGCTATTCACTTATTTGAATATGTTATTCGTCGTAACTTATCTTCACATCTCGCAGTGTCACCAAACCTACCGATTTCGCACCGCAACCGCGGCAGGGTTCGACTAGGTTTGACAAAGCGTTGATGCAGCAGACGACAGAGCCGGTACAAAGGAGAGGGAAGAGAAAGGAGCACCAATGCGGTACCCTCTCTCCCATTTCTGTGCGCTCGGTTGCTCGTCCGACGTGGCTTTCGGCTGCTCAAACATTGTTGCGTTGGTAACCTGCGCCTGCTCGCGTATGCCACATGGTAGTGGGAGGAAAGACGATGGGAGGGCTGCATCGAGGACTCACATTATTCGTCGCGCGGGACGCACGGGCTTATGGGATATTTGTAAAGGGTCTATTGGTGCATAAGCTACGTGAAGTCAATTTTCCGCTAAATTTAGCGGTGAACCTAAATTGGTGCATAAGTCATGTGAAGTCAATTTTTCACTAAATTTAGCGGGGAATCTGAATTGCTGCATAGGTCACGTGAAGTCAATTTTCCACTAAATTTAGCGGAAAATTAATTACATTAGAGGCGACATACACAAGCAGAAATCTGTGCCGAGTAGCTTAATATGCTATCGCATTACTACTCTAAGCAACCTAACGAATTGTAACTCATGCTGCAGGGGACTCCCACTGTGACAGCAGTACTTGCCTCAATGGGGGTACATGCGAGGACCTGGGGGATGCCTTTGTGTGCCACTGTCCAGAAAATTACCAAGGCCACACCTGCCAAATTGGTAAGTTTTTTTTTTTTTTTTTCATTGATTACACTCGGAAAACCCAGTAGCACTTTCGAAGATGCTGACAGTTTGGCAACCACAGATAGAGTCTGGTATCTTCAAGCAATCTCTGCCATTTTGTGCCATTGATGATGAAGACAGTAGCGGGGTACTTTGGGTCACAGTCCGACAGTATTAGTGACACTGGGCTTCCCCTGTCTGGACATGACTAACGTATCACCCTCCACAAACAGCCAAAGGGAGCAGCTGCGAGTCCAACCCGTGCCAAAATGGAGCCACATGCGTCAACAGGGGCCACAGCTTCTCCTGCATCTGCAGAGAGGGCTTCGAGGGCAGGCTGTGCCAGCAGAGTGAGTTCTCGCCGACATCTTTGAGTACTCTATCTGGACACCTGCAAATTGTCTGGAGCATTCATGGACAGCCACATGTCCTATTAGACTTGGAACTGTGGGGAAGGACGAAATTCTACCAAATTATTTCAGTGAGGACACTGGACACATGCGTCTGCTTTTCTGCTCGGCTCAAATGTTCTGGCCAGCGTGTGTCTCGTGCATCGAGCTCTTTTCTTTACTTCTCTGACTAACTGGTCTGTGGGTGTGTCGGTCCGCACAGAACATTTTATGGGCACCGTCCTATTTGGATGCTCTTCATAAGGGATTAGTAGAGTACTATTTGTGGAAAAAGTTATACAGCAGAATGATGATGAACCACTGAAGTCTTTGTTGCCCCTGTAGATGTTGATGACTGCCGGGGCCAACCGTGTCACAATGGAGGTCGCTGCATAGATGGAGTCAACTGGTTTCGATGCGAGTGTGCCTCGGGGTTCGCGGGTCCAGACTGCCGCATCAACGTGGACGAGTGTGCATCCAGCCCCTGTGCCGTGGGCAGCACCTGCCAAGACGCCATCGGAGACTACTTCTGCAGCTGCCCCCCCGGACGAACTGGCAAACGTTGCAACGTTGGTATGTGGCAGTGACATTCACCCTAAACCAATAGATGATTGCGAGCACCTGCAAGTCTTGCTGATGTCACTGATGACATCACTGTTTCAGGTTGAGATGGTTATTTGGGTAGTTCAGAGACTTTGGCAATGATGGACACAGCGTGTCCCTACTAATGTGCTCATTCAGGACAGCATCAGTTGTTACATACTAAGTTCCCGAGTGTGTTTTCTTGTTATGCAGTGTTGGTGACACCATCAACGTACACCCCGTGCGAGTGGAAAGGTACCGTGTACCCAGAAGGCAGCCGATGGCAACTGGACTGTACCCTGTGCAGCTGCACCTCGGGATCCGTTACTTGCTCACCTGTGAGTTCGGTTCAAGTTACTTCCCATTAATCAGTCAAATTCTTTCTATAGAGCTCAGTCCCTTTCACTCAAATGAGCTCATTGGGCAATCCATAAGTATTGGAAGTTAAATATAGCAATTAATCTAAACCAAAGTAATAAGTAGAAGAGATATGTTCATGCCCCAGCCAACCCAATGAACTGTTAGGCTCTAATAAAATCTAGCAGCTGGAGCTGACAACACTTGCTGACACAGTGGTCATCACCGAAGGGAGCACCTGCTCCATTTTACTCCAATTTGTGGATAGCACATGGAAGTGCTATCCACTGATGCAAACAAGGCAGATTAGATATGGTATTGATTGACCTATTGTCATCTTGCGATGGCAGGCACCAGCGCTGATGACTGATCCTGAGCCTTTTTGCACAGGGCCCATGCCCGGAGTCTGGCTGTGACCCCGTGGGGTCCACCGGCCAGTGTCCACTGGGGCAGACCTGCCTAGCCAGGGCCCCAGAGGCGTGTTTTGTGAACCCCTGTCCCACCGGGGGGCCGCGAGGGGACTGCAGCGATGTGGCCAACACGTCACATGCCACCAAGCCCTCCCAATGCCTGCCCAACAGAGCAGATCCCAGCAACAACTGTGCCAAAATGACCCTGCTCTTTGACCGGAGAACCATGACACCGGTAAGCGTTTTTCCCCTTAGCGCATGCTCATAGGAGGACCAGGGCCCTGCAGATGGAAAGATCTTGAAATCTGTAAATAGGACGAATTAAGCGGCATTTCTTTTCATGAATGATGTTCCAAGGTATCTGAATAGATGTCACTCCTGAAGATGTCAGAATTTCAGATTTCAGAATCATTTACAGCCATGTATATGGCACTTTCACACAACATACATCAATTCAGCAAGGCCAGCAAGCCACATAGCACCAAATAATAGGTAGACCCAATTTTCAACAGGGTGTGAAAAGCTTCTGGCTCTCTTTAGCAGCCTTTCTGGAAAATCACTGATTGGATCATACTGGAAAATCTTTTGAATAATTGGAGTCTGATGTCTGAATTCAAGCAACTAATTTTTCTCAGCACTGCACCACCTAATGCTTTAGTAAAAATGAAAAAAAAGGTGATATGCAAGACTGTGCTTGAAACCAGTTCTCATGCAGGGCACCACTGTGGAGTCCTTGTGCAACGGTGTTCGGCAGCTCTCCCCAAGACCTTCCATCCTGATCCTGTGTGCACAGAGGATGGCGGACCCCGATAGCATTGAGGTCACTCTGGTGAGTCTTCCATCGATTTTGCTTCTTGTTTACTATGCCGGACACCAACAATAGCATTTTACACAACAGGGAGTTCTCAGTTATATAAATTGAGCATTCAACAAAGCATGACCTCAGTAAGCAATGATCCTGGACCATAAGTCACTCTGTAGGAGATGGGTTGCTGTAGCCATCATAGGGCTTTGAAATCTGATTACCCTGATGTATTACATCTGATGTCCTTAATCGTTCTTGATGGGCACACAATGTGTGAAGGAGTCTCCAACCTGTACGTCTTGAATGCAGTCCATGCCGGGGCACGCATCAGCATCTACCTATGCGGCCGTCAGCGAGAGTGCCAGGCGGCTGGCTGACCTCATCAGTCGTAAGCTGACCAACAGCACAGCCTTGGCTTCAGTCATCGAGGTCAAGGTGGAGACCTCCTTTGTTGGCCTGGACCAAAGGACTACAGGTGAGTCTACACCATTGCAGATGCACAAAGCACTCGCTGTCAAGACCTCGATTTAGCTTCTGCATAGATAGACCTTTGACTTATGGGCTACACAAGGTGCAAAAAATATACTTTATCTAGTTCCAAGGGTGCCAGATGATATGCTTCAAGTAACGGGTTACCACGAGATTACACTTGCTGGGTGCTTTTCGGCAGGCACCATCTGCCGTTCTTGCTCATCTTCAATGATATTAGACATTCAGGCACAGGGATTATGTTCTACAGGCGTGCGATGTTGCAGAACCTGACTGCCATCTGCAGAACACAGCACATTGTGTTATGCAGGTGTGCAATGATAAAAAGCAGGCTTTTGCAGAAAATTCAGGAACAGTGCTCTAAAGCAGCAGAGTCTCTTCACCTGCTAAAAATAATCATTTAAAGAAGTATGTAGACTAGAGGCATGCCTGCGTAGAGCACATGGGCAAGGGAGATCTTTCAATACACTCGCCATCAAGCAAACAATCACGTCTCTTTCAGGGCGCAGTTACCTGCTTGCAGCCACGGTGTCCTTGGTTGGCCTGGCCCTTCTCTGTCTTTTGGGGGCACTGGCTGCCTGGTGCCTGCGATCTCCTGGGGCCCTATGCCCACCGAGGCCGCCAACAGCCGTGCCGAGTGTCAGTGCAAAAGTCGACCACGCTGCCCAAGAGCCTGACCGTGCCAACAACCAGAACGAGGAAAACGTGCGGCGCTACTGCAATCCCATTTGGGAACCTACGGAACTCTGCGAGCTGGACCCCCGCAACAAGGCACACCTCTTCAAGGCACTGCCCCTGGACACCTCCAAAAACACCAACCACCTTGCGGAGGTCACAAACAAACAGTGCCAGAAAGATGCACTCCTGGCCACGCGGCCGAGTACAGCGGGGCCCAAGGCTCTGCTCGAGTCGTCCGACGACAAACTCGATGCTGTGGTGGTGCTTGTCTGACACCTGCTTCTGCCGATCCCACCCCCAGGATGCTTCGTCCTGCAGTGCCTCTTGTGCCAGAAGGGCAAGATAGCTATTCCCGCTACGGCCCACTACTCAGCATGCCTTGCTCTACAGTACCTCCAGTGCAGGAAGTCAGGCCCGGATACAGGCAACGGTCCTTTTATCATCCCTCGACTGGTGGCTCACTGCACAACACATTGGGTCGCAGGTGCCAATGAGCCAGAAGTGAGTGCCTGCTTCGTCCAACTCGCGCGACCTCTACAGGTTGTGTTCCTGGCTGCTAATGTCCACGTGACTCTTGTGGATGTACATATGTAAATAGTAGCTCTGTACGTGGTACAGATTGTGGTGATCATTGCAGTTCTTTGTACATTGAAAAATTTTAATTTATAAATAAATAGAGGAAGCAGATGGCGGCAGCAGACGTCCGGCATCTGCTGCTCCTCTGCCCGGTGCAACTCGGGATGCTGCCCAGTGCAAACAGGGTCCGCTGGGATCCAACAGTGCCAGACTGGAAGCAACAGTGTCGAAGAGAAGTGCCGCGACGTTTGGCTGTGGAAGCCGCACCTCGGTTGTGACTTGCGAGCAGACGTCGCAGAACGAAAACTCCAGTCTAGTCAAGAGTTTCCATCCAACTTTACGCCAAAACCGACTCCAGATTATGAGTTCACAAACAAGGTTTTGTGTGCAACCCTTGTGTTCAATGTGTGGCTGCCGCGGCAGAAATCGAGTGCCGGTGTCTGCGGTGTTTAAGACGAAGAAATATGGACTCTTTAGCTGGTCCCGAACACCCGTCTGGCCAAACATTAAAAATGTGCTGCAATGGTTTGCAACTCCCAGTTTCCGAGTGGTCTATCTACAAGAAATCTCCAATAACCAAGTCCGAATCCTCCACAAAGCTGGGTAGTGTAAATCGAGCCAAGCAAGCTGAAGAGTACTGGCTATAAACCTAATCGAATTCCATGAAACAAACCCCAAAGAAAAAACAGAGATTGCCTATGCCTTCCAAGGTAAGTAAGCCAAAGGAGGCAAGCCTCATACTCTGCACGAGCTGTCCAAGTGTGTTAGGTAGTCTCAAAACAAAACGAGGGGAGCAGGCAATTGCCAGGGTTCTTAGTAGCAGAGTGCATACCCCGTTTCACCTTATGATGAAAGCGGGGTACAGCAATCCACGGTGCACATAATCGCAAGAGGGTGGAACAAGCAGATCCGACACTTTGAAACGAGCCGGAAAGATTGGTGCACTCAAGTACAGGCGCCGATTTTTCCGGCTTGTTTTACACTAAAAGATTTTTTTGGGACACCCTTTGGTAGAACACTAAGAAAATACCGAGAAATTTTGTAATTTCTCGCAAGTTATACAAAGTGGTGGCAAGGCAAAGGTCCAAGCGCATGTCTTATACCTTGGGCTAAATGAGCAGGCGCATATCCAAAGCGCTTTTCTCGTCTTAGCACTTGAGCCTTGCATTGTGGAGCACAGTGGTCTGAACCTAACAACAGCTGGAAAGAGCTTTTAATTGATGTTAGTACCCGTTATTAAATAAATGCTAAACGAGAAATCAGGTAAGCCACGGACAAGTGTCTATACACTCTGTGCTCTCAACTGCAGCAAAGGGTAGAAGTAAACCCACACCATAAGTTATGCTTAGGGTATCAGTAGCCATTTCCTGATTTTCTTGTGGGTGCCACCATTTTGTTAACCATGTTGAATTAACCTGAGACTGGGGTAGAGAAGAAACATCAAAACGTAGAAGGGACAGAAAATAGACAGGAGACGTCGTCCTGTCTATTTTCTGTCCCTTCTACGTTTGGATGTTTCTTCTCTACCCCAGTCTCAGGTTAATTCAACATGGTTAATATTCACCAGCTCGCCTGCACCGTTACGATTTTTACCATTTTGTTGCCTAGTGCGGGGCAAATGCAATGGGAAAATCAGGTTTCGGCTTGCTCAGGTTTCGTTACGGCACCAGGTGCAACGCCATATAGCTTTGCTCCCCTGCAGACTGTTCTAATGTTTTTGGAGAACAAAAATAATGTTTCCTACAAAATCGGATATAAAGTTTTAAGGTAACTGGCAACAGTGATTTCAAGTATTAACAAGACAGCTCAAGTGTCCTTACTCTTAAGCGTGACTTATCTGTAAAGTCCTACACGGATAACAGTTTGATCATCCGATCCACATCCGCAGACTTTGTATCCGCATCCAAACTGGAAACACAATATTCTTAAATTATTGTATCCACTTCCGATTCATATACCTTGTCTCTGCATCCGAGCTGCATCTGCGAAAGTCGGAACCGTATCCAACCCGCAATCCGCACATTCATGTTAAATCGTAATAAAAAGCGTGAATAAAAAAAAACCCAAAACGTCTGGATGGTACTTTATTAACAGTTTGCTTATCTTTATACGAAGGACTCTTCGAGTTGGAATACAGTGAAACTCATTCTATCATGTTCTGTTTTATCATATTTTGGATTATAAGCGATCATCCTTCCAGAGACGCTGCGTGTCGCTGAATGGACGACTGCAGTTATGAAACTGTCATCGGAGTCTGCGACATTCTGCTCAGAAGATGCGCCCAAATGGAAGAACATTTTAATTTTTTTTTGCCTTGTAACACTTATTTTAAGCACACGCATATTTTCTAAACATGAAAATTAATCAAGGACAGACTATCATTTTATTTATGTCAAACCATCAAAAAATAGGAAAAAAAATCCCATCACTCACTGCAGCGTAGTACTCGTATATACGTGGTAAACGCGAGTGCACTACTGGGAAAATATCACAATAACGACGGTAACACCTCCTACCAGTTTAAGTATTAAACACTGACCCGCAACTGCACCCTAAAGAAAAGGAAGGAGAAATGGAGGAAAAACCGATTTTCCTTTCTGTCGCCAACGGAAGGTGAGGAAGTTTCTCCCGTTCCTCCGTTTCACCGATTCTCATGCGGCACCGTCTGGTGGTGTTTGAGAAAGGAATGCAAACTTCCTCCATGTTAGTGGCAGCAGCGGCGGTCCAACTGTTGACGGCAGGGACGGCAACTCGAGTCTTGGTAGCTTCTTAGATACTTGGAGTTATTAAAATGGTGTGTCGAATTTAGATCACATTATAGAGGGTTTTAGGGCACCTTTTTGCATCTCGGACTGGTATACTCTAAGAAAGGAAATTTCATTTTTGCTTCCTTCTGAACGCACCGTTGCTGCCTTTCCGTGACTTCACATAGCGCGCCCAGTCACCGGTCAGGCGCACCTTTTATCAGAAGTTCGAAAGGAGGAAATTTTCTTCATTTTCTTTCTTCATTTTCTCTCGCTGACGAAACTGGAACCAGCGCTTGCCTGTGCCTCTCGGGGCTTACAGGAAAAAGAGTGGTTCAATTTACCATTATGTTGAATAACCTGAGACTGCTGAACTCTTCCTTTTTTTTTCCCAACAATAACGAGCGAAGCATTCTAGCACAAATAAAAAAACATCTGACAACACTGGGCCATCGCCACGACATGGCGGGGCTGCGTAACTTCAGGGAAGCAAGGTTCGGCTGGTTTTGTTTCCCTTCCACTGGAAAAGTGTGTTGGGGTGCGTCTCGTCGTGTGTGTTGCGTATCGTGGCTTGTGCCGAGCGGAATCAATTGTAACTTGGACTCTACTTTAAAACTGGTTTATTTAGTTTGAGCTTACAGATAGGGTACCGTGTTTTCGGTGTTTATTTTTTTTTCGAATTTGGGGGTATTTTTTTACGGGTTTATTTTTTCATACAGATTCTGCGTTTTTTGCATAAATTGGATAAGTTATAACAAATTTACACACAAAAAAAAAAAAATCTGTGGGAAATATTAAGCCCCCTTCAATTCGAGGGGAAAAAAATAAACACTGAGAACACAGAACCCTAGTTATAGATTATTGAATGACCCTCATGCCCTGATGTCCACCACACCTTTACCCCAAAGGTTTGTTGCTTTATTCTTGAGCGTCCCTTTTTTTATTAAGCTATATTCAGCCTAAACAAAAGCACCCTATATTCTAACTTCCTCAGCCAGCTCACAGCCTTCACTTGGTACCATAGATCTATACGGAAGCTTTACGATATAGTTGAACCTCGATTTAACGAAGTCACCGGGACCAGCTAATTATTTCGTTAAATCGGGAAATTCGTAAAATCGGGTTTCGTTAAATCGAGGTTCAACTGTACAGTAAAAGCGCAGAGCTCAGCCAACCAAAAAAGCAAGTAGCAGCTTGCATAAGACACTGGATTTACTTTTATTTAGGAAAACACACACGGGTTGACTATTTCTGCTCCAAAAACATTCTTGGCAAGGTGATAATAAAGAGGCCACTGGAAAGGTAGCAAAATATAGCTATCTTGCACAACCACTATGCGCACCTTTCTCATATATCTTAGCATGTGCAGCAATTTCTGCAATAACTAGTATTAGTATACATGCAGCAGTTCCTCAAAAAGGACTCTCTCTGACTCCAGAGTGTGCCAGAACCCTTTCACACATCCAAGACTTTGATGCATTCTGCTGGCAACCTGTGGGACATTCTGATTACTCACAGGACCGCAATTGACCATTGCACTTCTCCAAGGTGGAGGACTTAAGACTCTCATCCCAGAAGGAATGGTGAAAATGCAAATCAACAGTAGCTTATCTAGATCAAGCTCAAGCATTATCCTAAAAGCAGACACAGCATTGTTATGAAAATAATAAGAGAAACAAAAAAATTTACTAGATATATAGCTAGGGTTCTGGGTTTTCAGATAAATAAAAAAATATCCAAAAAACAGGCACTGGTAAATTTTTCGTCATTTGGATTTATCCGGAAAACTCGAAATTTCAAGGTCACAATGACAAAATTAAAAGCAAAAAAGACAAGTGTTTTACAAATAAACTTCATAAGAGCACGTGGTCACTGGTCCTGAGGAGATCCCACTTAAAGGGACACTGAGAGGGTATTTATGCCCACCAAGGATTTTATTTGTACACGACATATGGGAGCGCAACTACCCAGAACCCAATTTGCGGCTCAAAATTAGTTTTCTTTCCGCCGGAAAACCGCCAATCGAGAACTGGTGGGTTTGAATCGCGCTCACTCTCTTCTCCGTAGTCACGAGCAGTTTTATATGGTTAAGACACAACTACCAAAGATGATCAAGCTCGTGGTTCATCGAAGGCAGCCACTCAATACTAAAATATAAACTAAACTATGATACCCATTTTTTGTGGCGTCTAAAAAACTGCAAATACGTTGATTGAAAAAAAAAAAAGGAAGTTGCACGGCCAGGTGACTTTTGGCAACTTTCTCCTCCTCTATATTTCTTCTTCTTCCCCAGTCCAGTTTCGGTTTCGGTTTCAAGCAGTTGCATTTCTTATTTTATTAACAATATACGTGACACTGTAGCAAAATACTGACTGGGTAATCTTCGGACACCATAATAGATCGCCTGGCAAAAAATTAAAAACAAGCTTTGGGGGTTGTCAGTGTCCCTTTAAGTTTCCTTTAAAATCTCAAACTACTGACAAAAGGGGTTCGCTTTTTAGCTTGTCAAGGTTTCTTCAAGAGAATGTTTCATAGTACCCGGACTTCATTTATTTTGGTTTTGAATTTTTATAAACTGGGTACACGGTAAAATAAACTCAGAATTTCAGACAATTGTGAATCGAACAAAAATAAACTCCGAAAAACACCCTCTGCATTTCGTGAAAAATGAACACGGAAAGCAACTTTTAAGTTTGAAATTGTAACATCACTACACAGTCTCATTTCTGGAATTTGAAGGCATAAGCAACGAAAATACTGAAGACAAGCTGGCAACAAAACTACCAAATCAAAGACTTTCTTGCAGAATGATCCCTGATTTAATAGCATTTATGAATCCTGGCACAACCCAACTGCCTATAACAACCCTTTAGCCAGTCCATTTCTTCTGGAGGCTTTGGAACAATGCAGCGGTTGTAAGTCACGGCTTATTCAATGGCCCACCTCTATTCCATGCTTCACCTTAATGAAGAACACAGCAGAGCTTCTACATGGTTCGGACACAATAGGAAGCAAGAGTCACGGCTCCCGACTCGTGCCATTACTTTAAACGCAGCATAGACTACATCCTGACTTCGCTGCAGGGGTTGAGGCAAAGTACGACAGCAACCGACCTTCTGCACGGTTGATATCCGGTCTCTACTTGGCCGCCAACCGTTCGTGCTGCCGTCCTTCGGCCTCTGGAAGTCCTCCTCCGAGCATCTTGTCCGATTTCTAAAAGCAGAGTCTTAGCTAAGACTGCGTGAAAGCAAGCCTGCCAAGCCTTGGGGCACGAGCTCTTGAGACTCGTCTTAATGTGCCACTTACTCCACTGTGCGACAACCTTGGCAGTGCTTTCTTTTTTCACGGTCTAGCTAAGACTTCGTTACTAGAAAACCGGCCCTCGCTTACCAAAAAAAAGTAAACGACCGTTCGCAAAATCAATGCACAGTCTCTATTGAGCCACCGACCGTTTGTGTGGTCATTCTTCGGCCTCCGGAGGTCGGCCGCAGGGTTCACTCTTTGAGCGTCCAAAGCACTCCGAAAGACGGCAGCCAACCGTTCGCACAGTCGACGTTTGGCTCCCTCTGAGCCACCGACGGTCGGCGAAGCCATCGTATGGCCTCCGAAGGTCGGCCACGGGGGTCACCCCTCGAGCACCTGGAGCAGGAGTTTGAGCAGCCCAACCAGCACGGTCCAGAGCAGGGACTCGTCGGGCAGCTGGCTGCCGGAGTCCTCCCGGCTGGGCTCGGGCGGGTCTTCGCCCCGGGGCTCCTGCTTCTCGGCCATGTAGTTGTAGTCGAAGAAGAGCAGGTTCTCGGCCGAGTCCTCTACGCGCACCTCTAGCTCGTACGTGCTCATTGCGTGCGACGGGTGGCCGTAGATGCCGATGCCCACGGGGCGCTTGAAGTGCCGCGGCAACTCCAGACGCTCCGAGCCGCATGTCGTCGACTGCGAAGGCCACGCGCCAGAGGGGGGCAAAGATGAGAGTGTGGCTTTACGGTGCCTGGGCTCGCTTGGAGCGGAGTGGCCAAAAACAAACTCTGTTGGCAAATGAGCCCAAGATAGAAGGGCACAGCCCACTCTGGAAACTTATCGGTAGGCACTCACAGAGTGAGAATAGAGGGGCAGAGTGAGAATGGCAGGGCGTGTCATTCGAACGGCCAGCCTTCAGCACGCACTTCATGTCTTCTGCCATGTTTTGGCTACGTGCATGCACTCGAGGTGCATAAAATGCCAAAACGCTGTCGAATGTAGGAAGCATGCACTGGAGACACGACAACTGAAGCTTCTCCCAGCCGTTCTCACTTTGTGAGTAACTATAGACCGCTCTACAAGAGTAAGAGGAGAGAGAGAAACAAGCCTCCCCTACAGCCCACTGGAATTGACCAAACAATGGGCACGGCTTGTACAGTCTTTCTCTCCTATCCTGCCAAATTGGTTGCAACACCCCGTGGAAGACGGACGGCTTATCGTCTGCTGTCAGGATCGAATGCATCCCCTCTCCCCCTTTTACCCCAACGGTTCCGCTGAAATGCCCGTACGTATGTAGAAGGTGCTGCAGACAAACAAAATGGAGCCTCCCAGAGAGCCTTTAGTAGAATGGTCTATCGTGACTACCGAAACCTAACAACCCGTCTCTGCGGTAGTCTGCAGAAAAAGAGCACTCCACCTGGAGGCAGTGGTTGTCCAGGTCGAAGGTGGGCTGCACATTTCGCTCCGCCACGTAGAGGTCCGGGTCTCCAGACACCGGGTGCAGCAGGATGGTGACCGAGCCAGGCTTGGATAGGGTGTAGTAGCTGTAGTTGCCGCCGCCCACCGTGCCTGACACCCGCTCGTGGAACACCGCTCCCGCAGATGCTGCCACGCACAAGAGCAGCAGCAAGAGCCAGCTGCTGCCGTGCGCACGCCCTGCATGCGTGCCACGGTGCGCTTGTCATAACCGGCTATGCGTGATACACCCAAATAAAACTTAGTCTTCTACAGTCCATTGCAACTCAAGAAGGTAGGCCAGAGAGGGGGGAAAACTTTCCAGCGTTCCAGCACAGGGAACGCTGGAAAAGAGGGGGGAAAACTTCTTCCTCTCTTTAGCGTTTTGTCTGCTTCCTCCTCCCTGGTCTTCCTTTCCTTCGCCCTACCTTCCTGAGCTGCAACAAACTATAACACATCACATGCTTGGGGCTGGGAGCCCCGAGGGAAGTTCTGGCGATGCCACGAAAACCATTACGAAAGACGCAACATGTTCTAAAGAGCACAATCTGCACAGAAGACCATACAGCCGAGATGAAATCACATCCACACCAATTAGAGGGTAGATGCAAAGCTAGCTGGCTTTGTCTTTAGCACGGTGGATATCTACTAACTGTGCGAACGCAGACAACTAACGCCGGACACTGGTGTTTGGCATCCGAGTTTGAACAGTTTATGCACCCACCATCATATCAAAAATGATAGAGTTTGGTATAAAAACCAGTTGGTGGTGGCACATTGTGCAGCTGTCTTAAACAATCTCACATGTTCTTCGTGTTCCTTTGACATCAATTTTCTGTCCGAAACTTTGTATTGGACTGACACTGACGTTGTATGTATTCTGGGGTATAACCCGTTTTATATCAACCGCCCTTCAAAACAAGGGGGGAGGCGCTGCTATACTGATAAAAAAAAAAGATATCTGCGAAGTGTTATTCGCCAACAGTTTATCGAACAGCGTTATTGAAATGTTAATCGTGCAATCTGGGCGCAATACCTTTTTTGTTGTATATCGTCCACCTCTTGGTGGACGATATACAACTGGTGACTTCAACATTGATATGAGAACAAACAACCCCATTCAGCAACAAATATTAATTTCACTTCACAGTACAGGTTTCCAGGATGTAATTACTAGTTTTATGTGCATCACAGCTTCTGTTTTAGACCTAATTATTACAAATAACAATGGCACATTTCTGGCAGGTCGTACTGCCACTAATATTTGTGATCATCTTCCATATTTTTGTGCATAAAAAAACAAATCCGCTCAAATCCTGTCAACAAAGTAAGACGTCAGCTCATAACTAAGGAAAGACTCGACATGTTTAGGAATCATATTTCCCGTGTCAATTGGGGCTAGGTTTACAATGCAGGAACTGTTGATGATGCTTATAATAGCTTTCTTGAGCTTTTCACTTCAATTTATAATGACTGCTTTCCCACTGTCGAAATAACACCACGTAAAAATGCGCACAAGCCCTGGGTGACTCGCAGACTTGTTCAGCTTGTCAAGAAAAAATACAAACTATTTGCAGCATTTAAATAAAAACAAGTCTCACTGTGATCATGCAATACAAGTCTTTGTGCAATTGGCTCAACAGTGAAATTAGGTCAGCTAGAATTGCTCACTACAATGATCTTTTTGGTCAACACCTTTCTATTAACTTAAAGAAAAATAGAAGTGCCTCAACCTACTCCTCAATAGAAACATTCAAAACCAAATGATTACAAGTTTAACAGTTAATGGCAATGTACTGTTGGATTCCAATTTGGCTACAGCATTTAATATTTTTTTTTTTGGCAAGTAGGTAACGGTCATTACATTCCTAACATTTTCGGTTTCTTATCTTTATTTTTTGAACCAACAGACGAATTTGAAGTTTCCTCGATTTGTAAAAGCCTAAAAGATATGAATAGCCTTGACTCGCATAACCTGCAGAGTCGCCCGATCAAATGTGCTGCCAACAATTTTACCATGTCTAACACGTATCTAAAATGAAGCCCTTATGACAGGGCCCTTTCCTATGGATATGCAGCTGGCAAGGTTTGCAGTAATTCATAAGAGAGGCGACAGAAATGATCTCGGGCACTATAGGCCCATATCTGTACTTATGTGTTTTCCAAAAGGGTTAGAACGCATAATTTGTTGCCGTTTAAATAACTTTTTATTAAAACACTCTGTGATAGCTAATTGCCAATATGCACTTACTAAAAATAGATCAACGGAATGTGCCTTACTTGTCCAAAAGGAATACATTTTGAAAAATTTTGAATCGCAGCTTCTTACTCTTGGTGTTTTTGTTGACTTTACCAAATCGTTTGATGCCATAAATCACAAAATTCTCTGCGTTAAACTAGAGCATTGGGGTGTATGAGGGAATGACCGAAATCTCGTTAAGTCATATCTAACTAAGCTTGCGGTTTCAATATGTTGTTATGAGTCACTGCCCCTCAAATACCCTTCAAATCTACAATGGCTTCCCTCAGGGTAGTATTTTAGGGCCATTACTATTTAATGTGTATATAAATGATATTTCCAATATTAGCCCTTTACCAAAATATGTTGCCTATGCAGAAGACACTAGCCTTTTTTTTTCTTCTAATATCAAACAACTGATCCTCAGTGAAAACAGTGTATTGACATTATTAATGCAATGGTCATGTCAATTTGTTAAAAATAAACAACAAAAAAAACAACTAAAGCAATAGTTCTCCGCCCTAAAGGAAAGCCTGTAATTAATCCAACGGTCATAGTTTTGAAGGATACTGTAATGGAGTAAGTGGAAAGCTTCTGATCCGTCGGTGTAACTTTTTTGCAACATTAATGTGGCATGCCCATAGGAACGAGCTTTGTGTTGCCCTCTTTAACACAGTTGGAATTACTTCTCGTCATAGGCATGTTTTACCTATGAAAACAAAGCTGACTCTGGAGTATTTTTCCTTTTTCATACCTAATCTATTGTTTCCTTGTTTGGGGAGATACACAGTATCTAATACACAAGAGATCATAATTTTACAAAAAGAAAATGCTTCCTGTTATTAAAATATCCCATACGATTCCCCTACTAGGCAGACTCTCCTACAGTTTAAAACTGTGCCTGTAAATAATTTATTTAAATATAGATTTGCCCGTTTGTCAAACAAAAAAAAATTATGAACAATGGAAAGAAAAGGTCCTTTTTTACCTACCCAGATGCAGAACAAATTATGGCTTTGCTACGCTGAGTTATATATTGCCTAAACTTTTAAATTCTCCCTCGCATGATTTTTTTAAACCAGAAGTCTTTTTCTAGTCTCCATAACTATTTTTTGCAACTTACTATTGTTTCCACTGTAAGTAAAATCTGTATAGTGCAACAATTTAGCGGGGAAAATTTTCTGCTAAATTTAGCGGGAAATTTTTTCCACTAAATTTAGCGAGAAAATTTTTCTGCGAAATGCAGCAGGGAAATTTTTTCTCCTAAATTTAGAGGGGAAATTTTTTCGCTAAATTTAGCGGGGAAATTTTCACACTAACTTTAGCGGCAAAAATGTTTCGCTATAATTAGAGGGGAATTTTTTCTGCTCAATTTAATGTGGTATTTTTTCTGCTAAATCTAGAGGGGAAATTTTTCCAATAAATTTAGCGGGGAATTTTTTCTGCTAGATTTAGCGGGAAAATTTTCTCACTAAATGTAGCGGGGAAATTTTTCCGCTAAATTTAGCGGGGAAATTTACCCATAATGCAACACACGGTAAAGTCACAAGTGACGTTACTGGTGACCCTCATGATGTCACATGTGACGTCATCATAGGGAACGTACTGGAAGCAGGTGCCTAAGAGCTGCGCTCTAAAAAAAAAATGTGCCAGCGGGCCAGATTAGATGCCAAAGTTTTAGAGCTGGTTCGCACGTCTGCGCCAGTTGCGTCCACAGCAACCGAAATGATGGCAAAGCCTCGGACACCGGCACGACCGTGGATCGTGCCTGCTACACGAAGTTACTTCTTGCTAGCTTGCCATGTTATGTATGGCAAACAGTTACCCCAATGAATTAGCCCTTGCTGTCGTTTCGGTCGTTCTGAACACAACCGACACGACCGTCTGAGCCAATCCTTATTCAAAGTGATTTTCGAAACTTTTCAATATGAAAATGTCCCCTGGCTAAACCCACAAATGGGTCCAGAAAATAAATTATAACTTCTGAATATGACAACTGGTTCTGAGACTCTAGCATCTTGTTCGGACCACTAGCACTACATTTCAATGTAGATTAGGCGTTTGGCAATGCATAAGTCATTTTTGGGGCTAAAAAAAAAAAAAAGAACATAGTAATTTTTTTTTTTTTTTTTTGGGGGGGGGGGGGGGGGGGGGGTATGTGCTGCAGATATAGGAACACATTTATTGCGAGGCTTGTTCTATGCAGATGCTGGTTCACAACAACTCCTTTTTGAAAAAGCAGTCAAGTTTTTCCAAAAGATTGCTTATACAACAAAAACTTCTGTCTGTGATGTTGATTCATGGTGGTTGCATCTTCTTGGCACATGCCCTGTCTTCGTTTTAGTGTGAACCCCAGAGCTGCCTGTAAGTAGTAACGATTACCAAAAAGTACCAGGCTGGCATTATAAGTGTCCCTTTTGTGAACCTCACTGCTGAAATGTCAAGCTCTTCAAATCGAATGACTATCCCGAGATTGAGAATGAATGGAGGTACGCAGGTAAGCAGACATCATAAAATTGTATAAGTGTTTTGTATAGATTGGCTGTCAGTATTTCAAGCAACAAGACATCAGTAGTTTCCTTTAGACTAGGATCATCAAATTTCACTCCAGCAAGCCCTTCTCAGCCAGACTGGTCAGCACCGAAGCTTCAGTCGTCTACCAGCTGACGTGCACGTCAGGTCAAGTAAATGTCTATAGTAAATGTCTTGGAGAGGCATGGATGCTTCATCATGTGGCAGGGCTCGTTTTCACACCCTGAAGCAGTGCTTTGCTGGGTTAGAATTCCTATATACAAGGTCTGTCCATCTAGCCTTTCACTTAGCCAGACGTAGGAACCTTAACCTGTTCGTTTCCCAGTGTTCGGTAAAGTACATTTGAAAAGTACCTCAAGTAAAGTACAAGGTAAATTAGAGGTTAAGTATTTCAAGTAAAGTAGTAAATACACTGGGTGCAATGTACTCCAAGTGAAGTACTATAAGTAGAATGTACTTTCAAAACAGTACAGGTACTTTTTTAACACAATCTTTCATGATGCCCTTTCATTCCCCTATACAGTGTTTTGTTTAGAACTGACACGCATTACCCGGAGGTAATCGGGGATGCATCAGTCATTTTTCGAAAATGGCGGCGAATACTGGATAAAGTCAAGATGCTATAGAGTAGTTGTTTCACTCCTGCTGGCAAACTATTTAACACAATCAACTTATAAGGCACTTTTTTGTATCGGTCTTATAGACAGAGAATTGACTGATTGACGTCTTGAAAGAGGATAGCGTGTTGTCGCATGACTATGCGCCATTTTTTTCATAGATGTTCTTGAACCCTTATAGTCAACCTCAGAAATTGTACTGGGAAAGCCAAGGACGCAAGCAAGCGTTCCTTGAGAGAGCGTAATTTCACCCTTTCCTCGGAAAGTACCAGCAAAAATGCTTAAAGTAGAAGTACATACTCAAAGATTGTACTTCAAGTAAAGTACATTAAGTACAATGTGTTTCAAATACTTCCCAACAGTGTCGTTTTCTACCGCCCTAGCAATACTTTTCATTTCGGAGCACCACTTTAAACTGCCAGCGAGAACTCTGACGGCTGAACCACACATTTGCATTTGAGTGTGATTAACTGCGTTGCAACAACTTACAAGAAGTAAAGCCCCTTCAGGTTTCAAAAGTAGCACAAGGTGCACCGATGCACAAGGCACATGCAACGTGCAGCCCTCGGGAAGATCATGGCGGCACAGTGCAGCACCGAGCTACATTTCAGACACCATGAATTTCCCAGAAGTGGCGTGGGGCACGTGCCTTGAGCATTTCTACAACAATGAATGGCGCCACTTTTCCCAGGATAGAGGGGTTTTAACGACGAGATCACGCTAGCGCCATCTAACCAGTGACCCAGAAACACTTCTATTCTGTTTTATTAATGCAAACTTTTTTTTTACAGCGGAGCTGTTAAGGGCTAGCTTCCCCAGGATCATGTCGGTCCACACCGAAATGTTGACACAACACTCTGGTTGTCACCGTCGCTCATAGATGGCGGTAGCTGTCCAGAGCTGTACCTTCAGTCCAATTAAAAGCAGATAAAAAAAATTCCAAAGCTACTGATAGATGGCGCCAGTGTAATGTCACAACTCACAAGTGACGTCACAAAAACGAGCAGGTAGCAGAGAAAAAGAATTGGAAAGAACAAAAAGCGAGGGAACTTTGTTCAGCTACAACAGAGTGCGTATGACAGCACAAAGTGGAGCTTCCCAGTGGTCTGAAAAGCAGAATTTAAACAGTTCATTGCGTTCAGGCCTGTTCACACATGCAGCGGAGCGCTACAAGCACAGCGCTGACCTCGCAGTAAGCGCGTGCTGACGGGAGCGCGTTCACCAGCTTTGTATCGCACCGTCAAAAGTGTGAGCAGCGCTACATCAGCGCTTCGCTGCATGTGAGAACCGGCCTTTAGTCCACGATTTTGATGCTTACTTCGCACATGACTCGGGTGTTCAACTTCGATTTTATCCACATGTGGCTTAGCCGGCAATTTGAAAGACGCCTACCGCAAGACCATTTACCGCCGACACTACTGTTCAGTCGACAAGCCACTGAGTCGATTAATGATTCGCGGAGTGCAAAGATTGTTTTCCCTGAGAGTCTCGAGCGGGCATTACCGTTGAAGAGCCAGCAGTCCATGTTTCTGCTGGATCAGCTGGCAAGGTGTCGATCATTTTAGCGACTCATCGCGACGCTGGCAGTGGACTCTTGCCGGGTTGCCGCTGGTAAAACGCCCGGTCATCGAAACGCTCACCACGGAACTGCTGCAAGAAAACAACCGGCCGTCACGGTACACAGCACGATGCAGCTCGTTGCACAGAAACACGGTGTATCGCACGAAATAAACACGGCAAAATTATCCGGCAAATACGATGAGTAGACAATTTATCAAAAGTGGCATATTCGTAACATTGGGCGGTGACTCGCGCCATTGTGGTTTGGTGGTAATAAAAGAACTCGTCATTTTTTGTAACAAAAGTATTATTATAAAAATAATAAAAAAATAATTTATAAGTTCAACTTATTTTATTTTACTATGCCAATTTAAAACTATTTTATGTTTACCACAAACACCAGAGGACAGAAGCTAAAGACCTAATCACCGCTTAACTCCATTGGAAAGATTGGAAACAACCCTGATCACCCTGATTGAATGTTGCCCGTTGCTGCGGTAACCAAAGGCGACGCTGAACGCTCGAGATCCTGCGTGTTGCTGTGTGCGTCTTGGCGTGCGCGTTTCGAGGTTCCAGGAGGTTTCAAGCAGCATACTTTTTTTCTGGTTATGGCCGTGAAGTATCCCGCTGTGCAAAGTATAACTGTGTAACAGTAGCGCTCATCTAGCATAAACAGACGCTCCGGACGATCAAACGCGTCCTGTCCTGCGCTCGGCGGCCACGTGCAAAGAGAGGCAATCAGACGGTTGCCCGAAAGCCGTGCCAAGAACGGTGGCAAAATGGCTAAAAGGAAACACTCACCTGTTGCAGCACCCAGGAACAACAAGGTAAAAGGCATTTTCCCCTGAGATGCCTCCTGAGATGTCTTCAATATTTTGAATGCGAAAACATTAACTATATCCCATGGAGCGGGGCCGGCGGTGTCTGAAGCCGCGAAAGAACGCGAAGCAGTGCCCATTCTCCCATTAGCCGCTCTACAACGCTTCTCTTTCTCTCTCTCTCTCACTCTCTCCTCACGAGAGCGCGCGCTCAGCCGTCGCTCTTGTGTCAGGCGTTGCCGAAGCGCAAGACTGCTGTAGGTAAAGAAAGGGAAAGTTCCTCAAGCCTCTTTCCACTTAAACAAAGCAAATGCAGGGGAGGAGGAAACCACTAACTATGGTGATCAGAAAGCTTTAGGGGAGGGGCTTGATCCTGCTTCTCTTGACTTGCAACAGATATATAGAGGGGCCGCTTGAATGGCGCTGCAGTGTGTCCTTTCTATTAGACATGTCCTGTCTGCTTTCTCTCATCTCCGATTTGTAATTATTAATACGATGACTGGGGTGGTACGTCGCCTGCAAGACGCAGTTCTGCACTGAATTTCTGGGTATAACGATGGTTATGTTGTCTAGTGACGTGGAGGCTACGTCGTTTAAACGGAAAATAATAGTTGCTAACGTTATGGCCGCAAGCAGAAGGATAGGAAGCTTACTCTCGCCAGCCCTATCTCCTCGCCGTTTTTCCCGCAACACGAAAGAACCCCCTCCTCGCCGTTTAAAACTAGGAAAGACTAGTTATTCCTACAAATGCAGAAGCTGCACCTTCTTTCTTTCCCTCCCTTGAAGCTTCTGACCTTTGGACTTGAAGTACACAAAGAGTACTGTATACTCTGTTTAACTCTAAGCCGACAGTCGATGCGGTGGGAGCTATGTGGTCGTCAGACCAGTCATACGCCTATCTCTCCCTGTGTGATTACGCTCCCGCCCCCTACGCGCAGAGAGCAGTGTCAGGCGATGAAAGGGAAGTGGTTGATTGATCCAACAAGTGCAAGCTCCAACACTGTGTGCTTTGGGCTGAACAGAGCATAAACTAAAACTCAGGAAAGCCGAGCCACTGTTCTTCTCGCTTGCTGGCTTCGGCTAAGCCCATCAAGCTCCTTGTGTGAAACAGTCCCACACACTTTTGTATTAGCTACTGTGCACCATAATTAATGGCGTAGGGTCGATGGTGGCCACGACTTTATGCCTTATGCTAAGAACTCGCCTAGCATCTGTCTCCGCTGGTCTGGAGATGATAATCTAAGTACATTTGGTGTTATTGGCATGTCATCGTCCTTTTGGTACGGGTTTTGTCACATACCCCCCTTGCGAATTCGTATGCATCATAGTGAACTGGGGCCCATTCTGCTGTTGGTCCCAACCATATTTCAGTGGTGGTGGCTTTCTTCCAGGTCGGGCAAAAGGCGGATGGCATAACACCGAGGAAAAAGAGGAAGAGCACGCAGCGTAATGGTGGAGTGCAGGTGAGTAGCTTTATAAAGAGATGACTGCATACGATATATCTTTTCACATACATAACAGCCACCTCAATCGCTTCGAGAAAAACGGCCGGCCTAAGGATTCCCAGGTTGCGGGTTCGAATCCCGGTTGAGGTGCCCGCAATCCGATGGAGGCTCAATATGGGGAAGATGCTGTGTACTCAAGATTTCGATTGTACATCCAAAAGATCTTCAGGAGGTTGAAATTAATCCTCAGTCCTCCTCTGGGGCATGCCAGATGCCCTTCAACAGTTTGGCACATAAGACCCCAAATTTGACTTTTTCTGACATGCATCACCATGTCGTACCTCTTCACATACATTATAGTATACCATATTATATCGCATCACATTTCCTTCATTCATACCGTATCACCTCACAATGTATAAAATTTTTTACGGAGCATGCAAGTTCCAATCATGGAGATCTGCCGAAGGAGATCGGTGAATGACGTCACCACAGATAATGTGTGCACTCGAAATCGCGAGCTGTGTTGGGACTTTGAGCACATATGCCCTGCTCTCGGTATGACAGTGTAGCTTACTGTTTTGAGTCTGAGCCTATATCTTTGTCTTCTCATTCTATGGTTTCCTCCATGAATTTAAATGATTTCTTCTGCATGGTGCATGAGAAAGTAAGTGCGTAGGTTTCTTTCCTAAACCCTAGATTTTGGAAAACTTCAATTTTCAGAGAAAATGTGGCAGTAGAGAGGGTCTTACGGAGCTTTAAATATTGTTAATCGATGGCCTTATGTTCTACTCCAACAGTGGGGTGCAGTTGTTTTTTGGAGAATGTCAAAAGGTAGACTAACCTCGAATGAAGCTTTTTCAAGGAGCAAATGTAGTTCTGCCAATTTATGGTGGCCCTTTGGAATTCCAATTCATACACTGGGTAAGAGCTCTTTCTGCTCTTTCCGCCCCATATTTTCATCTCATCAGATCGACTTTAATTGTTCTTTAGATAGCCAAAATGGCAAAACAGCATGCAAAGAACAAAGACAGAGAATAAGGGACTAAATAGGACAAGCACTGAGACTCGACTGAACGTTCAATGAAGAACATACCAGCAACAACAATCATCTCAGTCATGGTCAATCACCATGTGTAGAAAAAAAAAATATCTCTTTGCTATGCAGAGTGACTGAAGTTTGGCTGATGTAATGATCACGCCCTTCCATTTTGATAGTGTAAGCCTCTTTAGCTTCTTTGCCCCTTCAAACAATCATGACTTGTTAGAAGAATCTGCTTACATGCCACCTTGATTCTTTAGATGCTGTCACAGAACTAAGTTGCGGTCTCTATGATCAATCAAGTGGCAATTGTAAAAAAAACACAAATACTACTGCACAAGAAATTAAGAACCGAATTTCAGTTTCTTCTTGGTATGCTTAAGTTTCAGTTCAGTTTATTACATTCCACAGTAAAGAATGGGGAGGGGGGGACTGGAGAAGGAAACTGCAACAGTGCAGTTTGTCAAGGCCCCTGAACCCTATGTTAGGCAAATGTGCAGACAAGAAAATTACAAAATTATGTCAAGCAGCAAATAATAAGTCATACATGAAAATATTAGACTTGGAGAGAGAGAGAAAATTGTACATTGCTTTTCTGTTTGTACCTTAAAGACCGACCGCCAGTTCGCGCTTTCCATTTTTCACCCGCTTCCTCCTCTCCCCCCCTTCTACCCTGTCCACAGTTGCCTGTTTCCTCCTCCCCCACGGTGAGGAGGATCTTCTGCCTTGCAGAATCTCGAGTCTGGTCGTCGGCCTTTAAGCAAAATTGCTTTGCTCATTTAAAAAATTCCCCCTATGAGTAATGTTTGCGGAAACATCTGCTGCCCAATGTAATTGACGAAAATCGACTGTCTTAGACATTCCGTCAAACGCAGTGAATAGCATTTTCACTGCAGCGCTTGCTATCAGATTGATGTTTAGTGTGGCATCTGGCGATGAAATTGTGATTGTATAAGGGGACTTGAGTTCATTGCATCTTTTTTTTATATGCCACCACGCATGCAATGTTTTGGTGGAACGCCGCCGCACCTATTGCAGGGGTTGACCAATAAAATAAAACATGGTTCTTTGGCCTGCAAAAACAAACTGTGCATCCCTGAAAGTTGAAACTCCATGAAAATGTGATGCCGGCGGTGCTAAAAAAGAATTCCGAAGTTTGAGAATGCGACGTTACCTAGTTCAAAAGACACAGAGAACCAAATTTCTCTATGAGCCGAGGTCCCGCCTAAGCCTAGTATTAATCGAGCTAAGAAATGACATTGTTAGCACCTGTAACATTTTTCATTAAAAAAAAAAATAATAATAATAAAAACTTGTCAGAAACGACATATTTGTCAACCCTAAGGCCAGAACAACACAGTCTCCAATGCAGCTCAAATTTGTTGGTTCAAGCGTACCAATAAATAGACTTTCCAATGCAGGAAAAAAAAAAGGTAAAGAGGGACCATTAATGCATACACAGGAAACCCACGGAGTGTCTTCTCTCAGTAACCGACGCTACAGCTAGCACCCACAACATAGTTTTCTGGCTCGATGAACATTAGGTTTAGGCGGACCTTGGCGCTTAGAGAAATTTTGTTTTTCTCTCGCGCCTTTCGATCCAGCTAGCGGGGTGTGCTCGAAACCTTCACATTTTATCACCTCCGCCAGCGTCGCATTCTTGGGAGTTCCAGCTTTCTACGATGCACAGTTTATTTATGTGGGCCGAAAAATCAGGTTTCATCTTCTCGATCTACCCCTCCCTTCCCCATACTACAGCCACTGTCGAGATGAAAACGGCAGGGCGTGTTTCTCGAATGCCCGGCCTCCAGCATGCTCTTGTCGTCTTCCAACATGCTTCGACTGCATGTGTATGCTCGAGGCTGCGGAGACGCCGACGCGTTTATCCAAGGTCTCTCATCGGAGACGGGATTCCCAAAACTCCTCCCCGCCATTGTTATCCTGTCATTGACTACTCTGCTTCTATTGTGGAGGGAGGAAGAGAGGGGAGTATCACACTGTTTCACCTTAAGTCCAGAAGCAGCCAACGCCACGAGCCAATGGGATGGCAACAAAAGTGCACAGTCATGGTGTTCATCGTGTTTCTGCATGTGTTCTATCATTGTTGAACCACTTGCAAACAGAACAGGCCCGATGGCTCGCGCATTCAACGCCGCTCAATCGGTCCCGCTGGCTTGTGGCGTCGGCCGCGCCGAAACGAAGCGTGATGCATCGCTTACCCCGCCCTCCCTCCACCTTCGCTATGTCGATCGTGCACGCTATGACGTCGGACCGCAAGAGAGAGGGAGTCGGCTACAGGAGAGAATGTTAGCAATAGAGCTATGCTTTATTGCTGGCACCATCTTTCATGGCTCGCTTTCTAGGGCACGACGAACGCCACTGAGGGAAGTTCGGAGGGTCCCCGTATTAAGCCATCGCTTTGAAGGCGCATTTTGGTCGTAGTCATTTTTCACTCGAGAGTATTGTCCACAAGAAAAGCAAATTGTCGAAGAGGGACGAACCTCTTGCCATGACGTCGTCCTGTCTATTTTCTGTCCCTTCTACGTTTTGATGTTTCTTCTCTACCCCAGTCTCAGGTTAATTCAGCATGGTTAATATTCACCAGCTCGCCTGCACCCTTGCGATTTTTTCTCTTGCAAAGGACCTTCTTGTGGAGAATGGGCCTTCCGGCGGAAGCTCCGGCAAGGGGGGCCCAGCCGCGAGTGACGCCAGACTGGAAGATCCGTTCCCATGGCTGCCTTCCAGGGGAGCCAAGGGTAGCGAGGCGGTCGCTTCTCGCTCTTTCGACTGGCTCATCCAGCCCATCGGGCAGGAGCGCTTCTTCAGGTGTGTCTTCACGCTCGGAACCTGCAAAGGGCCTGTGTTCCAGCAGCGGATTTAAGGAATGGTGGAGGGAAGCCGCCCCCCTAAGCCCCTTAAAGGCAATTTTTAACACAGTGTGTGTTTTATTAATGTTTTCTATGAGGAAATTTATATAAAGAACCGTCAGGAAGGACCATCCGAAAAGAGTGTCAGAAACAAGCGTTACACAATTTGGCGACTTCGCATATCTGCTCTACTACACCAGTTCAACCTCCCCGTTTAATTTAGTGAGGAAAGTGCAGTAGAAGGGTGGGGGAGGGGCAAGGAAGGGAATGGAGACAGACAGTGAAAAGAGGGGCATGATAGGCTGGTTAGGTGATGGATTGGGAAAGGGAGAGAAAGAAAAGGAGAGGAAATTTACAAGATAAAATTAAATAAATAAATGTGTGTGTGTTTTTGAGGGACAGGTTCTGTACCCTTGGTTTCTGTCTAGATCAGGGGTGGCGAAACCGCAGCTCGCGAGCCGCATGCGGCTCTTTGCTGGTTCAAGTGTGGCTCGCAGATCCCTCAAAAGGACCCCCCCCCCCCCCCCCCCCCCCCCGGCCCCTATCCGCGTTTCCCCAGGAAAAAAAGAAGGTATTTCCGGCAGAATAAAGTATGGCCCTCGGTTTCGCTATTTTATTACGTACTACTTTATTACGTATAAATGCACAGCCTTGTGCACTCATATGTACAGTCAGACTCTGAACAAAAATTAAACTTGCCCCCCCCCCCCCCCCCGCGGCGCTTGGAAGTTTCGTGGTTTCGTTTGCGGCTCTTAGGCCGGGTCAGCGTGGCCACCCCTGGTCTAGATGATCAAACTTGTGTGATTTGTTTTAATGATAAAAACAATATACACCAGCTGTTTTTTAGGAAGAACTGTTAAACTTTTGGTGAAATGGCAAATGTTAGATAAACAATCTACAGGGATAGATAGAGAAAACTACTGAATGCAGAAAGCCGAAACTCAGTGAGAGTGTGACGCTAGCGGTGGTGATGAAATGTGAACGATTTGAGCACATGACGTTACCTAGATCAAAAGATGCGAAAGAAAACAAAATTTCTCTACGAGCCAACGTCCACTCACACCTAATATTCACCAAACTGAAATTGGAGATTGTGGGTGTCTGTAGCAATTACGTCAGTGAAAAAAAACCTGTAAACAAGAAAGCGAACAGTGTCGTCTTTCTAACTGACAATATTTTTTTTTCACTGTAATAAATGCTACAGGTGTCACTATCTTTAATTTCAAAAATGATGAATATCAGGCCTAAAATAATGTCGGCTCGTACAGAACTTTTGTTTTTGTTTTGTATCTTTTGATCCAAGTAATGTCACGTGCTCAAACTTTTGTATTCTATCACCACCGCTAGCGTCAACATTATCACCGAGTTGATGCTTTCTGCGATCATAGTTTAGTTATGCGTGCCGAAGATCCGGGTTTTATTTTCTCGATCGAATTCTATACATGAACTCATCTCTGTTACGTCATGGCGCGGTGGTGGCGTGTCGGACGCACTTCTGGTCCGGGGCCGTGGGCGGAAGTGTTTATCTGAGATGTGTATTCCTGCGTTGTTTTGAAAGGAACCAGACAAAAGCCTGCCTTCTTGTCAAAATGCTGCGATTGGGGCTGTACCAAAAGGGTCGAGAAAGGTTTGAAGGTCAGTTTTCATGCGCTCGGTTCGTCCGAGAGTCTGGATATGTGCTGTGAAAAGGGAAAACCAGACGCCGTCGGACTACGATTACTTGGGCAGAAAGCATTTTGGGTTGAATTCACGGATACTTCTGGCCATCAGATTTATTTGTTTTGTTCCAAAATGAACGCCGGAAAACCGTCAAGTTGTACGGACCACCTGCGGACTACGTTCAGTGCGTCTTCAATTTCAAACGGTCGCCTGATTGTTCGAACTGTCGTCTGCTCTTTCAAACGTTTCTGCTTGTCGTCTGCTCTTTTAGAGGACACCGGCCCGTAGACCAAACGTGGGCCCTGTACTTGCGATAAGAAGTAAGTGCAGGCCTCAAAAGACTTAAGTTTTAAGGTTGGTAAGCAGGCTCGTCATAAACAGTAGATACAAGGAGATGTTGCTCATTGTTACCAGTGGCCATCGCCGACTTGTTATGCCTTGCGATTTTCAGTATCGACGTCGACCATCTCGGCTACGGTTCACGCATTTGCAGTCCGAGCGACGTCACTACTGAAAATTCCGAGCGAAATCTCATCATGTGAGTCAGGCTTTAGCGTACATTCCGCGGCATCCACGCGGAATGAATCGCCGCAAGTCAGATTATTCACGCGAAGTTTTGCGGTGTAACGAGCGTCGTCAATTTCGCTGACGCTGCTCAAGTAGTCAGACATCGTTAGGAGGACGTAGAATCAACAATTCCAACGCGAAAAAGAGCGCGGGGACTCACACCGACGCCGACAACATCGCATTTTAATGGTTTGTTTATGGGCGACCGCGAGCTTCTTCCCCACACCCCCATCGCGCATGCGCGGCGCCGGTGGCGTCCGCTAGAGGCGCTCCGGGCGCTCTGGTTTGTTTGTAAACATGAGTTGGTGTATAGATCTGGGTAATGTTGTGATGTCACGTCCATCCATGATGGACGTGACGTCACAACCCTCTGCGGACTCCCCTCCCCCAACCAAGCCCACCACTCACACCTTCCCCCCAAGCCTGGCCTACAAATCCGCCCCTGCTGTGTTCTCCTGCTGCCTTCCACTTTGGCCAGCTTCGTGTTTTTCCTCGCCCTCCTCTGCCTCTTTTTTTCTGAAAATTTTGGCCCCCTTTCACTACGTCTCCCATATTACGAGGCCGTGGTGCTGGGGCCTTACCCTACATGGCGGGACTAAGAGTTTGGAATATGGCTACCTGCTGCAATTGGTCAGCGATTGGTCAGTCGGCGATGTCCCATTCTTGCTTCACCCCACTGTGTAAACTAAGTCCCTGGATTCCTCACGTCATTTGCTGGAGGCCAGACTGGGCTTAGCTGGGACTCGTATTTTTTTTTAACGTAGTAAAACAAAGGACGATGCAGATAAGAACAAAAAAGGGCATGGCACAGCTTTAATTTGAATTCCAAAACAAAGATAAACACATACATAGAAAGATAACATACACATGCTCACAGAACAGACTAGAGACATGGCAATCAAATCTAAGGGTGCTTGATTCTCATATTCTTTGAAGGGGCAGTGCAACATATTCAGTTGGAATGTTTTTCACTTTACACGAGCTTACGGCACTAGCGGGACCCAAGTATACTCGAACGCAACACCCCGACCAAGAAACGTTTTTGTTGCGGTGTAATTTAAATCTCAAAAGCGAGCGTTTTCTTTCAATCTCTCCTTCGCAAAACTTGATGACGTAGCGGGGCGGTCCAGTACCCCCAGTGACGATGTTTGAATGCAGCTCATAGATTGGACCCGAGCGTTGCGCGAGCCCTCGGTTTATGCTTGTTATAATCAATAGCTCGACGAGCATTCAAACATTGGCTTGTGTCCAATCGCTGCGATGACGACAACAGTTGAACCCTAGCAATGTCTGGAACCCAGCCGCGCGCTACTCGTTCTGCACATTGTCTTCAGTGAAATCTGGTGCTGTCAGTAATGCCGTCGAGGAGCTTGGATCTGGTAGACTTGGCACTTCTCGGGAGTTAGGGGATAAAATCTGGTCAATGAACTCGTCTTTGTTGCAGGTTGTGTGGAGGTTTTGGCATTGAAGTTCAGCTTTAATGAGCGTAATGCTCAGGCTCACAAGACTTTGGGTAATGGCAATACTCCAGTTGGTAAACGACATTGTTGGTTAACTGAATGTTATTGAGTGATGAAAAGGACTTAATCGGCTTAGAACTTGATTGGGTGTTCCATGGCATTCTGATTAAAAAAAGGCAGGGAAGGCAGGCTTACTTGGTGGTGAAGTGGCAGACTTAAGATGTCAACTGTGCCATAAGTGAGACTTTGTGGATTAAGAAAAATGCTTAATGAGTGAAAATAAAAGAAAATACTAAAGCGACGGTTGAGTCATGGCAAATCATGGCTGATGGCAATTTTGAGATTGATTGCAAAGGAAACTGAAGTGGCCTCTCCTCAGGACCACTACCCTCTGCTCTCAAGAAATTTATTTGCAAAACACTGTCTTGTTTGCTTTTTATTTTTCCTTCTTGACCTTGAAATTCTGAGTTTTTCCGATAAATTAAATTCAAATTGACATAAATTCTACTGGCTAGCATTTCTTGGGTTCTATCTTAAAATTTTATCTAAAAACACGGAACCCTATGCATATGACTCACATAAAACTTATTGGCGTGTCGTTTTTTTACTCAGATCTCGTGACAGGCACTTCCTCTGTGTTCCTGTTAATTCGCTTTCACAACTCTGATAGTTGGTGCCATGAGTGACTGCATGGGTCCTTTCCTGAACGGCAGGGAGCTGTGGGAGCAGAAGCCCCTGCTTGTGAAGCGGCATCAGCCGGGCTTCTACGGGGACCTGATGAGCTGCCAGCAGTTGGACCGCATCCTCAGGGAGGCAGGTCACCTCGCATTTTTTCCATTTTTATAGCCATGTATGTATTGGATGTGCCCAGTAGATCTTTCGCTGTAAAACGAGCCTGGAAAATCGGCGCCTGCATGCAGAAACCTTAAACTTCCACGGAACATGCATTGAGTTGGTGCATTTTACTTCGTGAAATTTCACGGCGTAGCTCTCTTCCCGTAAAAGATGATACCAACCAGACATGTACATAACGCATTACAAGTAACGAGTTTTTTTTATCGCTCACCAGTCACCTAGCTGTGTTTGGAGATTTGTGTTTTTCCTTTGTCCCTCTTGTTCCCCTTCTCCAGGGATTATTTTCGTCATTCTTGTCCAGCTCGCTTGCACCTTTGCATTTAATTGCATTATAACAATAAGGTTCGTTGGTTGAACCTTCTAGAACCGAGTGTGGACCGAATGTAAACCCAGAGGTTTCCAACGCGGGAAGGCACATAATCCATTGTCAACTTCGAACTTTAGAAGCGGGGAGAACATAATAAGAGGGGAATCCCAGATCCACCAGCTCTTGCTGAAGCACAACACTGCCGTTCCTTCGAGCGCCTCAGTAAATGACTCTTCAGCGTCGCCGGAGATGTATTTTCAAAGAAGCGGGGAAACAAAACTGATGAAAACTTCGAGGTGCAGCTACTGTTTAAGTGCAACGACTACTGAAAAGAAAATAATAAACCATAAAACAAAAACAGTTGTGTATTTGGTTGTCAAAGTAACTTGAAAAATAACTCGTTACTTTTGAGGTAACTCGCACGTTTCTTTTGAGAATCAATAACGAGTAATGTATTTAGTTCCTTTTTGAGCGAGTAACGTGTAACGCTATTTAGTTACTTTTTTGAGTAACGTTTACATGTCTGATAGCAACCCTCTTGCCAAAGTCAATGGCGGGTGTGTTCACAGACAACCGAGTTTGCGACGGACGTGACTTGGGTCGGCTTCCACCAACGCGCTGCGAGCAGACGACGCACTCTGCCGTTGATGCCAAGGACTGAAGTTGGAATGTCCCACACGTCGCATTGTTGCGTGCGATCTTGAGCAATGCTAACGCAGATGAGGCGTGTGAAAAGTGCCTTGTGAGGTTGGGACTTTTGATAATTCGCTCGGCCGCAAAGCATATCGGCTTTTTAACGCATTTACTCCGGGAACTATGGTACCGGTAAAGCCCCAAGCATTCATCTTCCTCCTCTCCCCCTACCGACGCCGCAGAGGCAGCTGTACTTCACGGAGAACGTGGACCTGACGACGTACCGCGGCGGCGTGCGAGAGACGCACAACCCGCCGGGACGCGCCCACGCCGCCGTGGTGTGGGACTCTTTCCAGCAGGGCTGCTCGGTGCGCCTGCTCAACCCCCAGACCTACAGCCGCCAGTTGTGGAGGCTCTGTGCCACCCTGCAGGAGTTCTTCGGCAGCATGGTCGGGGCCAACCTGTGAGTACCGCCACGGTGCCCAAGAACGCGTCTCCGACTTGCATGTGTAGCGTCCTATCCTGCCCGTACACCAAAAGAGGTCCCGAAGTGGCAACAAATGACGTTGCAAAAGCTGGCATGTCCTGCTGTCGGATTTCGCGGTACTTGCGGTTGGGCGTGGAGGTTCTGGAAGAAATTACGGGAGGACACTTAAGCTTTGCCTTTAAGAGTGGAACGCGATGCTTAAATATAAACCCCTGCTTGTTCCCAAGCGATGCAAGTGCGTCTGCGTAACCTGATGGGTTGTGTGTCTTGCTCGCAACTGAAGGGTCGTGGGTTTGAATCCCACCTCCACCTCAAATGTTTCAGATTTTTCCTCTAAGGCAAATGAATTACCGTATTTTCTGGACTACAACTCGCACCCTTGTAGGAGTCGCACATCCGTATATTGAGCAGTTTTTGTGGAAAAGTTGGCATATAAGTCGCACCTCTTTGCACAGCTCACGCGATGAGTTTTTTTTGGTTTACGCGCATCGGTATTGTGAGATCGGAGTTTGCACCATCAGCTGGGTTGCACATACTGTTTGACGTGCAACTTTGACATTTCGACTCGCGAGAAATGCCCATAGCATGGCGCTGTCTGGCGTGGGCAATCAAGTGTTTCGAAGGACATAAAACGCTCAAAATGAGAAGTTAGTCAGCTTTATTTGAGCGAGCACGTGCCGAGAGAACAAAAGTTTAACGAGCTAGACATCGTAAAACAAGCTTTGGATCACTAGGCCTAGCATAGGACAGGTCCCGGAGATGATGCGAGCATAGATGCACAGGCAGGAAGATAAACCTTGACATACTTTTTTTCAGTACCTCTAAAAGATCGGCGTGGCACAACCCTTCCTTTACATGTAGAAACATGGCTGGAGCATGGCAGAAAAAAACTGCTCATCAAACGGAAACTGAGAAAGACGCGTGAAAATGCTCTCTTACATTTTACCTTTCAGTGTTCCTGGACTGAAGCGAAAGAATACGGAACCATGGCTGAATTAGGCAATGTAGATATCATGTTGTAAAAGCTTTATTTTCACTGTCTTGCCTATCCACATTGAGCCGCCTTGGAGAAACCCTAAAATTTCTCGCTTTCTGAGTCGGTTATGAAAAGTGTAAAAAAGTGCGATGACAGCAGTGCCTCCTGGAGGGGGAACACCACCTGTGGCTACGTAGCGACCCGCAGCAGAACGGTCGTCTGCCATGTCCACCGACGCTGCTGCGACACTGCCAGGAATGTGGTAGGCAGCAACATGACACTTCTACGACGCCATTGGGTGGCAATCGAGGGACCGCTGTTTTAGGACGTGGTAAACACACCGGCGAGAGACGCGTGCCAGGCACTAGTGTACCACTTGATGTCTGGAAGGCGCCTTCGACCGATGTCTTTACTGCATCCTTGTACAGGGTCCCTCGATTTCCGCCCAAGAGCGTCGTAAAGCATCACATCGTTGCTTGGAACCATTCTGACAGTGAGACGGCGGTGGAAGAGGGTGGAGCAGACACCTTCTGCTGTAAGTCGCTGCCCGCACCGACAGTGCGTGGGAACTTCGGCAGCAAGGTTATGACCACGGCAGCACTTGCGTACGCCCAAACGTTTTGCCGGAACTTCTACAACCAAGCGCCAGGGTCGCGACATCCAACAGCATGACACGCTGGTTCCTCCCTGCTCTAAATCCTGCCTTAGAAGCCACCCCCAGCTCTAGAGGCCACGCCTGGTCCTGATGCCACCACTGCTCTAAAGCATAGCTTATTTGGTGGCTGTAGTTGTGCCCTCGATCACACATGCTTTCTTTCTCGTTTCCCGACTGATGCCAGACTGTGGCCCTTTCCCCAGGTACCTGACACCGGCGGGTTCCCAGGGGTTTGCCCCCCACTACGACGACATCGAGGCCTTTGTGCTGCAGCTGGAAGGACAGAAGCTCTGGCGGGTGTACGCTCCCAGGTAGCGGGATTCACTCCAAATCTTGCCATCCCTGTGGAACAGACCTTTTTCGAGTAACGAGCGCCGTCTGGGGGCCTGTCTGCTAACTACAAATGAAGGGCAACCCAGCATTTATCCACCCGTCAGGACAGATTGGCACAGTGCTGTTGTACCAGTCTTTATTGCTTTTTATGCTCTATACTACTGATGCTCAAAAGAAAAAATTTTAAAAAGAAAATATGTTCAAAGATAGGTGCCGATGACAATGGTCGTGGGGGACAGTGCCCCCTGCAAGTGGCGACAGTGGAAAGCAAGGCCACGGGAGAGTGTACACGCATGCAGAGGCTTACTGGAAAATGGTTGACTTGCACTAGAGAGGTGCAAATGCTATTGGAGCATGGGTAGAAGCGCATTGCGGCAACTGTGCCATTGTGTGCCAATCCACTTTCGCTGCACTATCCTGCTCCCAAGCATAAATGTTGCGCTAAAATTAGCCAAAAAAGAATTTTTTTTTTAGGTGCCGGGAAGACATTGCAGGCACCTACAGGCTCAGGCTTGCATCGTTGGCCAGTTTTTCGTGTGACGTTGCCGAAGAAATGTAGATGGCATATTACATAAGGTATTTACTAAGATTACTTATTTACTAATATCCCAACAAATGGCCCCCCCCTTCAAAAAAGAAAAAACAAGATAATCATTTCTTTTTTTTTTTGGCACGATATGCTATTTTCTTTTAAATACTGAAGGATGGCCCCCTCCTTCTAATCATGTTGTTCAGATGAATGATGACGTCGTCGTAAATACGGTTAAGCAGCTATGGTGGAACATAGGTGAACATTGCTGACTGGGAAGTATTCATCTTTGCTTCATTGCCCCTCACCACGATAACAAGTTTAAAAGAAAAACATAACCTAAAAATAGTGTTTTTTCAACTTTTCTAATTGTACTCCGAAAGATAGCCCACTTCTTTTCACCTAATTTGCTCTTGATTTTAGGGAGGCTATCTCGTGACATTGTGGTAACCACCCTCCACGGTGCTTATTCGTTCTTGGCCGAAGTATTCGCTACTTCATTGAATATTTGATTGCGGCTAAATATTTTAATAGCAAATTCGCGGATCGAATACTAATTGAATATTAAAATAATCAATTCATATTTGAAGTTTAGAATATTCATACACCCCTGGTTTGCATCTATGCTGTGCTTGGAAAATTGAATACTAATTGAATATTAAAATATTCAATTCATATTTGAAGTTTAGAATATTTATACACCCCTGGTTTGCATCTATGCTGTGCTTGGAAAATCGAATACTAATAGAATATTAAAATATTCAATTCATATTTGAAGTTTAGAATATTTATACACCCCTGGTTTAGATCTATGCTGTGCTTGGAAAGCACTTCACAAGCTGGGGTTGTTACACTGCATCATCCCTTGCCTCATTCGTTCCAGGGACCCCAGTGAGGAGCTACCCCGGTTCTCCAGCGGTAAGTGTTGTTGCCAGACTGGGCAGCGTCTGCGAGGCGCTTGTGGCCGAGGATGCTTCGTCCTCTCGACAGGCAACTTCACAAAGGAGGAAGTTGGGGAGCCCCTGCTGACAACCTTGCTGGAGCCTGGGGACTTGCTCTACTTCCCCAGGGGATTCATACACCAGGTACGGGGTACGGTGCCTGGCATGGCTTGGCTTACGGCTTGACCACTCTTTTTGTTTGGACTCTTCAGAGTCAGATTTGCTGTGTATGAATCCACACGGTCCCCAGGGCCGGCTTGCCGATCAATGTGGGTATCTCTCCTCGCAGTTAACTCGCCCACAAAAGAAATTTTGGGTTCGCGTGGCCAGCTCCGTAGGGAGGAAGTGCCTAGCGTTACAGCCAATTCCGCCCAGGAGATGTAAACCTTGCCCATTGTTTCCTTCAGTTATTGATTCACACGACTTTCCCCAGAGATAATTTTATACGCCGCTACTACAGTGCACGAATACGGTTCATTTCATTTATGTTTCAAGCCTCTTCACCCTTTTTTTGCGCTCAAAATCGGACTTTGATATTCGAAGCGAAGACGGGTTTTAAGGCGCTAGAACGCTAGATACCTTTAGTTTCTAGTCCCCACAGAGCCAGTCACACGACCTCAAAATCCTTCCTGCGGATTTTGAGGTCACGTGACTGGCTCTGGGGAGTAATGCCACAGCCAGTCACGCCTGTGGCATTACTCCCCTTTTAAAAAACACATCGTTTAGATTCTAAACAAACAAAACAATAGCAGCATTAATCAGTAATAATAAACAATCTGAAGGAATAAAAATATACTGTGTTCAGGCTCTATCGGATGTAGTACAGAGGGGCGTGGCAGGTGGCATGATGAAGACCACATCAGTCGGACAACACCTCATAGTTCAGGTCCCCAAAACAACAAACAATCTCGTAAGGTCCAAAGTAGTATTTCGGGAGCTTCTCACCGAGACTGCAGCACCGAATCGGAGTCCACACCCACACATTGTCGTCGGGCTGAAAGTGGACATCGCGATGGCAGGGGAACTTTTATCCCTTGCCGGTGCCAAGATATTGGCCGAGCATTGTCGTCATCATCAATTGGCATGTAAATGTAGCAAAGCATTGAGCGTAGCTGTCATTTTCCTGCCTCGAACTAGCTGGAACGGCATCTGTATATACTGCTCAAAATTTTATGCTGAAGAACGGCTCTGCAGAATTTTAGTTGAAGAAGTAGAAACAGTTTAATAGCACGACCAAACAAGTTGGTCGGAAAAAACAGTTTTCGTTGAAGCCGGTCGTTTCGCTTTTCGTTAATAGATTTCAGCATCACCAACAAAGCTGTCGGACCATAGGAGCATATTCAAAGGCGCAACATAAACATTACTCCAGTGTTTAAGAAAATCACAACTCAGCACACGCATGTTCGTCAGTTCACAAAATGAGCATGCGTGCTCCACGTGCTCAAGCCCTGTAAATCGCACCAGCCAGAAGCTCGTTTCTGGAATGGTCTGTAAGGGGCACTGTCAATGTTTACAGGTTTTGGCACGGACCCACCACTCACTCCATCTCTCAGAGAATCTACCATCTGCCAAAATATTTCCCGCCTCGATCCAATCAAACAGAAGTCAAAAAACCGAAAAACCCACCGTCCCCATCTATTCACAAGCCATAATTCTACCCCACCACCTTCGTGCACCACTTTCTCGTTCGTGGCCCCCCACCATACTTTTTTTATAAAAAAAAAAAAAAAAAAAAATGTCCTCGATGCGCGTTGCACAACTGCTTTGTTCAGTGTCTGTGGTTGCATAATGCTTTATCCTTTAGTAGGGACCTCAGCATAAGTGAAGGAATCTGTAGCTTCAGTCCAGCGTTGATGACGGAACACACCGTCGCTTCATAGGTGACGTAGTAACTTCGAATCTTTGTAACAATTGAGTTGCAATTCCAGGGCCTTAACGCAAGTTGTATTATTTGCCCTTACATTTTTTTTTTTTTTTTCAATTTGGGTTGTTTTGCTGCTTTTTGTTTTTCAAAGATACATTGGGGGGGGGGGTTCATACACCAACTCATGTTTACAAACAAACCAGAGCGCTCCTAATGGCACACCACCGGCGGCAAGCATGCGCGACAGGTTTTGGGCAAGAAACATTGTTTCCTGAATTGACAAGCCATTGAAATCTGATTTTGATAACGTCGGCGTGAGGCAAAGTGCACTTTTTCGAGGTAGAGCTGTTGATTCTGTGTCTTCAGAGCAATGTCCAACTACTTTAGTGGTCCAAGCAAAAATAATGAGGCTCGTTGTACTCGAAAACTTTGTGTAAATAATCTGGCGTGCAACGATCATTCAGCGCGAACGCCGCAAAATGGACGCTAAAGCCCGATTTGCAAGTTGAGAATCTGCTCACTATTTACAGTCGTGACATCATTCGGGTTGCAAAAGCGTGGACGGTAGTTGCAATGCAGATTGTCGATACCGAAAATCGCATGCAGAATCGGACCAAGTAAATCAGGCATAACAGGTTTGTGATGGCCACTGGTAAGCAATGATCAACACCTCCTTGTATCTACTGTTTACACCGAGCCTACTTACCCCGAACAACTTTCAAACTTAAAAGTCTTGAGGCCTGCACTTCTCATCACAACGTTTGGTCTACTGGCCGCTGTCGTTTGAACGAGCAGACGACAGTTTGGACGATCGGACGGCCGTTTGAATGTGAAGGTGCACTGAACATAATCCGCGGGTGGTCCAGACAACTTGACGGTTTTCCCGCTTTCGTATTAAAACAAAACAAATAAATTTCACAACCACAAGTATCCGTGAACTCAACCCAAAGTGCTTCCCGCACAAGCAATTCTGGTCCGACGGCGTCTGGTTTCCCTTTTCACGGCACCTATTTACAATCTCAGACGATCCGAGCAGGCAGAAAACAGATAAAAACTGATCTCCACACTTTCCCGGCTTTTTTGGTACAGCCCCAATCGCGGTGTTTTGAGAGGGAAGGTTTTAGTCCGGTTTCTTCCAAAACCACACAGGAATGCCCGTCCCGTTTGGTGACTTTCGCCCACAGCCCTGCGACCAACATGCCACCACCATGGCGTGACGTAACTGAGTTGAGTTGGTGTATAGGCATCTATTTTCGTTGTAAACAGCATCAACATCTATCGGGGTTTCTGCTGCAGAAAACAGTTTGTGGGCATGGGATTTTCCAACCTCTAGGGAACACGACCTGAATCCTTGGAGGACGTCCTGGTCCGATGAGAAACAAGATGAGGGTTTCGCTCTCAAAGAAAAAAGCGGCCTCGCTGACAGTTCGGCGAGGGCTGCGTGTTGGATCATCACAGAATAAGGCAGTAGATAAATCATTCTTCCTGCAAAGCTTTGGTCTTTTTTTTTATTAATTTTCAACCACCGGTGCGGTGCTTAATTTCTGGGGTTTATCAGTACATGTCAAGAACACAGAACCCTAGCCACAATGAAGTCAGGAGCAGAACCCAGGGATCCTGAATTTAATTCCCACCCCTGTCCATTTCAATTCATATAAGCATCGTACCGGTTTGCGGTCGTGTGTCACTACTGCGCAGTGCACGTTAAATAGCTCAGGCTAGTGGTTGCACCGCACTGACTAAACTGCTCATCTAGAGCTGAGACACCAGACGCTCATTGGGGCTGACTAACTTGCTTACTGATTACCAGCTGAACGTTAGGAAAGTACCGGTATGTGAAAAGCTTTGTAAGCAAGTACGTCAAAATCCTGAGAAGAATCAAACAACTCAAAAGAAGCCCCCAACGCCTTTCGCAGTGGTTCCGTATGTTCACGGCATTACTCATCGATTAAAAAAGATCGCCGGCCGACAAGGCGTCCACGTTGTGTGCTCCGCCCCCAACAAGGCCTACGCCATGTGCCGTAGGGTGAACCAGAAAACCGCCCAGAACGGGACGATGACCTGCAGCACTGCGCATCGAACACCCTACGCCCCATGCGAAAAAGGAGTGGTTTACAAGATCCCTATGTCATGTGGCAAAAGCTACATAGGACAGACGGGGAGGTGCATCAACGACCGCACCAGGGAACATGCAGCCTCTGTGACCGCACTAACGTCGGCGGGCCACCTCTCGGCACATTGTCGGGCCTGCAAATGTGCTCCTGATTTCACAAGCGTCACCGTTTTAGCAAAACACCAAAAGCAGCTTGGAAGGGAGCTCCTTGAGGCGTTGGCCATTGAGGAGCGTCAGTGTTGCCTCCATTGCGCTCTTGCCCAAAGAGAAAATGTATCTGAAGAGAGCGGCACCTCGGATGAACCAAGTTGGGACCCTGTGACTCCAAGATCCGACCGAGAAAAACGAGGGTGACACCACCGGAAATATAAAAGACAAAAAGAAAGACATTTTTCAAGATCCGAAAGTCGAAGAAGACAAAAACTCCACGGATCATGAGAGAAAAAAAGGAAGTTTCTGTCTAAGCTCCGACTGAAGTAGTAGAAGCTACCCTTTTGGGATGGGGAAAGTCGAAGAGGTGGAGAACACCACGGTCCGTGAGAAGAAAAAGGAAGTTTAAGTATAAGCTTTGAAAGAAGAAGAAGAAGCTACCCTTTTAAGGATTGGGTTGAGGAAAAGGAAGTGTATATAAAAAAGGGTTGATAGTCCAGCAGTGTGTTTCTTTCTCTCTCTCTTCGTCGCTTTCCTAACGTTCAGCTGGTAATCAGTAAGCATGGATAACCAACCGGCTCAGCTACAGGCCATCACTACGGCTGACTAACTTCAGGCTCTATAAACTTGCACACGACACAATAAGTCAGAGCATTGCCAGGCAGGTCGAAAATTTGGAAGATTGTGCTCCTACACTCTTAACTATTTTTCCTACTCCAGGAGAAAACAGATGGACCCATACCGAAGAGGCTGTGGGTTCAACTGCTTTTCTCAGTAACCCGTACGTGCCTTCCCGCTAAACTTCTCGATTAATTGAATTGAATTCCGCATTCCCCGCAGGCATGCACGGGCGAGACCAGCCACTCGCTTCACCTGACCCTATCCACCTGCCAGCGTAACACGTGGGGGGACCTGCTCGAAAAGGTGAGGCATCCTCGGCCCCTCGTGGATAGCGCAGTTGGAAACCCGGAAGCCGAGGTTTCGGTACGGTGCCTGGAAATAATCTTCGACCGGCATGAAGTGGTTTCAAAGTGACAATGTATTGCATCGCGAGAGCCGGCACGTCGTGCCGTCGGATGTCACGCTTCCAGTGACTGGCTGTAGGACTTCCGCAAAAAAGACGGGCAAACATGAGCGTCACTGTCGTTGCATCGTCCCTACTCCCATAGCTTCCGTGAACTGTCAAGCTGGAAAGTAATGCGGCGCATTCACTTCCACCGTCGTGTCACCGCCAGGATTGTGGCAGGCAGCAGCGTGTCGCGAGTGCAATGTCGTCGGCTGGAAATCGAGGAACTGCAGATTAGGAAGCGGTAAATGCTCCTGTTGGTAGATGTCGGCGCACATTGATTCGGGTGCCCTGGGAACGGCATCTGAATGGCCATTGGATAGAAAGAAGGTGGTCTCAATGCGGGCTTCGGTTTGGACCAAGCCGATATAAAATGGCTCGTCGTAGTCAAGAAAGTAACCTGTTGCAGTCTGATGAGAAAAAGAATTGGTTTTGAGAGATCAGTTTGGACCTTTAATTGTTCTTTTCTTTTTGTGACTTTTACATTAAAAGACGGGTGGCGAGGAGTGTGATCGCGTGACCCCTGGCTCAATCGCCATTGGCCGAGCGTGTTGCGTCTTGACCATGACCATTATTGGTGAAAGGGCAAGGGTGTCGCCGCTGTACTCATTCTCTCCAGGCACCAGAGGCACCTGCGATAAATGCGCGCATGCTCCATTCGTTTTCAGGAATGCAACAGTCGCCCGGTCCAAGTTCAGTACAGCTGATGCTGTATGAATTAAATGGTAATTAATTACGTAAACGTTAATTGATTCTCGGGATAAAGTCGGGAGACAAAATGTGCACCGGAAAAACAGGTATAGGGAGTGTCCCGGCAGAAGATTTGCACAATGTTTTTTACTGCAAAAGGAAAAAAAAAAAAAAAAGCATTGTTGAATGTTTATTTTTTGACCGAATGTAGCGCCAGCAGTCTGAACGAGATGGCAAAGTTCTAACCGTTGTCTCATTCAAAGATTAGAAGTGATTGTCCTAAATTATCAATGGGAAAATTATGGTCGATAGAGCACTCGAAGACATGGAGCTGAATGGTGCTAGTTAGCAAAAACAGGCCCTGTTTTTCCACTGAAATTTTTACAAAATCAATTCATAACTTGTGAAATCTTGTGAAAAAAAAAATATATCCTGTTAATTTTTTGGGGGACATGCTGTATTGTCTTTTGTAAATGATCAATTATTAATAAGAATTACTTCATACTCTGGCTCAGTTTCGCAGTTGGTAAGCCCAGTAAATTTAGCAGCAACGTGGTAGTTTTTGCAACTCTCTTTCATAACATTATTCTCACCTCATGGAAACTAGCCCTATAAACAGATTCTGCATTAAAACACCATTTATAAAATATCCAAGCTTTAATAATTTGTGTACTTCAAAGATCAACTTCGCTTCATTTTATTTTTTAAAGAATGCAGTCCTCTTCAGTATCACGTAGGAAGACCAGACGTTGAATGTTACGACATAGTTCTGTTTAATTGTTTCTTAAATGGTCCAGCAAACTTTGCAACTAGCAAGGTTGCTGAAATCGGCTGACTCGAGCAGGCAAATTGAGGCACAACCAACAGCGCAGTTGACGCTATGGCGTGGGCGTACCCAACATTAAGCTAAATGTCATCACCATTGCCCCCTTTCATTTGTTTTTACTTCTTTGGGCAAGCGTAACGGATGACGTCAGCAATGTTTTCTCACGGCGCTCAGCGGTGTTCACATGATTGGCGTAACGCGCCTAACGCAGCGCGCTTTATGGGAGCCGTCCGGCCGCCCCACCGTGGTCCCCCCATTACCGCTATCTCCCGCATCCATCTGCCATCATCATCTTACGGTTTGTGATTATTGTTTCTCGGAGTTTCGTCCACACTACAGACTCTGCATGCGCAGGCTTGTGCTGCAGTTGTGCGGATGTCATTGAATGTCGTAGACATTAAACGCGATAAAGAATGTGGTGCAGACGACACTTGCATCTGGCACACGCCTGCCCCGATCCTGCCCGTCGTTGCGTAGAGGATCACGTGACATCTTGTACCACGTGATGGCCATGTTCTTGGCTGCCCGAGGTCAATGTTGCTGGACGAGGCGAAGTTTCGGTTTCGATTTCTGCTAGTGTTTAAAATCGGATTTAAGAATATACCATTTTTCGCAAAGCAAATGACGTAGTGTCTTTTACTAGGGCTTTTTAATGCGAAACCACTCATTGTCACAAAATCTTCGGAACTGAGCAGAGTTGCCCTTTAAATGCGGGTAAACTAGGTTTCGTCGGTGGCGCGAAAAATTGACGAGTAAACCTCTTTGGTCTAGGCCCTGCCCACGGCACTCCAGCTGGCGTTGGAAGAAGACGTGGACTTCCGCAGATCACTCCCGAGAGACTACCCCAGCGTCATGGGAGTGGCGAATGCAGACTTGGTGAGCAGTCCCCTAACGCCTTTTGAGACAGTTAAAGCAACCGAAGCCTCTGGCACCGTAGCAGCTGCCTTGAAATACTGAACACGGGCCCACGCCACAATAGGCGGCCACCCTCTACATTTGAAAAATAAGCAAAGGACATATGAAGTGCCCACCCCAGACTTCTGAGCCTATCTAGCTTACCAAGATACTTCTCCGGATGAGCCGCTTTTTAAGAACATTGCTGCAAAGTGGTAAAGCTTGACGCATGTGCATGGCGGGTAGATTTTACTACTTTATGCCGACGTGCGCACGTTGGGCTTCACCCCTTCTCACCGACGCAAAGCGGCGAAGCTTAACATGCGTGCACCAGTGCGAAGCGGTGAAGCCCGCCGAACTTTGTGCCCTCTATCCATTTCTGCCCTCAGGCCTAACCAGCTTTTTTAAACTATCTCCAAAGTGTGGATAAGAACTTGCTCGATATTTACGGTAAGCTGCATTTCACAAGTTTTCAGCGTAGCAAGAAAAACGGGACGCTTGGCTCGTAGCACTCGGTGCTGTACTAGCAGATGACAATTGGACAACAGTGTGTTCGGAGTTTTTGTTGTGTTGTCCCTCTTTTTACGTGTCTTCCTCTTCCTTCCACGTCTGAGGTTCTGTTATGTGAAATATTTGCCAGTATGCCTGCACGCTTACCCTTCTTTCATAATTAGATTGTTGGTGTGAGACATAAAATCCTGGCACCGTAAAATACCAAGCTGGCTCCCACTTAAAAGTCGGATCTGGACAAAAGGGGATGGGTGCTTTTTAGGTTCAAGAGTGAAAAGTAGAATGGACACATGGTAAAGTAGGGCTCTGCTTGGCCCCTGTTTGTTTCGACAGAACGGTTGGGAGCAGTATAAGCATCGGCTGGCACCGCCAATTTTTTAAGTGGCCACTGCTCTTGTCAAGCTTCACCACTTCACACCGGTGCACACAAATGAAGCTTCGTCGCTTTGCACCAGCATGCTCATAGAAGTAACTGACGCAGAGGAGCATCTTGACTGCTTCAAAAAGACTGAAGTTATTGGGTTGATACATTTCGTTTCACCTTACGACAAACCATGGAGGACGCTATAAGCCGTCGAAACCAGTCCCATGTCATGCAAGTGTCATTGTAAGGCGAACTGGAGCACGGTTTTCTCCCACTATTGTTTTCAGCGAACTTTTGGGTATGGTGTTACTCTCGCACCCGTACCAGTGACGACTCGCTACCATAACAGTCTGCAACCCACCGTTCAGGCAAATCCCCGGCGGGAGGCTTTCCTGGCGAAGATGCGCGGCCTGTTCGAGCGCCTCTGGGACTTTCTGCCCGTGGACGCGGCGGCAGACCAGATGGTCAAGGCACACCTGCATGAGGCACTGCCTCCCCTCTTGTCCCAGCGTGAGTGCCAAAGGTCTTAGATTTTCTCTTTCAGGGCCAAAGAAGCCAAGTGTTTCTCCAGAACTGCTCGGTAAAGCGCCGGCACAAAGGTCCCGGGGAAGACCGCTCCAGTCGCCTTTCTAACCTCGGATGATAGACCTTTCCGGGAAATGCCGGAAGTCCTCGCGGCGAGGAGGATTGTGGGTTTTTTGAGGTACGCTCGTGCCGACTCGAACGCTTTGTATATCCTGGAAGCGGTGCGATTTATTCTCTCTTATCATTGGTAGCTCTGACCCTGCAAAAAATAATGCGAACACAAAAGGTAGTCATCACATCTCTTTTCCTTTCCTTCTGCCTTCTCTGCATTCGGACATCACAAAATGTTAAAGCGGAGTGAACTTCGTGTTCGCTTCTTGGATAGTCTCGCGTGTCGACATCGGAACATCGCAATGCGTCAAGCAGACGGTGGGGGCACCATATTTCCAGGAAGGTCAAGGATTTTTTGCCAGTGCTCGTTGAGGGCAATGGGTGTTGTGCTGTTACAATTCTTAATCGCTGCAAAAGCCAATCTGAGTAAGGTATTGTGATAGCTGCTGGGGCCTCTTCCAGGACAGAGAAGGGGACAGCATTTGGATAGTAAAGAAAGTTACATCCCACAGGATTTTCCGTAAATATTGCTCGCTGCTAAAATGCATCTTTATGTCCGATTTGCAATGATGAGTGCATTTCCCAACAAGACATTCGAAGTCTCTCCCAAAATAAGCTTTGAAAAACAGGAGTCCTCAAATGTGTTATCATTGAGACCTGCCAGCACTTGACTCTTAAACCAGCTGAATCGTAGTCACCGTAGCCATAGACCGGGCAGAGCAAAACTGCCCCCATGCTTCCACCTATACGTCCAACGTCATGTCCTAGCTATTCGAAGTAGTAAACATGTGTCACAGAATTTTTAGTTTCGCAATAACCTGAAACTCAATTCTGAATGGCAGCTTGTTGCTGTTCAGAAAATATTAGGCATGTGCAAATAGTGAATTTTGAGTTTGAAGCGAATTTCATAGTTTTTCCAAGATTTTCCCAATTGCGCATCATGCTTAAACGAAAATTCGGTTGAACTCGTGGAGGTTGTTCCCCACCTTCCACTGGTCCACTTTTAAGCCCTGTATTGCTCAACAATTTTAATACAACTATTTCTATGAACTGTGTCATGTAAACAACAATTTGTCACAGCTCTCCTAATTGAAGAGATTTATTAGTCTCCTTGCTCTATTGGGGAGGAGGACAGACCGTGACGCCCCAAGCGGTTAACTTTACAACTGCACGGATGGGGACAACAAATACAATGACTCAGCGCTCGGCCGACATAACCGAACGCGGCGTCAGCGTTCGGCTGGAGTTCGTGTTCTCCGGTGAGGGGGAGGAGGGGCTCTTTTGTTTCCACTACGGCCTGCATGAACAATGCAGCATGCACGGTCCCAGCTTAGCACAAAAGCCGAAGTGGGTCAAGCTCGCATCCTCTGAGGATAAATCCGGCACTTAACGTTGCTTTGCGATTGTTAGTATTTTTTACATTAAACTGTGCCCCGCGCTCTATTGTAGAAGATGACATGGACATGCCCATAAGGCCTGTCGGCATGTGCACAGGCCTTGTGTAGAGTAAACACCGAGCGTGGGGAAAACAAACGGGTCAGGGCGCCCCCTATAGTTCGATCTCCTGCCCAATAGAAATATTATTTCTCTAAATTCATATTTGACAAAAAAAAAAAAAAAAGAAGCACAAATGATGAATGTGGGTTGTCAAGATGTTGCTGCCCGACATATAATTTTGCACAATTGCAGCAGCTTAGAGCCCAGTTGAGTGCGCTTCTTACCGAGTACCTGTGCAGTACAGGGAAGCAATGCCCGCGAGCTCCGCGGGTATTGCTTCCCTGCAGTGTACAGGTACTCGACGAGAAGCGCACTCAACGGGGCTAATCTGCCAAGATCAACGCTTCGATAAATATGAATATTGCAGTTCATCTCGAAGCAAATATGAATAGCACATTATTCAAATCTGCTATTAGAAAATCTAAATATTTGCACTGCACTAGAAGATATATCTTCTTAAAAATGTTTGAATTGATGCCGGAGTGCTAGGTGATTGCTTGGGGGAATTACTGTGTTTACTCGAGCAATGAGGGCATTCAACAGGGAGCAGCTATAAGGACCAACCCATTTGACATGCCTTTCAAGATTGAATAGAAACATAAATACCTAAATTTGGCATGCAAACATCATTTTGCGATAAGTTTTATGTCTATCTTTTTGGAGTTCAAATAAGGTGTAATGAAATATTAAAAGTACATAATGGAAATATGGTTACCGTGCATGTCCTGTCTTAAACCAGCCTGTTTGTCGTCTGCGCACTGGTCTGCGCGATCGCTCCCAGATGGCTCACTAAATGGAAATGCGTCGAATGCTATAGTAGAGACTGGCGACGAGCAGGGTAATCACGACAAGTGTTACTTTTATCTAAATATAATGAATGATGACCGTCGGGAGTAAGCTCGCAAACCAGCGTGCAGATGAAGAACATCTGGTATAGGGCATAGGAAATGCACGGTTGCCATTTTTTCTTAATTTTTAATATATCACATCCTCCGAGCGCAGCCCTAAAAAAAAATTTACATAATCTTTTTGCAGAACAACGTTTGTTTCAGGTATGTCTAGAATTCTAATTGTGCAAGGCGTTCCTGATGTGCTGGTCCTTATGGCCAATAATAGGGGTCTACAGAAGTAGGCCAATGACTTAAAGGGGCGGTGCAACGATTTTATGATTAAAACAATTTGCATCTCATCATTTTTGCGTTGTTTATCGTATCCCAGAGGATAGAGAAAACACTTCCTTTATTAAAAATGTTGCGATTCCGCTGCATAATCGCAAAGCAAAAGTCGAGCTTTTTCCCCCACCTGCAGCCCCAAGTGGCAGCCGAAGGAACTACGGCGGAAAGATTACGTGACCTCGCTCGGCTCTAAGCTGCAGCATAGCGCCCGCTAATGTACGCAGAGAGAGGGAGGGGAAGCGTCCTCCGAGATAGCACACGGGAAGCTACACGGCACTCCGAATGACGTCACTGGGAGTGCGACCAGGTGTGACCCTGAAGAATGGGAGTGAGTTGAGGGGTGCCCGAAATGCCAATCTTCATCTTTTTTTTACGCAACAACTAGGACACGCAGGCGAAATCGGTTTTCTGTTCTTTACTTCAGAAGTGTCAGGGGGCAACTTCCAGAAATCTTTGACCGATGTTCGAAAATTGTTGCACCGCCCCTTTAAGGAAAAAAGATGTCTTCACCTGAAAATGCTATCAGCACCGGTTTCACATTGATGGAGAATTGTTTTCTAGACATTGTTATTTACCAAGTTACTTAAGGAGAATGGAATGAATGGCTGTTTGCATGCTCTGCGGGAAAGTAGACTCGCTGGCCTTGTATATAAACAGCGCATCTAGTGCTCGAGTAGATACGGTGAAACGCCCGATGTACAACTGGATGCACAGGTTTGCAGTGAGGCGGGAAAGCATAGAATGCGTCGTCTCCAAGTTGGATGGGCGAATGTACAAGTCTTGACATGGTATTCACAGCGAAGCAAACATAATAAAGTGTAGGGTGCACCCTGTGGATCTTGCCCCGTAAAACAAGGCATAAAGATCAGCACAGCCCCTACACGTAGCTTTCACTGAATGCGCATTGAAGGAACTTCAATGCGCATTTAATCTCTGCCCATAGAAATGTTATTTTGTGTGCCTGTTATCGTCTGCCTAATGCGTCCACAAATTTTTATTCTGCCTTGCATGATGCGTTATGCACAATTACATCTAGGTTTCCTTTTGCACCTTTATTTTTACTTGGCGATTTCAATTTGCCCCTAATCGACTGGTCAGGAGCATTCCCAACTACCACTTGTAATTCTGCAACTTACTCTGAATTCCTCAATCTTTGCTTGGATTTTTCGTTAACACAACTTGTTGCTGAACCTACTCGAGTCACTGTGTCTTCGGCCACTGTACTAGATCTCATTTTATCCTCTGACCCTAACCTTGCCTCTTCGATATCCTACTTACCGGGTATCAGCGATCACTCCATTTTACATTTCTCGTTACTTACACCGGTGTCTGATGCTAGTAAGTCAACAAAACATTTCTTTGACTATAGTAAAGCGAATTTCGGGGCTATAAATAACGAATTAGCTGGCTTCCTTGACGAATTCCTTCCTAATTTTTCTGAACGCTCAGTTGAAAGCAATTGGTCAATATTTAAAAATAAATTAGTGTCTCTAATTAACTTATTCATTCCATATAGGTCCATTAAAACAAATTCTTTGTCTCCATGGTTTAATGTAACGCTTAAGCGCCTTAACAACAAAAAGAAACGTTTGTTTCGTTCTGCAAAACTTTCTTGTAGTGACGCACGTTGGGAAATCTATCATGCAGCTGAGGATGCGTATAAACTAGCTATCAAGGACGCTAAACTAACATTTTTTAATGTGACCTTACCCTCCATGTTACTGACCAGTCCTAAACAGTTTTGGCGTATTATGAATAGAAACAAAACGAACGATATATCGCTCACTAATGATGGTGTTGTTATTCCAAATGACCAGTGTGCCTCCATCTTAAATGACATTTTTGTAAAAGCGTTTTGTGTAGATGATGATTGCTCCCACCCTGTGTACCCTAATTATAACTTTTTGCCCATGGATCCTCTTGTGATTGACTATGACGGAATTGTAAATTTGATTGATAACTTAAAAACATCTTCGTCTTTTGGAGTAGACAATGTCACCTCCACACTCCTTAAGAATACTAAAAATTATATCGCAATTTACCTTTTTAAGATTTTTGAGCAATCTCTTGCATCTGGTGTATTGCCTGAAGAGTGGAAAATAGGGAAGGTGATTCCACTCCATAAACAGGGCGATAAACAGAGTCCTCTTAACTATCGCCCCATTTCCTTAATCAGCACACCTTGTAAAATTTTAGAACACATAATTTTCACTCATTTGGTTAACTACTTGGACTCTAATTCCTTCTTTTCTCCATCCCAACATGGTTTTCGTAAATCCCTTTCATGTGAGACCCAACTACTGACCTTCACTAATGATGTACTTTCCATACTTGACCGTGGATCCCAGATTGACTGTGTTTTTTAGATTTCTGCAAAGCTTTCGACAAAGTTCCTCATAAACGTTTACTCTTTAAACTCAGTCAACTCAATCTCGGTCCTAACGTGCTGTCTTGGATTACATGTTTTTTAACTAATCGTTCTCAGTTCGTTCATGCTAACAATGTAAATTCTTCTATCAAACCTGTTACTTCTGGTGTACCGCAAGGGTCTGTTTTGGGGCCCCTGTTGTTTTTAATTTACGTAAATGACTTGCCACTGTGTGTATCATCATCGATTAGCCTCTTTGCTGATGATTGTGTAATTTATCGAGAAGTCACTAATACTACTGCATCGATCTTGTTCAAAATGACTTACAAGCTGTGGCTGATTGGTGTGATTTGTGGCAAATGTAAAGCGATGACTATCTCCCGTCGAATTACTATATCTCCTACTTACTCAATCGTTGAAATTCCTCTTGAAACTGTACCATGCTATAAGTACCTTGGGGTGCACATCACTTCTAAAATGTCATGGAAAACTCATGCTGACCACATTATCGCCAACGCTAACTCCATGCTTGGTTACCTAAAGAGAAACTTTAGGTTAGCCCCAGTGTCCCTAAAACTACTAATGTATAAAACCCTTGTCCGTTCCAAACTAGACTATGCAGCAGCAATCTGGGATCCTGTTCTCTCAACTCTCGTGACTGATCTTGAAGCCCTACAGAATCGCGGTGCCCGTTTTATATTTACTAACTATCATCGCACATCTAGTGTCTCAACTATGAAAACTAATTTATCACTTCCTGCTCTTTCATTACGCCGAAAAATATCTCGTTTGTGTCTTTTTTATAAAATTTATTATTCCAATACTTTGCTAAAAAACAAACTAATGTTAAATCCTCTTTTCATCTCGCCGCGCGTAGATCGTCAATTTAAAGTCGGAATTCCTCATTGCATTACCTCAGCCTATTATAACTCTTTTATTCCAAGGACATCTTCAGAGTGGAATTGCCTTCCCGCGCAATTAGTAAACATACCATCCTTTGAGTTGTTTAAAAGGGCGTTGACTACTTACCTATGTTAATATTTCTCTTTGTTTGTTTGCCTTGTTTTATACATTTCCTAAATTGTCTACACATTTTTTTTTTTACATTTTTCATGCTTGGCTTTTAGTGTTTGTATAGTGTTTGTGTTCCAAATTTGTCTTGTACCACTCCCCTCTGTAATGCCCCAGGGCCTTGAGGGTACTTAAATAAATAAATAAATAAAAGTGTTCATTTTTACCTCGCAAAATTTCTGGGCGTAGTTCTCTTCCTGTAAGAAATTAGACAAACAAACTTGCCAATGTCAACAGCGGGCGTTTTTACACTCAATCGTGTCGGTGATGAACGTCACTTGTGGCGTGATCTCCCAATAAGCGCAGCGAGCAGACGACGCACCCCGTCGTCTACTCGCCGCTCCTAATGAGAGATGGCACCACAAGTTACATTCATCGCCATTTCGGTCGTTTGCAAACACGTCCGTCATTCATTTTGGCAAGTTTGTTGGCCTCATTTTTTACAGGAAGAAATTTACACCTCGAAATGTCATGAGGTAAAATCCACTACCTCAATGCATGTTCGGTGAAACTTTGAGCTTCCTATGCGCCGGTACGAATCGGCTTGTTTTAAGGCGAAAGATTCGCCAGGCATACACCATATATGTGCACAGTCCAAAAGTTCCTTCTATTGGTTGACGGTGGCTGGAACGTTGGCATTTTGCGTCGCTTCGTTGCAGAGGAGCGCGAGTGCAGCGTCCACGGAGGAGAGCGCTGGCACGAGGGACGAGTCGTAGACGTGCAGGAACTGGAGCCGGACACGGCCGTGCGGCTGGTGCGACGCAACGCCGTGCGGTGAGCTTTCTTTCCTCTTCTCTGGCAGAATGCGGAAGCAGGGCACGTGGTGGAGGCCCACCCACACTCTCGCACTCGCTCACGACAGAGTTCTCACAATCTTTTACAAGAAAATAGACTGCCACGCCAGCGCCATCTATGTGGCGATCCTGGAGCTGCATTTTACTAGAGTGGCGATTTTGTGGTCTTTACGAGATCAAATGTGCATGCTGGGTATGAGAGTAGGTCATTTATAACATTGTCGAGAGTGGTTTTTTTTTGCCATAAAGGAAAGAATGATATCGGAAGAAAAATAGGAAATATACGCACACTTCGAGTGTTCCACGGCAACCTTACAGATAGCATCAGTGTGCTTTCTCGTCATAAAATATTTAAAAAGGTTTTAAGGCATTTTTGGCTCTGAGCAGTCCAGAGTGTGTCAACCGGTTTTAAGGCAATGACCGAGTCCCACGAAGACACTGGCAGTCTCTACCTCCGACTCTATTGCTGCAGAAGCTTGTTCCCAAGCGTGGGATTTGCACCTTCCACGTCTGACAACGGGGAAATCGGGTAATCTGTCTGCCATTTTGCACCGTCGATGCACAAGGTGTTGGTGATGTGTCGCTCGGCGACGAGGCTTAAGACGGCGGTGGCACTTCGGGTTGTTGCAAAGGCGGGTAAATTCATTAACCAAACTCTTCCGAGCTGGACATACTGCAACGAATTTAATTGCGACATTCACGATTGTGCTAGAAGATTGAAAGTGTCAATTACCTGCCGTCCCCGCGTGCGGCGCCACCATCCTCTTGAGGTCCTGGCACGTGCCTCGGCTGCACCGCTGCAATACGTAAAGTGTGCAACTAATGTTGCCACGGATTTTTCGCACGACGGAGGTGAACCCATTTTTCCAATGTCACTTGAACGGCGCAGCGGTTCATTTTGCTGGTTCCCATTCCACTTCCTTTTCTCTAATAAGCGACACAACGAGATTGCTGCGTGCCTTGGGCACGGGGAGCGGGACCTTTGGTCCGGAGGTGCGGTTTGATAGAAAACCAAAACTTAAAAATGCATCCAAGTTTAGCATCGTTTTCGGAATGCCGTAAAATGCTGCGCATGCCTCACGTTTTTGTAGAGTGCGCAGATTTAGTGGTTTTCGATGATGCCCAGAAAGTTTCGGTGTCCATACCTTTCAATTTAACCATTACAAAGTTAATTCCTCTAAAATAATTAAGAACCTAATTATACCGCACATTATTCATTTTTCTAAATAGGCCCTTTGGCAGGGACCAAAACAACTACGTCAACCTTTTTTACATGCGATGCACATTTTTCGCCCAAGCGATTTGGCCGGCATTTCCCATGTACACCTTTCCAAGAAAGACCCCAAGGACAAGAGAATGTTTTCCAAACTTAGTCGCAGAGTTTGAAGCTGTTTTCTCCCCACCATCACTGCTCACCCTAACCGAGTGGGCTGTGGTTTCGTCAGCAGCAGTGCCAGCCTATGTAGGCAGAGCACTGCTGCCAACGAAACAATAATTTTTTTTTCTCTATTTTGGATTTCATTGCATATATCCACAAACACACGACTCTGGCACGACACCACAGCCGCGGCGCGGCTGTCAATGAGGCTTATGTGCAAAGGCTGCACTTCGTGCCACTCTGGTCCCTGCAGTGCCCACTCTCAGGGGGGCAAACACGGACCCGTTTGTAAACAGCAAGTTGGTCTATACCTTCTTGGGGCCATTGAGAAAGCACCGTATCATCTTTGGGAGTAAAAACAAACAGCTGCAAGCCATTTTTGTCGAGTATGCGCGTGACGAAAACATTTTTATTTTATGCTAATTTTTCACGCTGCCACCGGCTCAGCCGTGCCAGTTGACAGTGTTCTTAACTGCTGAAAATAATTGATGAAAGAGGAGTAGGAAAGGCATGGGTATTCGCCGCGCACAGATGACATATTTACCGGCGCATACAACAGTCCTCTCACATAAAATACGGCGAGTCTCTTCATTCGAACAATATATTGTGCACACTGCACGATGCTGCATCATTTAAATGTTTTTTTTTTTTTGGGGGAAACATCTTAAATAATACGGTAGATCCAGTCACATGTGTCGACGTACAAGTCACTTCACGACGCTCAGATGAAATCCAAGAGGAACTCGCTTCATTTCATTTATTGTACCCTCAAGGCCTGAAGGCATTCAAGAGTGGGAGAGCAACAAGAAAAGGTTAAACCAATAACAAAATATAAATTTGGCACACTCAATAACAAAAAGCTTATCGCAAAAGAAACATATTAGGCACTCTCGTGAGCAAAAAGATTGCTGATGGCACATTTGAAAAGCTTAATGTTCGTGATTGGCAGCTACCGATCCGGGAAGGTGGTTTTAATCCTGGGATGTACAAGGAACGAAAGATGAATAAAACATTGCCGTGATAGAACTTGGGACACCCACTTTATGTTGATGATCAAGACAAGAGAAGACATAAAATGGACGTGAGATTGGTATGTCGCGTAGTAAAGAATTATGGTAATAAACTTTATGAAACAAAGAAAGGCGAGAAACTCTTCAACGTAGGGATAATGATGACAATGAGAGGGTTCTTTTACATAAAGTTGACGCTGGCAGTGCAGTGGTAGTTACTTAGGATAAAAGGAACAGACCTGTTCTGAATTGCTTGTAATGTAGATGTAAGAGTTGCTTGTCTGGGGTCCCAGACAGAAGCTGTATATTCTAACTTGGGGTGAATAAAGTTTTGTAAACAATTATCTTAAAGACCGACGACCAGTTCGCACCTTCCACTTTTCCCTCGCCTCCTCCTCTCCCCCCTTTCTAACCTGTCCACCATTGCGTTTCCTCCTCCCCCATGGTGAGGAGGATCTTCTGCCTTGCAGAATCTCGACCCTGCTCGTCGAACTTTAAGCGAAACGGGGGTTAATGAAAAATTGCCTTTGATATAGCCTAACATGCGGTTAGCACTAGCGGAAATGTGCTGAATATCAGTTGACCATGACAAGTTAGAAGTTATATGTAGGCCTAAATATTTATGACGATACTGGCACTAATGGAGCATTATTTAGGGGGTAGTTAGAATAGTCACAAGACTCATAGACCATGCATTGCACCATTAGTAGACAGTGTTAACGTCCGATTGGAGTTTAGAAGTATCATTATGGTCTAGAATTTCTTGTAAATAACACAGTCATCAGCAAACAAACAGAGAGATGAGACAGACATTAGTGGGCAGGTCGTTAATGTATTAAAAATATTAGGGGTCTTAAGACTGATCCCTGTGGAACACTGGAAGCAACAGTAACGGAAGATGAGTTACTATTATTGACAACAACAAATTGTGACTTTTCAATTAGGAAACATCTATCCATACAAGAGCATTAGCATCTATGTTAAGTTTGGAAAGTTTTAGTAGCGACAATTTGTGAGAGACTTTATCAAAGGCCTTTGCAAAATCCAGAAAAATACAGTCCGCCTGGGATCCTCGGTGTAGAATGCTATGAAGATCATGAGTGAATGACAATAGCTGCGTCTCACATGAAAATATTTTTGTTGAGCAGTGCTGAAGAAGTTGTCGGATTCTAAAAGGCTAGAGAAGATGACATGTTCGAGAAGTTTACAGGGAACACGACTTATAGAACTCGAAGCACAATTGGAGAAAGCTGGCTTTTTGCACAGCACCTAACGAACAGATCCATTCCGTCTCCTGTGCCAACCCAACGAGCTATATTTGGAAAAGTTCAAGGACTTCTTGGGCGATTATCTCGGCGGAGAACAGTCCTCTTTGTTATCACTGTTCGCAACATCACGGACTGTCTAATGTCGTTCCCTTCATTCATTTTTCTGGAATGCCGAGCAAAAACACTCGAATGGGAAGCACTCAGGCTGCGAGGACTGGTTCTCATGGTGGAAGATAATGCAGAAGAGATAGGTATGGTAGCACAGATTGTGGAAATAAAATGGGAAATTGCAAGAAAGGCCGGAACACTCGGAATGTGCAACACGGCTGGAGAGCTGCGCCAAGCAGGTTTCAATGGCCCAAGAAGGTGGCAGACACTTTCCGTCTACAAGGGGTTCGTGAGATTCGCACCAGTTGCATCATTGTGGGCAACAGGGCAGCCAGCTTAAGAGCGCTTTCTGGAACGGCGCACATCAGCCGCCGGTACGCACCGTAAAATCCCGAGCAGGCACCCGCCCAAAAATCTGGAGATGATAGTAAAAAGCAAGGAGACGGGCGCCCCTTCGATCGACGACGCATAAAAACGCGTCCTTTGCGTATTTTCCGAACGTGACGAAATCGAGGAGTGGGCACTTGCTGCGGAACAGGCAGATGCTCCGTGTTTTATGGCATTACGTTTTACCAATCTGTTTGTTGCGCCATTACTACACGAGGGAACGTAACTAGTGGATCTTTGTATGCCATCGCGTTTCGGGAAGCATTCTCTAGGAATGCTAGTCTGTTGTTGTCATCCGCAGTTTAGGAAACACGGGTCGTGGATGGTCTCGGGCATCTCACCATTGCTCCGCGGCCAATGGGATCGTGCCGTCTGCCGACGGGAGCGCCGAAGAACAAATCGCGAAGCGAGAAGACAACAAGCGATGCCTTGCACATTTGTGGTTTATTCACTTAGTGAAAAGTACTAATGACATTTCCTCACCACTTTTCGTTGTCACAATGTACAAAATAATTTCGCGTTTGTTTTTTTGTGGCCGGAATACACACAGCGCACGCACGAGACATTCTCCGTTCAATGCGTCTTAATACGAACCGACCACACAGAGCGAGGGGCTCGCTGCCGGAAGAACTTGCGCGACATTGTGCGTCGAAAATGCCAACCATTAAATACGGACGACTTCACACGCCCGATGACCGTAAAAGAATGGGCAAAAGTTCATGGGGCTGTCAGCCTGAATATTCAAGTAGGGTAGTAGAGGTCGATGTTAGACTACAGTTGAACTTGGAAGAATTAACCGACAGGCTGCGTAGCACCTGCTTGAGAAAAGCGAAAAAAAGGCAAGAAAGCAAATTTCTGCATGGCAGAAAAAAAATATTTTGTGGGTCTGGTTTTAAATAATGCCTTTAATTGGCGGTGTTGCATTGGGGATACAGCATCTTTTCATTCAATTTTTATCAGTCACATTTTACCATTAAGTAGTAAGCAAAAGACAGAGAGATGTGTCTTGCACAACAAAATCATAGGTGTGCCTGTGTGTAGTATGTAAAAAAAAACATGCAGTCTCTCCTTTTTCAGGAGGAGGGGGGCACTTTTCGTCAGTTTTTTATGTATTAAAAATATTATAAAAATAGTTGTCGGCAGGGATGACTCGAGTGAATTTCACCATATCTCTGAGCACACTCGACGCTAGAAGCGGACTAAGTCAACTAAACAGCACGAGAAGCACAACATCACTGTTTGCGAGTTTTCTAGATGCACCATATTTACTTGCATAATGAATACTTTTTTTTCCCCAAAAAATTGACCCATGCGCTGGGTAAAATTTTTGCATTTACACACTTTGCGCAAATGTCATTTCAGGTGCCAATACGACATAACAGGGTACTGTGGCACGTCTCCACTGACTGAGGCGTGCCCATGGCTGGTCGTGGGCGCGCCACAGTAATCGTGCTTTATAAATTGCAAACCTTTTTTAGAGCGCTTTTGGCATGCCTTTTGCCGAAGAAAAAGCTCCCTAAGAACGGTCGCGTCGCTCACTGTGCTGAGTGCGGACTCAGCACAGAGAGCGTCGCGGCTGTTCTTGGGCCTAACCACTTTCACAATCACAGACGACGGCGTGTTTGTTGTCATCAATGCATCCGATGGATAAAACACGTCCGGGGCTGGGTAATTCCCCGACCGCAGCTTTGCTAGGCGTGCACGCTGCTCGGTTTCACGGCTGATCACTTCTGCAACCGTGCAATTGCAGCTATTACGAGACAGGCCTGGCCCCTTGGAGGCAAAAGAAAATTGGCGGGTTTGGGGGCTAGCCGGCTAGCTAATAAGTTGGGTGCAGTTCAAGACTTGCGGAGCCAAAAATTAAAAATGTGTTCATTGCACGAGAAAAAAAAATCCAAATATTGATGGCTGTTGTGAGGGATGCATTTATTATGCGAGTAAATACTGTATATTTTTTCTTCCTTATCCAACTAACTGCAGATGCAGAACCCATAAACTAGAAGACATGCATACCCATGGTCTGCGACCATGGGTATGCATGCATGTCTTCTTGTCCATCGGTTCTGAAACTCTTTGGTCGCAAGGAGTTACGCCTTCTCCTTGTAATGCCTTCCCTCTCTAATGTTTTTTTGGGCTCCGAGAGAAGAATGAATAAAAACGAACCCCCAGCTGAGAATGGCAGTCGAGAAGCCTTTCCCCATGTCGGCATTGACGGGAGAAGGCAGTGCAGAAGCCTACAAACCTTGTAAACAATAGCACACATACCAGGGAAGTAGTACATCAGGGGGCGTTTCAGACCTGCTAAGATCTGAACCGCGAAAAGTTGGGAGCTCGATCCCACGAGAGGACACTCTGGGGGAACACCCGGTTTGAGAACCCGTGTTTTATATGTACCGCGAAACCCAGAGAATGCACTCACTCAAAATTTGGAGCATGTAAAAACTGGAGCATGGGTGCTCCTTAGATCAACAATATGTAAAGATATGTCCTTTATGTATTTTCCAAATGTTACCAAATTGGGGGGTGGGGGGGGGGGGGGTGGGCGCTTATTGTGCAATGGGAGGATGTTTAGTATATTACGGTAGTCGCCGATGGGAGAAGTGTCAATCGTTTTGCCTCCAGCGCGAGTTTCCTGCCTTCGATAAAGCTTTGGCATATCACGAGTGTCGAGCAGCCAAAGCACGGTGCGAGGCAACCGGTGCGTGTTGGAGGCTGGGTTTCAAAAAGGGGCACCCCGCCCCTCTCACCTTGTCGGGTGACTATTGTCTTCGACAGCACTCCGGCCTAAAGTGAGACGAAGCGTAGACCTACTTTGGGTTGAGAAGCGGGAAGACCCTTTGTCACACACAAACAGTTCCGGGGCACCAACAAGCCTCACAATAGTGTGCGCTGGTCTTTTTATATCTTTGGAGTCCATGATACACGTTATGACGCAGCTCGTGACACGTGTCGTGCTCATAGAGTCTTCTGCCTGCAGGTTGGTGGTGGAAGAAGACAGCGTCCGCCTCTACCACTCGTTGGACAACAGCCGCGTGTACCAGGAACGCGACCCCCAGTGGGTCGAACTGGACGCGGAGCGTGCCCCCGCGGTGGAAGCCCTCCTCCACGCCTACCCGGGCTACCTCCGCATCCAAGAGCTGCCCCTGGAGGGCCCCACCGAGTGCATGGAGCTGGCCTCCCTGCTGTACGACCGCGGACTGCTGCTGACGCGGGAGCCGCTCGATCCCGTCGATTACGACGACGACGACTAGGGCGTCCTCTCGTTCGTCGGTCATGTGCACTGCAAGAGCCACCAGGGGTCGCTGACCGCGACGACTACTATGGTCCGCTGCGGGTCAAGAAAACCAGGACAGGCACCTCCCACAAAGCCTCCACTGTTTTCACTTCAGCAGAGCGAATGCTGCAAAGAAAAGTGGAGAGGAGGAAACAACCAATCACGGTGACCAAGAAGCGTTATGGGAGAGGTTTGTTCCGCTTTTCTTAACCCGCAACGGGCCATTGTTGGTTGCATGCACGGAGTTTGTCAGCCACCCAATGACTACAACGACCCCTTTTTCGATGGGTTTCTCAGTTCGTCGGCGACTGAATTTTTTTTGCGGCGTGGCCCCGCTTGCGACTTGGACCCCTTCTTCTTCTCCATGTCGAGCTTGGGTGCCTCGGTCCGAGTGTGCCAAACCAGGACCTGCGGGAAGGGTACCGCTCTGTAGCATGCTCTCGAGGGGCAGAATTAAACCATGTACAAGTGAGACACGAAGGCGGTCACAGCTGGTGGGAAGGACTTGGAAGGAAACCCTCGTCAACGCCTCGGAATGACAGCCGGCGTTTTGCCGTAACACTCAACTCGTGCAGCTTCCTCAGCTCTTTGAGCAAAACGTCGGCTGCCACTCTCAAAAGGAAGTTGTACACGATTTCAGCGCACGCTAGCGTCAAATTTAGTGCTTGCGTTAGCACACGCTACGTTAGAGTTTTATAATAGCGTTCCTCCGCCGCAACCGAAACGCCCAAGCATCTCGCGCTTGCAATGCGACCAAGATACAGTAGCAAGTTTTATTTCACGCACAAAATGCTCTGTTTCTGGGTCGAGAGTAACATTTTAGATTTGTTTAGATATCATGTCTGCTTGCGTCACCTTGGCGAGAGGGCTCTCATGTACTGGCTTTTGCCAAAAAACGTCTGCGCGTCGCAAGCAGCAAGTTGCCGGCGATCGTTGCCCACCTTGCTGGACCTTCCAAATCGTTTGTTACATGTGCCTCCTGTGGGAGCGCAATGTCGTCCTGTATGGAAAACCGCAGCCGCACGGATGTCGCTGACGTTGCACTTACGGGAGCCGCTATTTTCTAAAACTGCTCGTCTTGGCTTTAGCCAACTTCTCGTGAACCACGAATCGGCCTTGGAGAAACGCACTCTTTGGTTATGCACGCAATTTCGGAAGCATGGCGCACACAAAGTGGCAGCAAGCTATTTTGGAACTCCCTAAGAACCCAAAAGGGGACATCTTTGAAGCCCCTGAGTAACAGCTCATGTTTTGCCAAGATTCAGCTTCTGAAGCTGAAGCTGAGTCTTAGAGAGCTTCCGAGAGGTTCCTTTGCAAAACGTGGGCGTGCAGCAAACTACGAAGAGATTAAATGTGTTTCATTTCTGTTGTTACGAATACCTAAATGTTTTATTACACTGAAAACTGCTTTCCAAAAGTTTTGCGTGTCGTCGTCTTTGCTGAAAATTTGCTCATGAAGGGAATCAATGGAACATGTCTACTGAAGACTTATAAAACCTGTTGCTCCAAACTAACCTCAATCAGCAAAGCTTCAAGACTTTCTAAAAATAGGATGATTGAGAAATAAAAACACTCTTCGGGAACAAACTGCCAGCCATGACAGATGTCAGGGATTGAGAAAAGCATACTGATTTGCTCACTAATTTTGCTAATTAACTTTTAACTAGCACAGCTTAGTGGCCAGTGTCGAAGGCAAGTTGGTAGCTTGAAGGAAAACAATCTTACTTGTTCTTAAAACAGAGAAAGTCCCTATTCCCCGCAACGCAAGAAAATCTTATGCTTTCTTTGCGGAAAACCGCACATTGCAGGAAATGCACTATCATACTCATTTCTGCAGAAAAAACTTGAGTTCCTTGCGCCGTAGGGCCAAGGAGGACTTTCTCTTTGTTCTAAACAGGAACACGGGATCATTTTTTCTTCGAGCTACAAATTCGCCTTGGTACTGGCCGCCCAACTGTGCTCGAGATCGATGCAACAAATGCATGTCTTTCGATTACCTCAGCTCAACTAGCCTTGCGGTACAGCACCATGGGAAAGGATGTGGGTTCAGTAACAGCTTTCTCGGTGAGCTCTGCTGGGCCAGGTTAACGGCGTAGGTGCAATACAGCAAACAAGTTTGTCCACTCGTTGTGTAGAGATACAGTGACACCACGGCACCGAGCTCCCACTGGAAGACGGGGTGAGTATACACCAAGGCCTTTGTGTCTACTCACTGCATCCTCCAATCGGAGCGAGTACGTCCATCCGCTCCTTGCACGGAGGGTGCAGGGGATAGCTACTGTGTCGTCTGCTCGTTGTGGCAGTGGCTACCCTGGGCATTTTCTATGGCTTTAAGAATTCTACCGGTTCCTAATGAACGAGGACTTAGCCCTTGAGAAAAAGGAGATGAAATAGCTTGAAGGGTACATTGTTTGTGCCAACTAATAGACGTTCTAGTACAACGAAGGAGGAACTCACAGCCGAGGCATCGTATGCCACCCACCGAAGAGAACGGTGTCTGCTGGGGTGGAGCTTCGTTGTGCAAGTGGCCATTCCCCTGACCTTTGTGAACCTCCTCCTACATCAACACCAATCTAGACAGAAGGCCTTTGCACTGGTCCCCCTCTACAGTTCCAACTGTCGCGCTAGTTGTCCAGCCACCGCTGGTTAGTGGCTGTGCCAACAAGATGATGCAAAACCAAGCTTGATCATACTGACAAGGACTGGTAAGCACAGAATGCGATGGGCCCTCCAGGGGAGAAGGGAAGGGCATCTGAATGGCACCGCCCACTGAAGATTCGCTGCCATTTCTGACGCATGCCGTGAGATGGCACAACACAACAGGAAAGGCTGCAAAGCGTGCGACCGTGCCTTCACAGGTCACATGTACGAGTTCGCGTTTGCATTCTTGAAACTTGCGGCCCTAGATGGCTCAGTTGACAAAGCACTTTGCTCACAATCTCGAGCTGGTGAGTGCAAATCCTGCCGGGGGACAGAAGTCTTTTTATACAGTTCCCTATGTGCATAATGCTTTTTGGAGTACGTTTCTCTTTACAGCCAAACGTTACCGAACTCCATGATAATTGGCCAATAAAACATGGTGCGTTTATATAATAACAAATATTAAAAAGAGAGTGAACCAACAGTCATCGGACCTTTCGTGTGACCTCGCGGAACAGTAAACGGGCCTTGTCAGTATCTACATCTTATTTCACTATTTACTCTCAGCTTTACCAAAGGTACAGGGATGAGAGCGTAACACAAGCAGTTGGGGAGGAGGGGAAGGAAACATTTCCCCCAAACCTGGACCCTTTTGTTCCCATTGGAAACTACTGGCTTGTCACTCAAAATTCATACAAAAGGGGCTTTTCTCTCCCTGCATCCACAGTGTCGTGTGCGACTAGCGAGATAGAACTGGAGTTGCTCCCATGTGCAGAAAGCACTTTTGTACCTCTCTTACACACGAAGGGATCCACCTTGGTTGACTTGCTCACCATAAATCTCTAGTTCCGACTTGGAATAACTGTTTGCTTCTTGTTCAATGCTTACGCAGAAACTGAGCCTACACAACATAAACCGAGTAGAATAAGGTCGCTCTAATGCGGACCATCGCTACGGTGTCCGCAGCGCGTCCCTAACTGGTGTGTCTCTGGCATCCCGATTTGCTTCCGCGGACCGTGAAGATGGAAAGCGACCTGCAGCGCAACTGCCGTCCACCGCATCCACCACCACTCCCATACTACTGCCAGCATCGTGGCCGGCGACGGCATGACGCTTCTATAGCATCGTCAAGCGGAAATCGAGGGACCCCTTTTTTCGGATGTGGTAGACGCACAGGTCAAAGACGCATTCCAGGCACAATACCACTATGGGTGGCAGTGCTCCCTTGTCCACACCCACCTGCGAGCAGTTGCGAGCCTTGGGCTCGAGCTCGTGCAATCCCGCCACCAGGCGTCCCAGCAGGTGGGACTCCTGCATGCCCCTTGGCAGCCCCAGCCGGAACTGGGCCTGGGGACGCCCCAGAAGCAGCCTCAGGGACACCGCAAAGCCCGCCATGTCCACCGGAAAGGGCCTGCAGCAAAGGGCCAAGCGAGACTTCAAAGAGGAGTCGATGCCGGTTCGTGCATTTGCGTGCGGGTGTGCTTGAGTCGTTGCGCTCGATCACGACCGCTTACGAGAGAATGCCCTGGCACACTGGTACCATCTGCCACCTGGAACTGTGTGCATTGCTAGACCACGGTGCAAGATACTCTTTATGTGAAAACGTACGGCACTGCAAACGCGGTCAACCCAGATAGTCTTATTCGCTCGTGCCTGAGTAGCCAATACCGACTGTCTCCGCATCTCCGCTGGCCGAACGTAGAACTGATGAAAAAAGAAACAAAAACAAAAATGGCTCGTTGCCATGGCACCCGGGCACACGTGCTTTCACCTTGGTGCGTCTGCTCCGACCTTGCGGATGCTGGCTCGAACGCTGCGCCAGAGATCTCTCCGCTTCAATGCAATCATAAAACTGTTCTTGCCGTCGCTGAGGTGCGAAGCTCAAGTCGACGATGAGGCTGCGTCTAAACAACACGGGTCGCCTCGTGCTGAGTTCCCCGCGATGTGGCACACCCAGAATATGACCATATAAACAAGCGTGCCTCCTACAGACAAGCTTGGGAAACCGGACCCGCGATGGGCAACCGCTATCTGACCATTAGAGTCATCTGGTCGCACCGTTTGCAACCAAGGTGAGGAGAGGACTTTGTCTGGCAGCTACGATGCGCACAGTGTCTGCACCTATACACATATTGCATCGTGCACTAAACTGAAGGTTTTGCAATATTTTCTATTTATTTATTTATTCATATTACCCCTAAAGGCCCTCGTGAGAGGGTATTACATAGGGGGGTACATAAATCGTTCCAATAGGAACTAGTGCACATTGAACAACATATCAGAATACTAGAAAACAATCAATACACTTAATAATAAAAAGAAAATAAAGGATACACTCAAAAACGAATAAAAAAAAAACATACACTCACTCATCACACTGCAATAAAGCTGAGTCAAGGTAAAAACAAAATAGTACACATATGCTCTGCACGTTCCGGAAAAGATGAAACAACAATGTAAAACAGCAAAAGTTAGATGGCATCAGTATTTTGAATTTATTCTTGAAACTTCGTGGTGTCTTTTTCTGAGGCAATGTGCGATGGTAGATTATTCCAATCGATTGTGGTACGTGGAATGAATGACCGGGAAAAGGCAGATGACTTACAGGTTATGCGTTTAACTTTGTAGGGGTGATCGCGGCGTGGAAAAATAACGGCAGGTGGCTCGAAGAAATCACCGTGAAGTGACGCGTGGTGGTAAAGTTTATGGAAAAGAGATAGGCGTGAAAGTTTGCGACGATGGAGTAGTTCGGGTAGCTTTGCTCGGCGTTTTAGTGCTGTGACGCTGGAATGACGTGAATAATCTGAAAATATCAAGCGAGCGGCACGATTTTGCAGTGATTCAATGTCGTTTATGATGTAAGCATGTTCGGGATCCCAAATGGCTGATGCATATTCTAATTTTGGACGTATTAGTGTGGAAAAGGCAAGTTTGCGTATGTTAGGAGGAGCCTGTTTAAGGTTACGCTTGAGAAATCCGAAAGAGCGGTTAGCAGCCGCCAGGGTGAGCTTTATATGGTAGTGCCATGACAGATCAGGTTGCAAATGAATTCCAAGATATTTATAAGTGGAGACGAGGTCAACAGTATTATTATTTAACACATAGGAGGTAGGAATCCGGGATACGTGATTAGTAAAAGACATAAACTTTGTTTTAGAGCAATTTAGGGTCATTAGCCAGGAAGAGCACCATGCATTAATAGCATTTAGATCAGTTTGCAAAGCTTTCTGGTCATTGACAGAGGAAATTATTCGGTAAATTACACAATCGTCAGCAAAAATTCTAATTCGGGATGAGACACAGGATGGCAAGTCATTAATGTAGACTAGAAATAGTAGTGGACCTAGTACGCTACCCTGTGGGACTCCCGAGGTTACTGGTTTGAAGGAAGAGTTACAATTGTTAGCGGACGTGAACTGTTTTCTAGACGAAAGGAAATCTTTTACCCATGCCAAAATGTTAGGGTGAATCTTAAGCCTGGACAGTTTGGTTAGAAGCCGGTGATGAGGGACACGTTTAAAAGCTTTAGAAAAGTCGAGGAAAACAGCATCAACCTGGGATCCACCGTCAAGAGCTGAATGTATGTCATAAATGAAGCCGGCGAGCTGCGTGTCACATGAGTATCCTCGGCGAAAACCATGCTGATATTTATGTATGATATGATCTTCCAGGTAGTTAATTACTTGTGTGTGTATTATATGTTCAAGAAGTTTACAAATGGTACTGGTTAACGAGATGGGACGATAGTTTAATGGCGATGAGCGTTCACCAGACTTGAAGATGGGAATTACTTTTGCGATTCGCCAGTCATGTGGGATGCAACCTAACGATAACATTTGTGAAAAAAGGGCTGACAGTATGGGACAGATGCTAGCTGATATATTCTTTAGTATCTTATTATTAATATCTTATTATTAAAGCCGACATGATCAGAAGCAGTAGAAATTTTGAGTTTATTTAGTAAGGAGTATATACCCGCTTCAGTTATTATTATTTCTGGCAAGCTGATATCAGGAATATCAACCGATATCAACTTCGATATCAACTTCTTGCGCTATCTACGAGGAATGCTTATCACATTTTGAGAATCCCTGTAACCCACAGTAAAAGCATAGTGCCTAAAGATTACACAAATATAAATGAAGTTCGAAAATTTTTCAGGGCTCACCAACAAATAATGCAAGTGCGTTCTCTCGTCGCATGTAATTGCGAAGAAACGCAACACACTCGAGCACTACCAAGCATATTGTGCAAACCAGCTTTGGATGCCAGTGAGAAGTGAAAGGGCCTGCAGCAAAAGGTCGCAGTTGGAGACCAGGGAGACGGTAAATTCGCACTGTGGTGTAAGATGGGCCTCTAGTCAAAGAGGTTCTCAACCGAACCCTTTTAGGGTACTAACCAGTGATGGACCAAACTGCTGAACTTTAGATGAAGCAAAGTTCGACACATGCCAAACTTTTTAAGAAAAGCTCGGCCAAGATTTGGCAACAATTTGGCAAACGCCTGCGCTCGCGCAAGAACGCGACGGAGTCGTGGATTGCAAATGGACGCTGTGTGGTCGTGTGGTTACCATAATACAGTCCAGGACTACCAGTGGTTACGGCGAGGTGCAAAGTAGGTGACATGGTAACTATGTTTATTAGCCTTTGTAAGTGTGGTTCTCTTCAATATTGTCTGCTTCAAGAACAAAAGATTGACCAGAGATTGACGCAGTCCACTGTGTAAGTGACAAATGGGCGCGTTGAGTTTGTGCTCTGGGGCGCGAGAGTTTGGTCGTTTGACGTTCCGTTCACTAAATGCACAGGGGCGTCGTAAAGTGTGGGAGCGCCGCCGGAGACTGTCCATGTACCGGATATTTGTCGGAGCGCGAGTGACTTTGTGCTCCGTGACATCACGCTCGCCAACAAGATGGCTGCGCTGACCGAAACGTTGAGATGAAGGGCGCTCCCGGACTGCTACCTCTTTTCAGTTGAAGAGTGCTTAATCCAGCAGGTAAAAACAGTTTGATTTGAAAGCTAAGACAGCAATAAGTGTTCCGGAAAAGGTTTGTTCATGCATCTCGCCTAAAAAGAATTCATTTACTGAACGGTAGCGTGCCGATAACACAGCGACAGAAAAGTTGTCAAGATGAGAAGACAGCTGGATCGCTACCCGTTTTAGAATGCTTACCCCAGCGAATAAAGGTACTTGGATTGGAAAACCAAAACATCAGTTAGTGTTGCGGCAAAGGATTGATCATGCATCTTGCCTGAAAACGAATTGACGTGTGAAAACGAAGTGGTGTGCCGGTATCGGCGTAGCACATCGACGGGTTTCGCCTCGCGCTGCAAAACGGAACCACGGAGCATCTGACAAGTTTAACAGTTTCCTGCATCGACAAGCGAGTTCAAGAATGTTGTCTTTCATTTGAATCTGAACAGCATGCATGTCAATAGGTAAATAGATATTGGTCAAGGTAACTTTTCGTATATATGCTCGAAGCGAGTCTTCGAACCTTTCACAAATATTAAAGCATTCATAGAAACTTTCTAACATCACAGTCTTTATTTTTTTATACTTGCACTTTGCCACTCCACAGAGGCCTTAATTAATTTATCTTCGAAATATTTTCGGCTTCTGCGACCTGTATCCACGAGATGCCAGGAGCGTCGCAGTAGGAGTAAAGGAACGCTTGATGCGGTACATTGTGGATAAAAGTGATTTTCATTCGAATTTTTTCAGGGATGCGACAACGTCAAAAAGTCAAATTGGACATTTAGTGTTTCTACAGCGTAAAGTCGGTCTGCCAGGGTGGGGCGACACTGGTTTACACCGTAGATGAGCAATTTTGCCAGTGCAGTATGAATGCTAACCTAGGGTCTTTAACGTGCTCACGCAGTAGTGATACACAACCGCAGGCTGGTATGATGCTCATCCAGATGAAAACGGGCAGGGGTGGGGCTCGAACCCAGAATCCCTGGATTCTGCAGCGCGAGCTTTCGCTCCACTTGCGTCGAGCTGGGTGTGCGCTTTAGCCCACTCGGCCACCGATTCCCCCAGATGCAACGAGGTAGTTGCAACATTGACTGACAAGGACTTTAAAGCACTCCTAGCCATTATAGCAATCCTGTTTTTGGCTATCAAGTGGTTTGTGCCAAAACAAAACCAATATTGCTTTTTAATTAGCATTATTTCGCGGTTTTCATCCATCCGCATAGAACTAAACACAGAACTATCAAGCTCAAAGTTGCACATCCGACATTGCTAACTTTTCCATCTTCCGAAACGTCCGTGCACGTCCTAACATTAGGAACCGGCACTTTAAAAGTTAAAAACGAGGCATTTCGAATACGGGAGGCACACTTTTGGGCAAAGCTAAAGTGACTCGAATAAAAAAAACATGCATATTTACAATTGCATTGTTATCTATTCTGGTGAAGGCTCAGCAGCAGTTGCATTCATTTTCGCACTCGAAATCGTGACTTGCAGAGAAAGTAAAAGCACAGTGTTACTGCCTTTATTCTTTTTTATATGTACACACTTGCAGGCTTGCGCTGATCAGGCCTCAAAACCGAAACTCGCGTAACGTGATTGTGTCCGCTACCCAACTGCGTTGTAACACCACTTCTGCAGAAAGTCGCTGTATCAGCCGCTGCAGCAGTAGTCTCTGTACCAGCAGACACACAAAAATGACACCGATACAATTATTTTGAAGAATATCACCTTATTTAGCAATAGCTGCGTCAATACGCATTTAAAGAAGCCTAAAATCTTTTTTTTCACGAATAAACAAAATATCAACTTTTAGGTCTGTCAAAAATGTATCTTTGCCAAATCCTTAGAAAAGTTTGTCCCAATATTCGGTGCCAAATCCCAAGATCTGGCGCCAAATTTTTTATTCGACAAAAGTTTGATCCATCACTACTGGTACTACATACCGTAAAATACCGGGCAAGCGCCCACTCAAAATTTTGAGAGTATCATGAAAAAATGGGGGATGGGCGCTTGTCCGGTCATGAATTCTACATATCAATGTACTTTGCATATTTTCTCAGATTTTATGAATTTGGGTATGGGCGCTTAATGTGGTATGGGCGGATGCACAGTATTCTGCGGCACATGTTCTGAAAATTAAAATAAAAAATGTAAGTAAGATTTACCGCTTCATCTTGTGCTGACCCAGAACATGGCTCCCACTGGACTGTTTGTGAGGTGGCTTTTCTCTTTGGGAACCAGACTTTTATCTCATTAGTACTGGAACGTTTTCCAAGTAGTATTTCTGCCACATGCACACTCTTTGGAACTGTGGGCAATCAAATGGCCATGTTTCGTGTTCTTCAACGGACATGGCCGTTTCCCCATGTCCGTTCTTCAACGTACATAAGGAAAAATAAACCTAGAAAAAAAAAAAAAAAAGACTCTAAGGAAAATTAGCTCCGAAAACAGGGAACCTCAATTAATAAGCAGACATGCCTTGCCTGCAGTGGCGCAAAACTAGTAGCTATAGTAGGTATTATCGACAGTAGAAGATGAATCTAGCTATCAATAGTAAAAGAAACTACCAATAGTACTATCAAGAGCTGATCATTCAAAAGCTATTTATCATACTAATGATAGTATTCTATTAATAGTATACTATCAATAGACTACAGCAAAACTTTTAATAGTATAATACTGATTCTTAACTATCAATATATATATATAATATACAAATACAATGTATACAAAATCGATTGACAATTGATAGTATTGATAGTCAATTGAGAGCCAATAATCGATAATTGACTATCAATACATTTTAATACTATTGATAGTTTTAGGAAAGCGATTGATTTTTTAAAAACTATAGATAGTACTGAGTCAATTTATCGAGATTTGCATCACTACCTGCCTGCCTATCAAAACAGTTGCTGCCAACAGAAGACTGTGGCATTTGACGAAACAGTGCCTCGCGTAACGCACCATCATTTCTGTCCCCTGTGGTGGCAGAGCACCGCAAAGCAGCGAGACTGCGACCACACATCCCTGACAAACAACCCTCGAGTGCTTCAGAATTTACCGAGTTTACCGCATGACGACCACCGTGAAGCCTCTCTGCCCAACACGGCAACTCTTCACGGAGGGAGAGCGGCGATCCTCACCGGTGTGGCTTCCAGACGGCGTTCCAGCTGACCACCCGTCCGTCCCTCACCAGCGGCTTCTCCACAACTAGGCCCCCGACCAGACCCACGGGCCAGACCGAGACGGTGCGGGTGTCACGCATCTGCATTGAAATACCCATATATTAGACATACGTATTGTACTGCGGCTATACCTCACACTGCCAACAGAAAAACTGATAATAAAATAAATAAAAAAAAACATGGGAACTTTATTTAATTGTATTTCTTAGCACAGTGACTCACAAATGGGGATCTGCGGACCCCTTGGGGTTCCTGAAGGCCACCTTGAAGTCGCTGATGCCCTCAACCTTCGGTCAAGCCGAGTAATAGATCTTATTTTTTTATTACTGATGCTGGCTGGGAGCTAAATAGACCGAACCCCGTGGGCCAAGTGAGCAGGGCTGATTATTCTCCATTTTGGAGCTTCAAAGTTGGTCTGCACGCATTTAGTTTTCTTTATTTACCCATTTGTCATTGTAATAGCTTAACAGCTCTAATAGTTGTACAATGGTCGTAACAGTTCGGGGAGGGGTAACTGAACGGCCAGGTTGTAATGTCGCGACACTACCAAGTGGCAAAGCCGACAACCACGCTAGCTTTTATGTAGCCTTGGCCGTGACGAAAACGTGGCGCGTCTCGGGAGCTCTCGAGACGCGTTACAACCTGGCCGTTTTAGTTACCCCTCCCCAGAGTTGAATAGGCGCAGGAAAGACGGGGAATCCGGTTCGACAGCTTGCAGCCATACTGGCACTGAGCAGCTCTCCATATAAAATAGGAGCTAGAATTTCGTTGCAGTATCCATTTGAGGGTGGGCTTTGCCTAGAGAAGTACTTTCTGTTTTGTGCAAAAAAAACTAATTTTGAGGAATGTAATTATTAGGTTCACCAACTTGCTTTCAGTGCTTCGGTGTTACACAAAAGATAGGTAGACATCTGGACACTTTGAACACATTTTTTCTACCTTGGCGATTCTTCTGCCCTTGCTAACACGAGCGTGCAAGCGCAACCAAAGCATCGCGGAAAGCAGCGAGCTGGCACTGAAGGCGGAGCTTTTCTCAGCGGTTGCATCACACGCTTTGCTCGCTTTCCGAAGCTACAAACAACAAAGTTGGGACAGTCGGGGCTTGCCAACAATGGGTAAAATAGGCAAGAAGTTGTGTGCTGGCCCCACCTAGGAACAATGAATAAAAGCTTTGGCACTAAACTTTGAATTCTGACGAGATTCGCAGTTCATTGAACTTTCAAGATGGCAGGTTCGGAAGTTTAATACTTTTCAAACTTTTCAAGAAACAAATTCAAAAGTTTGAAAATCGTCAAATTTTTTCATTTAGTAAGTTTAAAGGTTTGTTAATCGCGAATTTCTTAACGCACTAAGTTAGAAATAATTGAATCTTCAAATATAAGAAGTTCAGAAATTCGAAATAATACAATTTATAAACGCAAAAAGTTTGCCAAAGCGAAACTTCTCGAACCTTTCGAACCCCCCAGTTCGACCTTCGAACCTTAGGTTCGAAAAAAGTTTGCTGCATCTCTAGATATTGCTGCAAGTGCTTTTCGGTTTTAACCAAGTTTATGTTTTTGATACTGGCAGATGTTTATTGGCATTCTTTGGCTTAAATTCGGAAAGACCAAGCCCCAGCTGTCACGTCTCAACTCTACCGGGCTCACATACTCCATTTGGGCACATCTCGAACTACTTCCTTCATCTGTCAAGGCCACCATCAGTATGGCACAGATGCCATACCACACACAATAACAGCGGCCAATGTGGCCAGACTGAACTTTAGGATGGCTCTATTGTCAGAACATGAACATGATTTGGGACATGCGGTGGGGGTGCAAAGGAATGCAAAGAGAACCCAAAGGATGCACGAAGGCGGGTCAAGGTGCAAGATATACAGTGAAACCCGTTTAGAACGAACCCACGTACAACGAGTTATTGTCGATATCGAACTCACAAAAAATTTAAATAAAAATGCATGTAAAAAGTACTTTTTATAACGAACAACATATTGGCTATATCGAACTTTTTCCGCCCGGGAAGGCTTCGAAAAACGCGCAACGTCTTCTAGCCTGTCCCTTCCGACCCCCCCCCCCCCCCCCTTCCAAAAAAAAAAGTAGGAAAAAAGAAAAATTCCAAAAGCTCAAGCTGCGAACAAAATTGAGTGAATAGAAGCAGTTCAGAAGGGGAGAAAGCTAAAAAAAAAAACACTGCACGCACGCGCAGAAAAAGAAATTCCTCTCAAAGCGGTAGCATTCTGCACGGGGTTGCAAGGCAGAAGCGAAGAGATGAGAGGAAAAGAGAAGCTCTCACCTTGCAACGAACGAATTGTGGAAGTTTGTTTAAATGATTTTTTGCTATATTTAACTATTTTCTATATCGAACTGATCGTGGCGTTTCTTGCTGTTTGTTATAAACGGGTTTGACTGTACGCAGGAGCGGACACTGCGCGCGTCGCAGCTGCCAGATAAAGTCCTCTCGTCGCCTTAGTTGCAAGCGGCACTATCGGATGACTGTTCTTCAAGTGGCAAGTGGTAGCCTATTGCAGGCTCGGTTTGCCTTGCTTTTTTATGGGAGACACGCTTGTTTTTTAAGTTGTTTTCTAGGGTGTGCCACGTCATGTAGAACATGGCACTTGCGCTACACCTGTTGCTTAGACACAGCATCGCCAATGACCCTGGTTTCGTGCCTTGACGGCAGCAAGAACAATTTTATGAACGTGTTGAAACGAAGAGATCTCCGGCGCATATTTCAAGCCAGCATCCGTCGAGGTCGGAGCAGACACACCGAGGGGAAAGCGCACACAACCGAGTGCCACAGCAGTGAGACTTTTTTTTTTTTAATGTTTTATTTATTTATTTTTAGTTGTGCTGTATGGCCACCGAAGACGCCGCCGGCATAGGCCTCTCGGGCGTGTCAATAGGACTTTATCTGGTCGATCGCGCCGCAGCTCTCGCCGCACTGCGTGTCCTCGCTTAAAGAGTGTCTATTTGAAAAAACTCAACTTGCTCGTCTTGTCCTTTTTCACAAAATGTACTATTCCTTTTCTAATTTTCGAAAAACCAACTGTCACCCGCCATTTAACATCTCCATACGTCATGACCATAGTCTAAAAATTAAACCTCTATTTGCGAGAACTAATAAATTCCAAAATTCCCCACTTTCTATTGCTATTACTAACTGGAATTCCCTTCCTGCATCCATAATACGTGAATCTAACCCGAAGACATTCCATGAACTCTGCACACACCTGAAAAGTGTTTATCTTTAACGTGTTTATTTGTTAATACTTTTTCTACATGTGATGTTTTGATAACTGTCCTATTAGTTGGTAGTTTTGCATTTTCCTATTATTTACCTTGTCTTCACTCTTGTGCTATCTGCATAATATGTCGTTTGATTCCCCCTCATGCAATGCATTTCATTTGAAATGCCTTAAAGGTACAATAAGCTGAACTGAACGTGGTACGAGCACACACGCACCTCTTCGAAGAGGCGAAGGTCGTAGGTGTTGTCGTCGTCTGCAAAGAACACGACGCCTGGGGACCCCCTCGGGAGGGTGTCCCTCAGCCACTGTAGTGCCCGGTTGCGCTGGAGCACCCCCTTTGGGCGAAGCCAGCTGGGCTGCCCCGGAGCCAGCACCTGCTCGGGGGGAGTGGCCGCGTGCAGGTGCGTATGCGCGACGCCGCTGCGTCGCAGGAGGTCGCCGACGAGCTCTGTCCGCTCTTTCCCGTCTTCCACGACGATCCAGTGCAGCTGGGGGACCTGGTGGACGAGAGAGCCGCTGGCAGATGGCACGGGTATCATCGTCATTCCAGAGTATCTGTATGTGCTCTGCAGGGTATCGCGGCAATCTCGAATTTTTGACTAAAAGTATTGCAGAGAAGTGACCATCGCTGTTGCAGGAGACACGAGGGGTGCAACGACATGAGGCAGTGGTTCACCGCACATGCGCCGCTGTGCATCTCCCGACTCCCTGAGAAACGCGTGCGCGCAGCATCATCAGTTGTCTGCTTGTACAGGCTCGCCTTGAAACGGTGCATGTGTTATAAAAAAGAATACAACTGTACGCGTCTCAGTGGCACACACAATGAACTAAGGTTTAAGAGCCTTCACGCTCCTGAGACTTCAGTACAAGATCTACATTTCGCGAATGCGGAGCAAAAAAATATGTCCTGCCCCAAACCCGGCGCTCCGCCAGGCCGCTTCACCGCAAGCGCCATAGTCAAATGTGGCATGTCTGACCCCTTCTCCTCCAATGACGAGTTGGCGGCGAAAGGCGGGCAATACCCTGGCTCCACCATTCAGTTACTTTGTATTGTCCTTGCACTACTCCGGGGACATGGCAACTCCGTAAATGTTCCAAAGCCAGGTGGCATGAGCTACTGCCCGACACAAAGGTCACAGCCACTAGCTGCCATTCGTCCATTTATTCACTCACCAGGCGGAAGGTGTGGGAAAGCCTGGTGAGCTCCGCCTCTTGGACGTGCCGGCTGTATGTCGGGGTTATGGCGTAGATCGTGGGCAGCGTTTGGCCTCCGTCTGCCAGCTTGTGCAGGGCTGACAAGCAGACCCCGCTGGGTCCGGATGTTCCTAGCTTTGCTCTCTGCACAACGAATGTGGTGGTGCTCGTTAGCCTACCAAACAATACTTTATTGAGGAACAGTGCCGTTTGCTGGGCGGGTTGGTGCTGAATTTGAGAACAGATAATAGCGCTCAGTGGTGTCCAGTTCTCCTCCTTTACGAGCGCTACCATCTATTCTAAAGCTCGTCCAGGAGCATTGTAATAGCAAACTTGAATCATTTCGTTGAAATGACGTACAATGTTTTAGGAAACGTGCAAACTTCCAGGAGTATAAATGTTACTCTCGACAAGTTACTGAGTTACAGGTACTTGAGCTGAACTGTGATGAAGTTAAAACACATACTTATGTTTTCAAATGTAACATACAGTTACTGACAAGGTAAGAATGCTGTGTCTTTTGAATGACTTCCAGCACGCGCTCGTTGCCTTTCACTATGCTTTGGCTGCACATGTATGACCGAGGCTCGTAAGACGGCGAAACATTATCGAAGGTAGAAAGTTTGTGCTGGAGCCAGGTCAACTGGAATTTCTCTCTGGCGTTTTCGTGCTGTCAGTAGCTTGGCTACATCGTCCTGTAAAACTACATAAAATTAAAGCTGTGGAAGCTGCAATAGGTTAACTCACTACTCGATTTCCAATGTTGGAAAAAATGGCAGTTCAGTCGCTAAGATTAAACAGCGCACAAAACGTTGGAGGAAGAGAAAAGTAGTATTGATGTACCAACTAGCTCAAATTACCACTTTACTATGGCAGTTCAATCACCATTTGCATTCTGCATAAAACTACAATTAAGTTCAGAGGCATGACAACGTGTGTACAGTGCTTATTATCGGAACGCTGAGCTGTATAAACCACAACCCTGAATCACGTACGTAGAAGCAAGTGCTCAAAATGCTTGCAATACATACTATGTGTATGAGTTGAAAGAATTGAAATAATACCCTCACTTGTCACAGGATAGACATCGATAATGTGCCTTCCCATAAGTTCTAGGAAGCACAAAAAGATGAAGTCAATTTTTGGTGTTTACATGCCAAATTAAGAAAGGGCATCTGGAGCGCCCCACCAGAAGGTTGAGGACGAGGTAATTTGGGCCCCGTGGGGACCTCTTGACGTGCGACCGAAATATTAGTTGCGTATAGTACCTTGTCCACAACAGGTCTTTAAAATGCGAACACCTCAGCCAGGATTAGAATCCGACCTGTACGGCGACGCTTCACCTTAGAGCCACTGAAAGTTGACGGGGAAGCAAAACACAACAACGCCAAGGCCAGAGGTAAAAAGGGTCTATACCTCACCATTCACATACCTTTAGTTACCAGTGATAAACAATGGTCAGTAAAGGAATGCCCCCTCGCTATAAAGTCGTACAACAGAACTGTGCGTGAAGCCTTATGCGATTAAAGGGGCGGTGCCACAGTTTTTCTATTTTCAGCAAATACAGTTAGAATCAATCCTTGACACGAATAACCTATAAAACACGTGCTAGCTTTCTCTTGCAGACAACGGCAGCTAGCCCTAAAAAAAAACTGTAAAAAAATTAGCAGTGCCCCATAACTCGCGGCGAGACTGAGCGGCCACGTGATCTGGTGCCGATCAAGTGCCAACAATGTTCCTTGTAGCCATGCACTGGGGTTGGCAAGGCACAGGACACGCACTGAGCTCCAGACATTGTTAGGGTTTGGCTATTCCCGTCATGGCAGCCACTGGACACGAGCCAGTAGCCGAATGCTCATCAAGGCATCAAGTGCTCACTCCATGTTGTGTCCAGCCTATAGGCCCCATTTGAATGACGTCACCATGGGTAATCCCCGTGGCTATGTCAACACTGCGATCCCTGGGACAATGTCATTGAGTTTTACGAAGTAGAGACTTGAAGAAAAAGTCAGCCTTTATCCTTGAAACATTACACTGAGACAAAGGAGCTTCTTGGTCGGTGACGTAACATTCCGAGAGTTTTCAGGTCACTAACACCAGTAAGCTTGTGTCTTGTGAGCAACATCCCGACCCAATATCAATGCATGGCCCCTTTAAATGTTACGAGACCAACAGCACCAACGTGACAGGTAGTGTTCCACAGCTATGACCCCTGCAAGCAACTTACAATGAAGTGCACGCAACGCTCTCTCCAGTACCTCTCAGTTTCACGTGATGGGACCAGGCATCGCTCCGTCGTCACTGTAAATGGCAAAGAATGATGTAATGAGCTTGATAAACAGTCATCAGAATGAAAATGGGCAGTAGTAACCTTGCTATGAAAGTTCTGGGAAAGTTCTATGGCACAGGAAGTTACGACTGTATCCATGCAGATAAGATAGACAGATTTTATGGCGATATATACGTGGCCTGAACGTGCCATCACACATGCTGGTGGTAATTCTAGGTCATACCTACTTGTTCTTGCCAAGAAAAGCAACTTCAGCGGTGCAAAACATAGGATCTTGCACTGAAAAACGAGCCGAAAAAACAGGCGTCTGCACATAGCTCAAACTTTCACCGAATGTGCATTGAGGCGGTCAGTTTTACCTTCTCAAATTTCAAGGCATGGTGTAGTTCTCTTTCTGAACAAATTAGACCGACAAACTTGCCGAAGTCAATGGCAGACATATTTTCAAACAACCAAATTAGCAATGAATATAGCTTGTGGCGCTATCTCCAATGAGGCACATCCAGCAGACAACAGAGTGCGTCTTCTGCTTGCTTCGCCTATGCGGAGCGCAACTTCGTCTGCTTCTTTTGCAGGGGTTGTGGATGCGTCAGAAGGACGATCTCTGATTGGTTCTGAATGAAGGATAGTGGGTAGACCTCAAGGCAGCTTGCTTTGAGGTCTACCTACTATACTTCAATCAGAGCCACTCGGAGCTCGGCATCTTTCTGACATCATCAAAACTCCTGCGCAAGAAGCAGACGACTTGCTCTCAACATTGAAGGATGGCAGCACAAGTTAGTCATTGCTAATTTGGTCGTCTGCAAACACATCCATCGTTGATTTTGGCAAGTTTGCTACTCTCATTCTTCACAGAAAAAAAACTATGCTTTCAAATTTCACGAGATAAAACTGACCTATGAAACGCACACTTGGTGAAAATTTCAGCTCTCCAAGTGCCGGGGTCGGTTTTTCAGGCTTGTTTTACAGCATAAGATCCACCACGCGCAGAAAGTATGTGCTGAGCAGTAAGAACACACACAATGGAGGCTGATGTGACGTCCTTTTTGAGCAAGTCGGCCCTGGCACCAGGCCCCATAGCAAACCTTGCTATCGACCACATAGGTGTCAGACGAAAGGTGTGTACCATGTGTACAGCTTCCTACCCCACGGCCTCCCTCCTTAACCCTTCCCCTACCATGGACGGCCTGAGTTCGTCCACACTGTTTGTCCCCCCGAAGACGAGCTGGGCTTGTCCCCGTTGATTCAGGCTCCAATACGCTACCATGGACGAACTGGGCTAGTCCACGTGTTTCTAGTGAGCTTTGCCGTGAATAGATGGCGCTTCACGGAAAATAAAAACCTGGTAAATTTCTGAATTTGGCAGAAAATTGTTCTAACACAAGCAATAGGGGATTTAAAAATAGTGACGTCAACTTCTGGTCGCTGCGTTCTTAGTGACGATCTTGCCTCAAAATTGGGGCGAAAACGAAGATGTTGTGGCGTCTCTTCAGATTCAGAAGACGAGGAAATGAATCTTTCATCGAACGGCGAGAGGAATGCAACTGAGTTATTGGATTTGAGCTCCGACGACTCCGATTTTGATGAGGACATCATGTCGACATGGACTAGAATCAATGTAGAAAATTCCTCTTCAGCCCCACCACGTTTTGCATTCACTTTGCGTGCAATGTGATGTGAATTGTCTGCAGTACCGCTACACCTAGCCTGAACGTCCATGTGCAAGGTGATGTGAACTGTCTGCGACAATGCAGTGAAGCGGAACTTCAGTCCTTTTTTCTTTTGCAGTGTGTTCAAAGATTTCTCATATAATAAATATTTTGGCGTTTGTTTTTTGCCTTTGTATTGCATATTAAATTTATAGGCCACATAAAAAATTCGGTATTTTCAAATAGTCTTTTTCAAAAGTTTTGCAGTAGGCAAAGGGTTAAAGGAGCTGTGCAACAGTTTCAGTGCTTTGCTTAAATAATTTGAGAGTTGGTGTCTCGACCTTTCTGAATTAAAGAACAAAAAACCGCTTTTCTGCATGTCCTAGTTTTTATTTTAAAAATGGACAAAGATTGAGGTTTTTGGCACCTCTCAACTCCTTCACCATCTTCCGAGTCACGTGCGCTGTGACATCAATGGGGCTCACGCGGGATCCGGTGAAGCTCTCTCTCTAGAGCCATAAGTAGGGTGTGCACTTTCCGGTGTTTATTTGTGAGAAAAATCGGCGGATGTTTTTCGGTGTTAATTTATTTTCGAAACACCGGTGTATTTCGGTGGAACGTCTCACGACAAGGCTAAAATCGGTGATTATCGGTGGAAAGAAAATGCGATTGATCACAGACAGAGAGCTCCAATTTTATTCACATATTTCATACACTTCTCGAGGAAGCATATATTTCTCGCACTTGGTTATTATAGTAGATGCAAGCATACTTCGAGAGGCTTGCATCCGTCATGGCAGCACGTTCCTTGTGGTTCACAACCCGCAATTTTGAAAACGCACGCTCCACATTTGCGCTGGACACAGGAAATCCCAAAATGTCCAGCGAGGCTTGGGACAGTAGTGGCCAGTCAGGTAAATGAAGTTTCCAAAATAACACTGGATAAATGGTGCTAGTTACAGCATACTGGCGGTAACAAAGAAACTCCGATTCTAGGTCACTCAGCTAGCTCTCGTCTCAGAGGACCAGCCGATAGATACTTTCATAAGGCACAAATCCCTCTGGCAGCTCCACGTTTATACACGGATTAACAATTGGCACGCGGAACCAGAACGACGATTCATCCATGAAATTTGTAGCGTAGTCATCCTGGGCTTTCCGCTTACTTCCCATCCTGGTGGCCTTCTACTCCGCTTGACGACGAAGGGAAGCAAGTCTCACGTTGAGAAAACCCGTAGACGCGGGATGGACGCGCCTTCTCAAACATGTCTGCAAGTTTTTTTGGAGAACGGTCCTTTTATATACGGCGAGAAACTCCCCCGCCAACAAAACCCTTTTTCCGTTTCCCCAAAAGCTCATGGAAACTAAACAGATAACAAGGAACGCATCTCAGTTCTGAAAGGTCAGTAGCCCTGTACGACGACACGGATGTTGGCAGTGTCTTCCAGGAACCACAGCAACCTCTGAGTACATGGCTTGCACCGACATTACTTGGCCAGACCCAGTAGGGAAAGGGCACGTGAGAACGTACCCTCCACTGCGTTAATTTTTCCACAAAAGGGGGCCATGGGCGACACAACGGGGGAAAGGCGTGTGAGAGCTTATCTTCCACTGCGTTCACTAGACGCTTTGGACCCCCGGAAAGGAGGGCGGACTGACGCCACGTGCAAACCATGTATAGACACTTGAAGAATGCGGGATCCACGAGATAACATGTTTGACGAACCTCTACGGGGAAAGGGTTTCGCTAGGTGGGAAACGTGCAACGACCGGTGTTTTTCGGTTTTAACCAGGGCGAAAATATCCAACCACCGGTGTTTTTCGGTTTTAACCGATTTTGTAATTTCGTCACCGACGGATGTTTATCGGTGTTTTCCGGTTAAAACCGGAAAATACACACCCTAGCCATAAGTGAGCAGCGAGAACTCATCCGCTCGCGACCGCGTGACCACGTGCTGGCAGGCGCAGCGCAAACAATATGGTGAAACAAGGAAAGCCTCATCCACGTCCGGCCATACCCGTCTGGCTCTGTCCCCCTCCCCCTCCGGATTCTGGCAGCTGTTCGCGGTAGCAGATAGAGCAGATGGTTTTGTGGACCTAGGATAGATGGCGCCACTAAAACTACATATAATAAAAGTTTTATCGATGATACCAGGTTTTTAACGCATTTATATTTATGTTGGAACGACAAGATTTATAGAAAAGTCACCTTTTATCAAGCAGGTATTCGCACAACTTGCTATTTGCTCTTTCTACAAGACCGCCATTGACGTCATGCCGCCTGCTTCTCATGGCCGCCGCTCGCAGCTGCAGGTCGGGGAATATTCTAATTTTTGCCTCGCGATTACGCGGCAGAATCGCAACATTTCGAAGGAAGGAGGTGTGTTTTCTGTCCCTTGTGACAAGTTGAACAATGTCAAAAGTAGAAGATGCCAATTCTTTCAACGTTAAAATCGTTGCGCAGCTCCGTGGAGGTTTCTGAGGTCGCCTAAATTTGACAATAACTCACTCTGTGGGCTCCAAGCATCCTAGATATTTAAAAATGATAACGATGCGCGGCCGATTTCCTATTAAAATAAAAGATTGAACACGCCTAGGTCGTCTCTGGTGATGGAGGGAGCGTTGCCCCAACAGCCAGGGCAACATGTGACCATTGAAAATGTGACATTTTGTTAAGATTGGAAATACTGTTATTACAAAATATGTATGCTCTTTTAGGTAATAAAAAAAAAAGTAGTCGAAAATTTTTTATTTTTTGCGGAGGGAACATATTATTGCAGCAATCCATAATATTGCAGTAATCCACAATATTGTACAATGCGCAGCTTTTCTTGTTTTTTCTTTGCGGGAGTGATGTGTTTCAACAACAGCTCTCGAGCACGTGCTCGCTGGGTTAAATCGTAGTCCAGGCTGTATGGGCAACAAGCAGCACGCATTCGAGATATCACTCCGCAGTTCCACCAGTCGGAGGCACGAGGATCCATCTCTTGCTATTGGCAGACAGTGGTCCTGGTTTTGGAACATGCTCCTCCCATTGCCGGAGATGAGCTCGGTGTGTTGCACTCTTTGATTGCTTTCTCAATAGGGACATTGGCCTCGTATCGTCATAATTTAGGGATCCAGGATACTTAGAGCCAGCAGAGGGACTCAGAGCCATATATGGAGATAGTTTGGTCAATGGGAGGCGCGGGCAGAGCCAGGGCGTGCACAAGAAGCTGGCAGAAGGCGTGACATGCTCTCTTGGCTAACCAGAAGCCAAAAATAATCCCCTAGCAGTGGTAGTGAGAAACAATTTTAATAAGTGCATAAGAGTTAAATGGAGTACCTCTTTATGGTTGAAAGTATAGTAGTACACGTGATGTTTCAATTATTATCATGCGAAAAAATGCAAGAATCGCATGTGCCGCTCAAACTCTCTTTTTGCTCGCTCGGAGTCTGACTGCTCGGACGGCATTTTCCCGGCCCTTGGCCCCTGGCATACGGACCACGTCGATCGTTTTCCTAGAATTTGACGTTGCATGACCGTGATAAAAAAAATCACGTGCACTACATGTTCAGTCACCGAGAGTTACTCCGACGCGCTTATTAATTATTTTTAGAGTAAAGCTATACGCACTCCGGAGTGCGCTTCGCGCGGAAATGGCTATACGCACTCCTCCGAGAGATCATGCCGCTCGGGCCACCCTTTTCGAACGGCGCGTGAATCACTGGGGCGCTCGTTAACACAGCCCCCCGCCTGCGTTCACGCCGCTTCGCGGCGACAGTATCGGCTGCTAATTACAAAGCGTAACCAGTACACGCCGCTTCGCGGCGTCCAGCCGGCAATCCAAGCCCCGCTGTCCCCGATCGCACCTCCGGAAAGGGAGTCCGATACCATTTAGTTCTGCAAAGTTTCTCGACAACATTCAATTTTTTTTTTTTTTTTTTTACTGTTCATCGCAAAAAAGGAAATGTCGTAAATATCGCCAAATGCCTCGACAAAAAATGTTTGAGAAAGAAAAAAAAAAAAGAAAGTAGGCCCACGGGGGATCGAACACGCGTCCACTTGCGTATGAAGCGGACACCCTAACCCCTATGCCATGGCACCGCTTAGGATACTCGTTGTGTCCACTCTTTTTATACGAGAAAAGCGGAGTGCGTATAGCCATTTCCGTCCGAAGCGCACTCCGGAGTGCGTATAGCTTTACTCTTATTTTTATCGCGACCATCGCCAGGGCATTATTCGCGGCTTCTGGCTGGCCACATTCGAATCTGTGAACACGCCTCCCTGGAACACGCCCAGCCCGCTCTGGGCCAATGGCGCCTCCTCATTTGCCTCCTATACCTCCCAATGAATGGCCAACCTCTCTCAATATACGGCTCTGGAGTAAGATTGCCATAAGGCAGGACACCTTTAACGGCCTTGTCTATAGTCGGTGACAGGTCAAGAACGAAATGGAAGCCTCTCCCACCCCCTTCCAAATCAGCGGAGCGAACGGTGGAGAGGAGGTCGCGTCCTCTCCAGCGCTCGCTCTACTAAAGTGGAAAGAGATGGGAGGAGCTTCCACTTCGTTCTTGACCTGTCACTCTCGTTTATTATGAGAAGTTCAGCGAACTGGGGCTATGAACATTCCAGTTTTGTATGCACCTCTCCTTTCGTGATTAGATGCCCAATCAGATCACGGACCGAACCTCGCTCAAAACGTCAGACCCACCGAGCAGTACGACGAGCCACAGCAGAGCGCCCACACATGCCGTCGCTGTCAGGAGCCGTGTGGGTCGGAGTCGACAGCGCGTGAACATCGCACACGAGGAACTGCTGTCATCGGGCGAGTCCGTTCGCTAATTAAAACCACGCTCAATGCCACCGGTCTCTGGGCCCACACGCAGTTGGATCAGCTGGATGCTTCGGAGGATATTCAAAGCACAGATTCAAAGGAAAAGCCGAAGAGCTACGATTGAGGCAGCAAACGTGCAAACGGTGCAAGTACAACCGGCCAGAGGGCGCAAGCTCCGCTTTACAAGTTATAATCATCATCGACTGCCTTCTATTTTTGTGATCTTTGTCTAGTTTTTTTTTCTCTTTTCTAACTAAATTCTAATTATTTAGGTTTTATATTATATTCTTAGAAGTTTATGTTTCATTTAATTCCGTTTAAGCATGCATTGTAATGCGGCGAAACGGCTGCTGCATCGCTATCACCGATCACTAGCGCCCGCTGCGCCGCCGCTGGAAAATCTGGCAAAAAAATCACGGAAAACGAACGAGCAAAACGGCAAAACGCTCCAACCTAAATGACCTAAACGCCTAAACAACCTAAACGCGATCAAGAATGCGGCCGACTGACGTACACTGAAACCTAAGATCACCGCTACAACGACATCGGCTCACCCAGCCTCCCAGCGTTGGGCAAAACCAGCAATATCATTGAGCGCACGAAACCTGCCAAACCCACGGAACCATCCACAGCAAGATCACAGCACCGCAAAACTGGCAACTCAAGACATCGAGCCATCCCACGAAGCGCTCTCGTTGAAGTCGCTGCTCGTACTCGCGAAATCGTGATCTGCGGCAAGTGCGGCCTGGATTAGTTCACACAACTTGTTCGAGAAGCTCGATGGCGGACCCGAACGTGTCGCACCACCACGTGAAGCAGGAGAGCGGCGCCAGCAGCCCCGGAGAGCCGAGCAGCAACGGCAGCGCGGGCGGCGGCGGCGGCGGCCGCGGCAGCCCCTCGGGCCAGTCGCTGTCCGAGCTCCTGCTGCAGCTCGAAGACTACAGCCCGACGCTGCCGGACGCCGTGACGGCGCACTACCTGAACACGGCGGGCTTCGAGGCGAGCGACCCGCGGGTCGTGCGCCTCGTCTCGCTCGCGGCCCAGAAGTTCCTGTCGGACATCACCAACGACGCGCTGCAGCACTGCAAGATGCGCGGCGCGGGACAGAGCAAGAAGGCGAGCAAGGACAAGCGATACACGCTCACCATGGAGGATCTGAGTCCCGCCCTGCACGAGTACGGCATCAACGTCAAGAAGCCCCACTACTTCGTCTGAAACGACCCGCGCCCGCCGACCAGCATGGACCGCGGATGGTCTGGGAAGATCCTTCGGTGCCAGGGATCATCCCTGCGATGCCCCAGATTATCCTTTCGGTGCTTCTGTCTTAGCCCGCGTTTGTTGTTGTGTTTGTGGGTATGCTCCTTAAGATGACTGCGGGTGTGTCCAGTGTGTCAACGAATGCTTCGTTGACCATTCGGCCCCCTTTTCTTTCTCTTTTGTCTCGTTTAACTCTGGGTTATCCCAGTGCCTGCGGGCGTGGAATTGATTTCGGTTAGTGTCGCGAGTTTTTTTGTTGAGAAAGCTCGTGCTACGTCTAAAACCTCGCGGAGGTTGCAGCTGTAGCGCCAGTGCCTTTTGAGTAAATGCCCACTCGGATGGAACGTACCCTTCTTTCCTGTTGATTTTCCGCGCTACAAGTGACGCGTGGACAAACAGAATATTCACCAGCACTGGAGAACGATATTGCATGCAGGCTGTGTGTGTATCCACGATGAAAACCAGCGACTGAAGGAGCTACCTAAAAAGGCTGGCAGATTTGTATTTGTCCGTCCTCGGTCATCAGTATCCATGGCTTAATAATTTCTCGGTCCCTGCTCCCTGTTGTGCGTGCATGCCCAGGGCATGGCACCCTGCCGAATTCTCTGGAGCCGCCTCAGAAATATTCAGGCGACAAATGTTCATTCATCGCCTCGTGCCACCTTGCCATTCCCTCGTTGAGAAAGTGCTCGGTTCGTGCATAAATAAGCAGTACTTTTTCGGCCTGCACCTATCTGAAACCTGCATGCACCAGTAAGCAACCGGTAGTCGCGTTTTCTCCTTGGAACCCTTAGATCGCCAAACGAAATGGGGTTGAATCTGCTTCATCTAGAGCGAAGTGCAGTATACAGACTTCATACCGACATTGAATACGAGCTAACCTCAGTTTGTAGCAAGCGGAGTACCGACAGTAGCCTGAAGCGCAACCTTCACGGTTGGGTTCTGTTGTACTGATTGCAGTTCCTACTGCTGCTCGCTCTGAGTGAGCTCTCCAGTGTCGGACTCTTTTGTAAGAGGCATTGCGTTTAGCGTCCTCTCCCAACCATGTATTGAAACTGGTCCCAAAGTGGCAACAAATGACGTTGCAAAAGCCCGAGTGTCGGGCTGTCGGATGTGGCACTCTTGGCAATTCGTTGTTGAAGTTCCGTAAAAAGCACAAGCGAATGCAAGTGTCGTCGTCACGGCGTCCAAATTTCTGGCTGCCAGAGCTACCATAGACTGTCAAGCTGGACAGATCACCTTTTTGGACCCGGTAAAACCAAGCCGCCTCGGTGGCTTTGAGTCAAGGTGCCAGCCTACGGATCCCCAGTTGGCGGGTTCAAAACCCAGCCGAGGTGCCAGCAATCCAACGGAGGCTTATTGCGGAAAAGGCACTGTGAAACCGAGATTTCTTTGCTGCACATCAAAGGATCCCTGGGCCCTGGACAGTCGAAATTAATCCTTGGTCCTCCGCCGCGGCATGCCAGACGGTCTTGGCCGGTTTTCACACGTGAAACCCCCAAATTTGACTTTGTTGGACCCGGTAAACACGCCAGTCAGAGACGCATTCAGGGCACTGCACTTCAGAGCAACGACGTTTCAGCCATCAGATGGATGGATGGATGCTAGCGGCATTATAACGTGTGGTAGCTTGCGCCACCTAGTCTAGTTCTTTGAATCATTAGCTTCGTTCGATTTTCCTGCCGCGGTGCAGAAAAGTGTAGGGCGGTGTACTTCCAGTATGTGTATTGAGATGGACTGAAAGTACATTGCCCTACACTTTTCTGCATCAATACACGAGGTGCATGTAGAACCAAATATAACAACTGTAGCCAGTGATTTGAAGCTTTATCTGAAATAGCAGGAAACGGTTCTCTGTCTTCTCGAAATGTTAAAACAGTCCGCGACAGAGCAAAGCGACATGGTTTGAGCTTTCTGGCACGATGTCTAAGCCTCGGGAAGTCGCATTTTTGAATTTCAACAATTGCCAATTGTGCCCACCCTGCACTAGGCACCAAGATGGCGGCACCCACGAGAAAATCGGGGAATAGAGTGTGGATAGTTTAAGCATAGCTTAGTTAGTGACTCTAGCTGTACCTTCAACCGCAAAACTGCCAGTGTAGCGACAGGAGACGTACCGGTTGCAGGACATTTGAGGTTCATATTTGGCAGAAAGTTGCACGACACCAAAAAATTGCAGCGACCTACGTAGAGGGTGCGAACGCTGTAATGTCCTTGCCTCAAAGTCTGCGAAAGTTGATATACGCAATCGATTCAGGGAGTGTGACGCACCACATGCTTGACGAAACCCAAGAGGCTTAGGTGTTTGTCCAAAACAAAGTTTGGCATAATTGGCAACAATAATTTTATCCAATAAGAGGGCCAAAGCATTGTTACTCTGAAACACAGCTTATCTACACTTGTGGCATTGTATTGCAGGTGCAAAAGTGCTTCCCGCTGTAGCAGAGATGAAGCACCTCGTCGTACGACCAAATTTAAGCCTATTTTGTGCTACGCAAGTGGAAAAGGCAAGGAGTGTCTTTCGAATGCCCAGCCCCCGGCACGCACTCTATGCCTTTTGCCGTACCCTGGCTGTGCACTCGAGACGCCGAACCTTTGTCGTAGGTAGAGGTAAGACAACCAAAGTTCCTCCCTGGCATCGTTGCATTGTCAGCGACCTATAGGGGTTGCGCCGCTCTCAACAAATGTGGCGACAGAAAACAAGTTGTGGCATGCCACGCGCCAGCGCGTCTCACGGCGCTCGGATTTAAGCGGGCAAGTGTTGGCTTTGAAATGGTTTGCCCCAATTTTTGTTCGCTACGTTCAAAAGCTGCAGTGGTGTGTTGGCGTAAGCAAGCTTCCAGAGGCTTGGCCTCCTTCGGGGTTGGAGAGAGAAGGACTAGCTAGGTACTGTCCTATTGCGCCAACAAACATTTATAAGCGCGCAATGTCTCGTGTGCGCGGTTCTGTAGGTTGCGGTTCGAGCGACCTAGGCAATGCACCGAATCGATGTTAACGACAAAGTCGCCCAGGCAAATGTTTGCCCTACACAACACGAGAAGTGATCCAAGGTGCACCTAATTTATTAGGCAGTTATAAGTCGCGTTTTTTCTTGCGGCCCCGTTATTGCTGTTATTTTCGACACTGCAAACATAAGTTTGAAGTTCAGTGGGATTTTCACGGGCCAAGCCTGGTAGGGAAGTAGTGGCAAAAGGCATTTCTGCCTGACCGGACCTCTACCACCCGCTCTTTACTGAAGTGTAAAAAGGTGGCACGGCATACAGCTTTGTAGCATTAGTTTCTGCTTCAATATGCATGTCTGTGTAAGCGAAATACATTTCATGCAACACAGTCAACAAAATTTACATTTCACACAGCACAATAAACGAAGAATGCTCAGCAGTCTTTTTGTATTCACGTCCTGTGGAGGACCCAGGGTAACCGATACAACTTTCCTCGCATTGGTGGCCATCGCGCCGAACTGCGACAACATGCAGTCGCGGAAGTCGCAAGACGAGCAGAAATCGTGAAAGGACCCTTTCGGCTAGTTCAGCGTTTTTCCATTAGTGCAGTCCGTTTTGCTGGGGTCGCGAGTAGCGTAGCGTGTGTAGGTACATGAGCACGGGCGAACGAGACGTAAAACGAAGCCACGTGTGCTTGCAGCAGTGCGGAGCTGCGGCACCGTGGAAACTGCGCTAACCTGGAGAGTGCAGCACAAAATAGTCGACTCCCAGCACAAGTAGAGGACAAGAGCCAACAACTCGTATGAATGGGAGAAGATGCTTTATATTCTGTTGCTCCCCGTGACGCTGGCGGCAAAGCCGGGCCCACAGGGTTGTGGCGACATCGGAACGCTGAGCTGCGCTTGAAGGATAGTGGGTAGACCTCAAGGCAGCTTGCTTCAAGGTCCATTCACTATCCTTCAATCGTAGCAAATCGGCGGTTGGCATCGTCTTGATGTCACGGTAACTCCCGCGCAAACAGACTGCATTGATTCCCCGCTATTACACAAGTGTTCCGAGAACGCCATTGGACTGCAGATTCGTCAACTCCGTCCTTCATTGTCGAGGAAAATGGCATCCGCTTCCCTCCCCGACAATGTCAAGCGACGCCTCCCAAGTAACAAACCCTCAGCGGTGGATTCTCCGTCGCTAAAGAAGGCCACTGTAAGGCAAACGGGATCTGAGCGCAGCATTCGGCTGGAACTCGCATTCAATCGGCGGGGGCCTCAGCCGAACACCGATGCAGCACTCGTGCGTAATCCGCGCACGGCCCTCTTTGATGACGCGGGAAAATTCGGCACTGTAGGTCGGTTCACACATCTGCACTTGGCTGCAACCGAACACTCTGCGCAGCCTAGTGGTTCCTCGCGATCGCTTATGAGCAGACAACATGGCGGTGCCCTCCGTCGGGTGGCCGTGGAAGACCCACGATTTCCTTACATTGTCTCCTTTTTTTAGGGCGGAACTGTTAAGGGCTAGGTTCCCCAGGATCATGTCCACCAGCAAAGAAATTGTGACACCGAACTCTGGACAGCTACTGCCATCTATGAGCGACGGCAGCTACGAGACAACTGGTTTCCGCCGTCGCTTAAAGATGGCGGCAACCTTTCTTCGGAGGGAGAAGAGCGGTTTGGAACGAGCGGCGATGGTGCGCAGCAGCACGAATGGATCCAAAATTGCTGCGAGGCCGCTATCGCCTAGAGTTACACTGCGTCGAACGCTTCGGATTTCCTTGCGAAAAAAGAGCAGATCCCTCGCCTGGAAAGCCACCGCTGAGAACAGAAGCTACCAGCTCCGCTGCTCTTCCTTCTTCACCAGAGTGGAAAGGCTGAAAGTTTTTTTTCCTGCACCGTTCTTCCACTATGGGCTCAAAAAACTGTTGAGAATGTTATAAACGACTACATCTCATAGATAGGATATGCACATCTGATTGCACCAATACTGCAAGACCTTCTCCAGTTAAATGGCGTTCCAGGGCTACGTCGTAGACGGCACGCCAGCACGTCCTTGCGTCGCGAGGGAGCACAAGGCTCCATGACGCACACTGTTGCAACTAAACGCGTGTGAACCGGCCATTAAGCCAAGGTCATGCCGCTAGTTACAAAAGACGGTCTGCAGAAACTGTTCGAGGCATGCTCCTTCCTTATACGACGGCAACATTGGTCATAGAAAGACTGTCTGCATGCATGTTCCAACATACGTATGTACGAAGTAAACGTGGTTCGAACATCCTCTAGGCATGTCAGCAGATATTGTGTTTGCGGCAAACAGTGTCTGTTGTATGATGTACAAGCAACTGCGGATTTAGCCTTTCTCGTCTAGGTGTTCATCGGAAGGACTCGACAGAGACAATGTCTACGACAAGTACGAACGAGAAAAAAAGGTAGTATTTTATTCATTTTTTCCAAGGCAGCGAGACAGGCCTCGGGTTGAAGGGCCTTTTGCGGCCCCTATTGGTTCCCTACTACTATACAAGTGTTCTGTGGATCTGTTGATCGCGCGCTTCGATGTCGAGGAGAAGACAACGTCTGCTTCTGTGCTCCGCTTGGGGTCAGGAGGGCTCCATGGATAGACGCAGGGCCGCCTGCAGCATCTCGTCTTCGGACAGCTGTTGCTGCTGCAGCTGCTGCTGCTGCCGACCTTGCACGTCCAGAAGGCTTTTCTGGAGTGCCTCTTGCAGTTGGCGCTCTTCGCTGGTTGGGGCTCGATCCGCCTGGCACTCTGGCAGCGCACCCACCACCACGAAGATGGAGTAGCCTGCAAGGACGGGACACGTTTTAGGACGGTCTCGCGTATTAACGCAAAATAGGTTGAAAGGCCAAGGTCCGCTTCATGCTTTCCACTTTTCCCCTCGCAGTTTAGGAAAGGAGGGTGCTAAAAGGATTTTTCTTCCCCGCAGAAAACCGAGGTTGTACTTTGACCTTTAAAGGCTCAATTCACACATTTGCATTTGACTGCAATTGAGTGCAATGTGTCCTCTTGTAACTGCTTAACACATTGGCGTCATTTATTGGCTGGACCACGAACACTTTCAACCTCTGTGTAACTAGGCTGAAGCCTTAGCAGTATTTTCGAGACCGAATCTGCATGCTATCCAAGAGAAATCATCACTCATAGCGTCGTGAGAGCTATTTCAAGCCTACGGTGGAAGAATGCTGTGTAAAAAATTATACAAGTACATATGCAGGTCAGTAATGTTCTAGGTCTACCCAATATGCGGTGCCAGTGTGTTCATAGCGGTTGGAGGAGATCACGGTCAGTCAGACACAAAATATGTCAACCAGGCTGGGATCCCCAAGGAAGGCGCGACAAGGTGCCACGAAAAACCGTCGCACACCCGCCAAATTCAGCGGGCTGCAACTCTCATTAAGTTTGGCAGGTGGTGTACACGTGATGCCGTCGCATAACAGTGACGTCGCGTCATGCCGCGACTTGACCGGCGTGACATTGTGCGACACCACGACATGGTCATGTGTCCGGTTCTAGAGTGGTGTGGCAATGCATCCCACGACACTATTCGTGTCACGCCATCCCAGTGCAGCTGCAAAAACAGGACACTTCCTGTATCCCGATTTTATCCCTAAGATTAAGATACACTAGTTTATTTAACACGCTGGCAGGCCCTAGAAGCAAGCTGGAGAGGTTCTTCAAAATATGAGGCGGGGATGCAGACTACCGTAAAATACCGGGCAAGTGCCCACTCAAAATTGAGAGATAATCGCGGAAAAATGAGGGATGGGCGCTTGTTCGGTCATCAGTTTTACATATAAATGTACTGTGCACATTTTCACAAATTTGGAAATGGGCGCTTAGTGTGGAATGGGCGGATGCGCGGTATTCTACGGTAGTATGTTTTTATCCCGCGACTCCAACGACCACTCGCCCCCAAATAATTGCCGTAAGCGAGAAAGAACAAAGAAACTGGTTGTCTTTTTGGCATTTCCAAAAGGCATTCTAAATGGATGGCGTTTGTAGGACAGGGCCAGCAGCATTATGTCATGGCGTTGCAAACGCCACGCTGTACCTATGCGGAGCACAAGTTTGTCCGCTTCTTGCACAGGTGTTGGGATGATGTCAGAACGCCAAGCTCTTATTGGCTGATTGAAAAAATCAGTGTGTAGAACCGAAAAAAATACGGGTTCGGTTACGGTTCAGGTAAATTTATTTTGTTCTGGTTCAGTTCCGGTTCGATTATTTCGATCCGCGAACTGGTTCGCAAACCAGTTCGGGGCGCTAAACCGGTTCGCGAACCGGTTCGGAAATGATAAATGACAAATTGCAACATCAAAATAAATTGCAAATAAAACATCTGAAATCAGCACATACGAAACGGGATACATCGTAGTGTAAGGCTCAGGGATTTCTACCAGGAATGGTTTCTTTATGTGCACTCAAAGGTTACCTCACCGACGTTTACGCATTTGGACTTCATCTAATTGGGTCCGACGCAGCAGCTGTAAAATCCGCGACCTCCTTACAAACCCACTTACAAGTAGAACTTGCTAACTATCCCGCCACCTCGGCGTGTAAGCAATTGAAGGAACAGTGGGGAGAAAATACAGCTTTCTTTATTTGAACTAGCCTTCGGTAACTCAAATTAGACCCTTAAAGAAGTTTTCATTAAACAAGATACGGAATATGAAAAACACTTCACCGAACGCAACGCCAGAAGGATGTAATAGGATAAATATTAAAATAGAAGAGTTCGCTGTCTCACAAATATGTTAGCTTCTAAGTGCCTATACGAAACCGGACAGCATTATTATCAAACTCCACAGCCTTTTCTTTTCTCATTCCGATAAAAGCAAGCTTCGAGAACTCGCGCGTTCTAGAAACGTGTTATGAAATGAGCACACAGCAGCATTTAGGATTTACGAGATTGTAGAAAAATAAAACCCCATGACGGCGATATTTTTTTTTTTGCACAGCCTTCCAATTCCTTTTCTTCCGTGCAAGCCGCGACTAGCGCAATACTGGTTCCTATGTCAAGATTCATGGATGCAGCGTTTGTCAAGATTCATGGGTGCAGTGTTTATATTCCTAAGACTGAGTGGAGAAGAAAAATATTTAAGCGAGGTGTGTGTCAGTTGACGGCACTTAAAAAACAAATGGCATTTATAGCACATTCATTGTCAACAGCGCGTCGCCGAACCGTTTTGACATGAGCTGGTAACCGTTATTTTTTTTCCGGTTCAGTTCCGGTTCGGGTTTATCGCGATAACAATATAACGGTTCGGGTTCGGGTTCAGTTCCGGAAAAAATACCGGTTCGGTTCCGGCTTTCGGTTCGGTTCGGTTCCGGTTCGACACCCTGGAAAAAATATAGTGGGTCGACCTCAAGGTCGACCCATTATATTTTAGGTCTACCCAGTATCCTTTCAATCAAAGCCAATCAGAACTTGGGGTCACTCTGATGTCACCACAACCCCTGCGCAAGAAGCAGACGACTTGCCCTCCGCATAACCGCCGCTCGTTTTAAAGTGCCCTTCAGATGACACTGCAGTGTCGCGTGACACTGTGGCGCCATTGGGGCTACATTTACGGATGCGAAAAGCCTTGGAGCCTCAAAGCTCCTAAATGCGCAATGCTGTGCATTTAGAAGCAACTGCCGCCTGCGACGTCACAATTGATCTTTCGGCTGCCCGCCGCACACCACTTCGCGCGAGCATCAGGGGTTTCACGGCACCTGTTAGGACATTGTGCCTGCAATGAACCTTTTTCCAGTAAGCCTCCGCACATGTGCACCACGCCCCCAACCCTTTCTTACCGCTGTCGCCATTATCGGAGGGTGCCCCTCCGCACGATTAATACTGTTGGCACCTATTTTTGCGCATGTTTCGTCTTTCTTGGCAATTCTTTTTTGAGTGTCGGTGGTACAGGGAATAAAAAGTAATGGAATCCAACACGACCGCATGATGCCAATGTGTTCTGACGGGTGGGGGCATGTTGGGCTGCCCTTCCTTTGTAGTTCGCGGACGAGCCCCCAGACTCGAAAAGATCCATTGTGGCATTTCTAACGAAGTATATGCGGTAGATGCTACAGCAGCAAGGACGAGCGTACAGGCAGTTCCCATAATTCATTGCATGAGGCATTTTTGCATGTTTGCAAACGGCCCACAGAAAAGCTTTGGCACAGCAATAAATGCATTGCTCAAACGAGAGTTGCCAGAGAAAAACCCAATTTCGGCAGAAAAAGAAAAATATTAATATTTTAGCCAGCGCCCGATATCACTTCCCTGCAGCCACTGATTTGTAGCAGGCGGCCACCTTTTTTGTTGCTTCCGTTAACAAATGGCTCGAAGGTGTTTTTTCATTTTATTCTTGTCTGCGAATGATGCTTCGTAACAGACCGCCATTCATCACTCACATTAACAGAGAAACCATCTGCTGATATTTGCTCGCTCTTTGAGAGACAGATTAAATCTTGCTCTTATGGCGACGGAAATCGGACCCCTGGGCCAGTTTGCCGGTGAATGCAGCCGTCTCCCAGGCGGTTAATACAGCTGCAAGCAGGATTTTCAGGTCACGCGACCGGCTCCATGGGGACAAGAGCCTTAGGGTACCTAGCATTCCAGGCAAGTGTCTGTCATAAGTCCGTCTCTGCTTCAATTGCTCAAGCCCAATTTTCTGCGCAGAGAGAAAGTGAGCCGGCTCGAAATGTAAGTGAAGTCAATCGTACTTGAGCACTTTAAGAGCAGCATGCAAAGTTATTTCTGGGGAGGGCCGTGTTAAGCGAAAACTAAAGAAAACGGCGGACAAGGCTCACATCTGCCAAGCGGAGTCGGCTGGAACGCTGGGTATTTTCTCCTTGGGGAGCCAGTCATGAGACCTCAAAATTCCTCTCGCGGCTACGTCAGCCGCCAGCAAAGACGCCCGTTTTCGCCGACAAACCGGCCACGGGGAAGAAGGGGGGGTGTTACCTTCCTGCTGCAGCTGCACCAGGAACAGGGCGAGGTAGGTGCTGGAGATGGGCTCGGGCCCCGGGAGCAGGGAGTTGAGGTTGAACCAGTGGCCGCCCAGCCTGCGCACCGTGAACCAGTGGTCCTTGTAGTTGCAGATGTACGCCTGCTGCTGCCTGCACACCACAGAGAAGGGGAGCGAGCACGGCATCATCTAGGGAAGGACGCCGGAAGTTTCCCCACGGGGCCTAGAACCGACTTGTGTGGTTAGTGTCCTATTGTGACCATGCCTCCATTTTTAAGCGTCTGTTAGTCTGCTATGTTCAGGCTGACTCCCCCAAGTAACACCCGCAAAACAATTATATACCCGGACATGTTATTTCTAAAGTTGAAAATAAAAGCAAAAAAATAAGCTCAAATTAAAAAAATAAACACACACACACAGAGGGGTACTGTCAACAAGAGAGACTGAGTTCACTCTCCCAGTACACTCTAAGCAGAACACAGATAGATTCTTTATATTTGAAGACTACCAGGTAAAGGAGCAAACAAAGACCAAAGGGGATGGAGCTCACATGCAGTTGCGAAGCATCACTGAAAACGCTGCGATTGCTTCCTTGTCTGTACGTCAGAAAAGGCTTCTATCATTTTTTTTTTTTTTTTAAATCTTCAATAAATGGTTGTTTGCAATTTATTTCGGTTATGAACAAATTTCTACACCGTGCCCGCACTGCCCCGGCTCGCGTTATAGCGTGCACCAGTGCACAGAGTTCTGTATCTGCCCCTACCGTGCTGCACGTGTGAACTGGCCTTTAAGTATTACACCGAAACCACGGCGGCTTCCACACTCACGTGGGGTCCGCCTGGGCCGCCTGTGCCACGGGGTCGCTGCTGCTGTAGGGCACAATGTCTAGGCCCCACACCTTGAGGGCGCTGGCGATCACTTGCACTGAGAAGTAGCCGCTGTCGTCCAGATTTCCCGACGGTTGCTGCATAGCGGCCAAGTAAAGTCTCTCAGTCTCGCGCGGCCCTCCGTATCTAGAAAGCAACACACTAAACAGAGCCACTAAGTACGCTACAGAGTATAGACAGTCCGTTCCCCAATAGTCTCGAGGGCGCCGCCATTTTGTTGCCCATAGTCGGCGACGGGTTGAGAATGCAGCAGATGCATTGCCTCCAGCGTGAGCTTTCTGCACCTGGCATGCATAGCCAGAGCCCGACGAAAGGCAAGCAGCACGTGCTGGATGCAGAGCTTCTGCTGCATCTTGAACTGTGCGACTTCCTGGGCTTCAGCTATGGCGCCGGGAAGCTCGGGCGACGTCGTCTTGCTCTGTTGCAGACGATGTAAACGTTTCTGGAGGACGGTAAAGCGTTTCCCACAATTTCGGATCACTGGCAACGATAATTCCAAACAACGAGACTGCTGAAGTTTTATTTCTCTCAAGCATAGCTAACTGAGTGGCTCTTATACTGAATAAGACAATATCTTCCCTCTCGTTGGAGGTGCCCCCGTCGGGTCGGCTCCAACAGCAGTGTGCCCGCTGCCTTTATTTCTTACAATAGAAATCCCTCCCACACTCCCTACATGTCTTCCTGCCTAACGTGGCACTCGTGACGCACCAACACCACCTGGGTGACAGGGCTGTTCGGCTAGGGCTCATGTCCCCTGTAAGAGGGAGCCCCGCTGAGTGCCAATGCCACACTCGTGTCCTGTCTGTCCCTGTGCCAATAGGTGAGCTAGAAAATTTGGTACTATGGCCTCATTGTTTGAGATGTGTTGACCCCACACACAGACGGCCTCTTCTGAACAAAGAAAGAAAAAAAAGTGCCCATCCATTCTGTTATATAACACTGGGAATTATATAAAACTCTTTAGTTAATTGGCAAACTAATTAACCTGTTTTGCCTCTTTCCTAGGGCCACCTGGTCATCATCTTGGACCCTTGTAGCAGAACTCAAAAATACTGGGTTCAACACATCCCCCCTGCCTGTCTCAATCTAGATGAGCATCGTACCGACGTGCGGTTGTGTACCACTACTGCGTGATGCACGTTAAAGGGACACAGACACACCCCCAAAATTTGTTTTATTTTTTGACAGAACATTTATTATGTGTCAGAAGACTACCCAATCATTATTTTGCTACAGCATTATGTATATTTTTATTAAAGTAAAAAAACGTAACTGCTCCAAACTGAGCTGCGGAGGAAGAAGGAATATAGAGGAGGAGAGAGTTGGCGGAAGTTGGGTGGATGCACAAATTTTTTTTCTTCATCAACGAATATGCGGCTATTTAGAAGCCACAAAAACTGGGTATCATATTTCTTTTCTATCTTTACGACTGTGTGTGTGCCCTCAACGACCCACAACTTCGATTATATGTAGTGGTTGTGCCTATGCCATAGAAACCGGCACGTGACCCCGGAGATGAGTGAGCGCGACTCAAATTGGCCAGCTCTCGATCGGCGGTTTTCGGGCGGAAAGAAAACGAATTTCAAGCCGCAAACAGTGTTCTAGGTAGTTGGGCTCTCATATGCCATGTGCAAATAAAAACCTTGGCGAGCATAAATACCCTGTCAGTGTCCCTTTAAAAACCCCAGGCTGGCGGTTATACTGCACTACCTGAATTTCTCATTTACAGCTGAGACACAGATGCCCACTGAGGCTGACTGACTTCTGGTCGTATACACGTATACACAAGATTATTATTTACTGGGACCCACTGCTAAAAAAAACTCTTAACGCAAATCAACTTTTTTTTTTTTTTTAAGGAAAATATGTTTTGTATACAACAGCACGCTGCCCCCCTCCCTAAGCCCAAGTCATGGAGATTCAAGCATCCCAGCCACCCAAAAAGTAGTTTCGGCTACGCCAACGGGGCTAGCAGCTTCCCGCGTCACCTCCACACCCGAACGAGCCGAAAGCAAGGACACTCACATGCATAAAGAGTCGGTAGTCGTCGCTGTTCACGCCGCCCTCAGCCATCGTCTGCCGCTCCTGCTCGTCGATCTGGCGTGCCAGTGCTGCCAGGTCGACGGGGGTGAAGTACTCGCCCTGGAGCAGCACGTTGAGGCAGTGCTGGGCGCACAGGGATCCCTCTTGCTGCACACGGAGAATTCCAGACGGGTCAGTCTAGGGACTACAAAAGGACTCCTACTAGAACGACTCAGTTGGGAAAGCGCCATAGGAGCCTGCTTTGGAGGGGTGGCTCCAACCTGCACTTCAGTGCTACACTCGGCAAGATCGTGGCGCCACAGTTTCTACCACAGTGGTCACCCCGGGGAATGTACCGCAGCAGAAAAGAAAGCACAATAAAATCTGAGGTGTCTGCAAAGTGAACTTTTGCTGACCCCGCTGTTGCAAAACGGATTATGTAGTGCAAACTACAAAAACTAAACGGATTGATTGTTAAGGGTCGCAGCTGTATTCGAATCAGGGTTACTGTGCTTCGGTTCCAGTGGATGCAAGAGGTCTGCATCCCAAGGGCAAGCTACCTGGCCAAGTTGTTTTAGTAACTTCAAACCCCTCCAACATATCTATAGATCTTTCCAACGCTTATATAGCCCCGCAAAAAAATGCAGAGTCATTGGGCTATGGACGCAGGGTGTCCGACATTATGCAAAAGAAACTACTGCACGTGCTTGAAACCACAGCCCAAAAGACAAAGGTGTCAGCATGTAGAAGGCACGGGGCATTCACTGGCTGCCACTGCAAAGTCCGTGGCTACCGAGCACATTGCGATGGCAAGCTTCGACGGCACTTTTGCAATGTGCATTCCACACTATCGAGGTTACCAGTCTAAGCAGATAAGTATGAGCTCATTCTGAGCATGCGCTGTGAACGGGACACTAAAATATGTCCAGTGGATATCCCCTACGGCGTCAAACATCCCAGCTATCTGACAAAAAGCATTGCAATGGTTTACAAGTTCAGACTCGTGCTAACAACCGCCGGCTGGAGCCTCAATAAGAGTGCTGAAATGACGGTGTCACAAACACTACCTAGATAGGAAAGCCGTAGTGTTGGATTTTCTACGCCGCCAACACAAGGCCAGCGTGCATGCAGACTGGACACGAGCGCTGTGTCAACGTTCGGCTGGGACACCTGTTCAACATAGAATGTTCAGCGCTACAACCTTGTTATCTAGACGTTGCCGCAGCCCTATAGTGGCAGTTTTTGTCAGTAGAGGCCGCAGTTCTAGGCAGTGAAGCATTTTGTACGGCATAGTAGGAGGTGACATGTTTAAGGTGTTGCGAACCTTAGTGAGGTCTGTTTGCCCCTTGGTTATCTCTTTTTCTTAGACTTCAATAGCTGCAACAGCCCGAGAGAGACCTTTCTGCGCACCGCTGGCGCATGACGTCACAAGACTCTACTGGCGATCCCTCCTTGCTGGTGCCGACGGACCACTTATGCGAGGCTAACACAGTAGAGGGAGCACGTGCTGGAGACCAGAGACCCGCCGAACCAACGCCAGTGGCTCATTCCAACGACATCGCCGCGTTTGACAAGGGCGCCGAAGAACGACTCGCGTAACGTTGATCATGGTAAACCACATCCTCCGTCAGTGACTGCACAGAGGCAACCTCACCTTCTCGTGGAAGATGCCCTCCATCCTGAGCTCCCTGAGCTAGAGCACGGGGTAGACACCCGAACTAAAGTTGCATACCGATGGCACGGAATGCGAAGACATTCACGTGGATTCGCTGAACGGAACGGAGGCCGGACACCGCCGGCGTTCGTTCGGCAATCACAAGCCGAAGAAAGTTGCCGTGGACAGATACACACAGACTGAAGCCTTTTCACGCGTAGGTGGATGCCTTTTTTGTAGGCGAGCCGGCGCCTCCTATTCAAGCCTTCGATGGGCACAACACCAACCACCGTCAACAACACACGCACACGCGCACCCAAAAAAAAAACCTACGCACAACAAATAGATGCAAGTAGACGGTGACTCGCGCTACCTTTTGGCGATTCCTAGGACCAAGACCTAGGACTAGGACCACGTCAGAGTTTCGATTTCGCTCGAGTACTTCGCAAGATTTAAATAAAATAAAAAAAAAATAAGTTGATTTTTTATAATAATTAACTTAATATAAAGTAGTAATAACAAACATGTACAATTTATTACGGGATATCATACATATGACCAATATTATTAACGACGCATTAGCCTCTCGAACGCGAGCCAAGCCGAGGGGGAGCCATCGCGAGACTCGAGTTTTTCACCTTGGGGTCTCGGACGCTGGGACTCTGCGGCGAGGAGCCTTGCATGGACTTGAAGCGCATCCGACCCGTCTTGTCCGTCTGCCGGAGGTACAGCGCCACCGTCCTCTTCCCTCTACTCAGCGGCTGGTTCATCTACGCCGACTACAGCCGAACCCAGAGGTGGAAGCAGAGCCGTGCCGCCACCAACTAGCCGAGCCCGTCGAGAAGCACCGTCCGCCAGCATGTCCTCCCTGCTAGCCACCTTCCTGCGCAGGGCAGCCTATCTCAGGGGCGTCCCGCTTCTCTTCGCAGCGATCGGCGTGGGCGCGTACTTTGACCGAGTCGAGACGCTCCAGATGACCCGGTTCCGGGGCAAGAGTAAGCTGTACGGCCGCGAGTACGGACCCGACGAGCAGCCGCCGTGGCCCTGAAGCAACAATAGAGCAATAAAAGAATTGGTAGTTCTAACGTTCCTTGCAACGTCTGCGTTCATACGTTCCATTTGGTTGCGGCGACGCTGCCCCTCGAAACGCGGTTCCGGTCATGGCACCCGCCGCGGTCTCGGGGTTGCTGGACTAAATCCTAGCCTTTGAAGTTGGTCTTGATTTGCAGGGTCTGTTTAATCAAAATAGCGCGCCCATTACGAAAGATCCCATGTTACCTGTCCATTGCAAAGCTTATAGCCTCGACCGTGACGCCCAAAGGAATGCCGGGAACTGCCTGTAGCAGACTGCGAAGGATCTCCCTCTCCAGCATCGCGTGACAAGTGCTGTGGCGGAGAGCAGCAGCATACAGGAAGTTTCGGTAATCTTTTGCACACTCTGCGGCACTGACGAGCAGAAACCACATCTGAAAAGGATTTGAGTCGGAAATGCTGCCGGTATAAATACTACTACAACATGACCGCATTAAATTAGGGTTGCTCGGGTATAGTCTGTCAATTTTTGTTCAAACCGGCGTTAGAGAAGTTGACGTTCCAATCAATGCCTCCTGTATACTCTATGCCTGTCAGATGGAGGAAGATACAATGGGGGCCACCGTCCAAGAAGCTCCGTGCCGCCGCACTTGCTTCATGGGTGTGGAATGCGCCACCTTCGTTGGGGCATGATACGGGACCTAGATTGAGGAGATTGTCTCAAACACTGGGGAACGTTTGCAATTTAGTGGCTGGCAGACACCTCCTGTGGCTCGCAAGCGCGCACATGCTGCGTTTTTGTGTGGCAAGGAGGAGAAAAGATGTTTGCAGATGACCAATGCTTTCGTCACCTCCTTGCAGCTCATATTGCAAATGCAGTCTAGCCATAAACACCATCCAGAAGCTGGAAACCCTCTAATACAAGCTCTCATCTTTGGGCGCGAAGCATTGTCTCCTTGTGCACTAGAAAGCCTGTATTGCAGCGAGTTTTCAACTGCTCGATCGGGGTCTTTGTGGTTTGCGGGCCGCGTTTGCAGTACGAGCTGCGAAGGTTGTGACCAACCTTCACAGGAGGCGTCCGTCACTAAATTGCAAACACTCCCCATGGTTCTTTTCAATCGGCTTTCAGAAGCCTACCAACGTAGGCAGTGCCGCGGCGCAACGCACACGGGCATTAGAAGAGGAGGAGGAATTACTAAACAAGATGGCCTTGGGGAGCTCTTCCGGCAGTCATGGGGTATACAAAAGGCATTGGTTCCAATCCACACGACTCACCCGGCCTGCTGCTCAAGCGATTTCCCCTGGCCATTCAAAAACAGAATCGCTGGAAAAACAGGATTCCCTCGCAAGAACATGTGGTTTTGAGAGGACCCGGTCTTGGAGAAACACTCGCAGCAAGAAGCCAACTGCCGTCTTGAGGTTTTTCAAGGTTGGCCACCATCCCGCCTTGAGTAGACTTCTTGGAAAGACGGGCACCAAATCCAAACACCAAATTTATGTGGAACACGCAAACTGTGTCTTACACAAAGGAGGTACTATACTGGTGGTAGTCGAAGGTTTGCTCCATGATGCAGCACTGAATGGAACAGCAATTTTGCCTGCCAGGCAATCACATTTTTCACTACCCCTCGAAGTGAAGGTGACTGATGAAATCATCAGCTAATTGGATGGGTCATTCATTAGAAAAATGAAGAGCCCAACGACTGCGCCATCCAATCGCAGATAATTTAAGCCGTCACTTATGCAGTTTTGTGCGACTGGGTGGCAATATCTGTGGCTTATTCGTCGTCAATTTAGCGAGCACTGTACTACCTCCACTAGAAAGGACATATGCCCCTTACTCCAGCTCCTTTTAATTCACATATGCCTGTGAGGTAAAGCAAACAAGTATGGTCCCTGGAGTTTCTTAGTTGCAGGTATTACAAACTCTTAAGTGGAAATTCAATACCCCAGGCAAAACAGCTTTTCTTCCCAAAAGTTTCACTGGTTAGGAGACAAGACTACGTCGAGGACATGGACAACCAAATAAACATTTTGGAAAGTCCTAGTTAGCCTACAGGTTTTACCATAGTAGTTTCACTCTGAAGATAAATATACACTGAAGACTTGAGAGCTACAGAAAAGGCTGTCGCCTTTTTCAATCCGTGGACTTCGATTGGTGGTCTTCTGCTGCTTGCTGCTTTTCATGGGCTTTAGCCTGCTTGGTGAGAGGGGAGTGCTAATGGCCATGGAAGTCATCACATAACGCACCACACAAGCCTAAGCTTATGCTCCACTTTAGTGTGGCACAGAGCGAAGGGCACAAACACAAGGTCAAAGCTTTGAAAGATGCCACCACTGCACAAAAGCTTGTACCAAGGCACCTTTTAAAAGCCCCAAGTGTCTGCATCTGTCTCGCCCAGCTTTCCATATGCAATTCATCAACAGTTTGAACTTCACAATGGTCTTCCGGTGTGACCCTAGCACAACGCTCCTTTGCAGGTTGGTGTCTAGCAGCAGAGCCAAAATAGTCGGCAGCAAGTCGCAGTCCTTTGTTGGTAGCCTAGCCAATTTTTTTGCAGCCGAAATAGGTGCCTTATGCGTCTAAAGCCAACCTGGAAAAAAAGGGAATGCCCAAGAAAGCCTTGGAACGCCAGCCAGGGTATCACCAAGGATCACTTTGGGGTTGATTTTTGGTGTTCCTGAAGAAATCATTCTGAAGCTCTTCTCAAAAGGAACCATCTATGAGCACTCTTTCCTTTTGTTTACTCCCTCCTTACCTTTTTGAAAGTAAAAAGAAAACAAGTACCCATTGTATTCTTTTGGTATAGAAGCTAGACCCACCAAGATGTGTGACAGAAAGAGCTCACTCAATCTTCATTTTGGCTGGGAATCTAGCACTTTATGTGTCGTCTGACGAGCAAGCGGGAGAAGAGAATGGAGACAGTTCTTGCGAATGCGTCAAGCACGGTTCCCCCGCTCAAACACCAGACACCGATGAAAACCAGGTGGTCCACGACTTTGCCCCAACTGGGAGCAGACACTATGCCGACTTGAGACTGACACTCGGTCGACTTGAAGCCAACTCCGGGCCGACTTCAAGCCGACACTGTCCCGACGAAGGCCAAGAGCTGGAGTGGCGTGTGCCTGGGCGCATGGCGCGATGCAACAGAGACCTCTAACCAAGGATGTTCGGTGAACCGTGCTTCAGTTGCGCTTCCAGAGGCCCTTGGTCCATGAACGCTGGCTGGGTACAGCCTCAATGCTGGCAAGTTGCTTCTCTTCCTGAAACAGCAGACACACAGACGTCTGGGTGCGACCAGCATGGTCCAAACATGGAACTGTCACTCTATCAGGCACTTTTGTTGCATGAAATTTGCGCCAAGCTTAAAGGGGCACTGACACATCAAAATCATTTTTTTTTTTTATTATCCGAAACGATTGAAAACGATGCCGTGACATTACCCTCAAAATTTGAAATTTGGGAATTCAGTATGTATTTGTGAAGTAAAAAAACAATTTCCAAATGCCGAATTCGAAGTTCCCGCGCGATCCGTGCCGGTGCGTTGACGTCAAATATTGCGGAGTCCTGAGAGTCCACTTTCTTTCACGACTCCCTACTGTTGCCATGGCGACCCAAAGGGAGGAGGAAAGGAGCGAGCGCCGGCGTTGGGGCGGCGGACCGGTTTTGAGCGGTGTCGCCTGTTTTCCGTGGGAAGATACAAATCCAGGAGACGACACCACAACGAACTCCCGATTTTTGGTATTTCAAAAAGAAGGGCCGTAGTGCGTTCGCAATTGCGTTAAAAAACATGTTTTAGGATTGCCGTCATTAAATGTTATAGAGATGTCGCCCACAAAGCTTCTAAATTTCATGATTCTTGACGTCACGAATCAAAAGAAGCGAGGAGGCGAGAGGCGGGGAAATCAAAGCCCAAAAATAAAAAGGCGCACGCAAAAATATTTTTTTTCGCGATGCATTTTTTTTTTTTATTGTCTATGACTGCAACTTGCATTGTTTTAGACAATAAAAAAATACGACCTTTGGGGTGTCAGTGCCCCTTTAATACTTCAAACTGTTTGTCTGTCTGAGTTTAATAAATCGTGCCTAAATTAACATGGTTGCACCAAGTCCCCGAGTTAAATCAACATGCTTGAATGAATAAAGCAATAAAGGTCTAAAAATAGTCGCTAGTTGTCCCATTGCCATGGCAATTATGGTTTTGTGCATTTATTATTTTCATCTAGTGTCATTACTCCTGCAGCTAAAGCTGCCATATAGTGCTACATAGCGGCTCTGGATATAACCATGATGCCTGGAGAACGTCTCCGAATGGTGTGTTTCCGGCGCCCTTCATTCTGGTTTCTCGATTACACCGAAGTGCCTCAACCTCCCATCATGTTGTTGCCTGCCGCGATCTTGGAGGTAGCACAGCAGTGTAGGTGTATCCGGCCGACGTTACTTAACTCAATTGTGGAACTGTCCATAGACGCTGTTTCTATGCGCAGTACCACCTTTCCCCCAAAGGTTCGTCGTTCAAAGTGCCAAAGCTTTAGGGGGCGACCGATATGGTAACTTCAGGGGATTTGCAGGTTTCCAAGCGTGGCGTCTAGATCGCACCTCATCGTAGCCGCTCAAAAGAATGCAGTTTCGAGGCACATCCCGCAGATGGTGTTTCAAAACACAAGCGGTGGTCTTGGGAGGGAGAATGGGGTCCACATCTCCATGGGAGTTCTGCAACTGAGTTGATCTACTAAAGTTGGATGTGGCAGACGTCCGTCCTGCTGCGACTGGCTCTGCAGCTCGTCAGTTTGCGGAAGCTTCGGCGCTCGGGAGTTGGGACACTGCAACGACTGTGACACTCACATTCGCTCATACTTTTTGCCGGAGTTACTACGACAAACCGCCAGCACAACAAGCCGGCTTGTGCGACGTAATCCGTTGCTCCCACTTCGGGACCATTTTCAAAGCACAGATGGCATGGGACGTTAAACACGCAAGTTAAAGACGGACTACAGGCACCGTAATATAGTATGGCTGATGAAAAGATGGATCCACTGGTACGGGCCCTAGCAGCAAAAAGAGAAAGCCCACCTGCAGCCTTTTCTGGTTCTCCTTGAAGGCCACTAGGGGGTCCTCAAACTGGCGGTAGTAGTCCAACACCGTCCGCACATCTTCCACCTCGCTGGTTCCAATGGCTGTGCAGATGGAGGAATGTACGTTGGTCGCAGAGACATTTCGCGGGGGCAATTATCTGCAGATACTAGTACTAGCAGACAAAACACTTTCTGGGGTCGAACAGAAACTTGGGTACTGGTCATCTCCTATGGGGCATTTCCGAGTGCTGTTCTGGTGCAAAAGTGAATGGAATACTATGAAACTTGATGCAGAGGTGTCATTAGGTGGTGCATTCATGATTCTCAGTTTCCACGGGTGAATAGGTTTCTGAGAAAAAAATGCAAACTAGAAAAAGAAACTTTTTCCGTGACCAAAGAAAAAAATGGAAATAAACTGTCCGATTCGACACTGCTACTCGCAGATACTGCCAACACACGCTAGGATCACCCTTCGGGTGGTCATCTCAAAGATGCTTTCAAGCTTTTGTTTCGTGTTGTACCATTATCCGGGAGTAGCCGAAATCTTCCAGTACAGTTACTGTACAATCTGTGATTAGCAGAGAGCTTACTACTTGGCATAAAGCCGACCGACGCAGAATACATTTTGTGTTTGTGTTGGCATCCCTAACGAATTGCCCCAAAAGCCAAACGGGCAAAACAGATCCACACAGGTTGACGCAAACACACAACAAACTGCATCTGTCAACTTCGAGGAAAGCGTCACCATTTGCTTCCGAGGGCTGCACGAGGCACAGGCCTTGTGCATTGGCACATCTGAAGTGAACTGAATTGGTTTTTGACTCTACAGTGCAATCCACTTATAGGAATAATGAGAAAACCCAAAAATTCAATCGTTATAACCGGTTATCACTTTACATAGACTAGAAACTGAGCTTTTCTAATGTAGAAACTCTAGAAAATGATTGTTATAAGCAATACTTCATTTTATCTCGTATCATTATGCGTGGATTGCACTGTACTTGTTGAACACAAACACATCGAGGGTCTTTAGGTTATAAGCGAGCACGGCGCCCTCAAGCACAGACAAACGAAATGTCTAACCAGTCTAAAAGGGATACTGAACCGAAATTTCGAGCTCACAAAATAAGGCTGGACGGATAGGTGGGACGCTGCAAAACCCAAAAACATAACTCGTACAGCAATATCTTTAAGGAATCGCCGTATTCTTGGAAAAGAAGTGCGCGATTCAACACGGCCGACGAGAGAAGTCACGTCACAATTCACGTTCCCTCTCCTCCTCGCTTCGTCCCGTCGAGCTGGTGAACCAAAGCGAGTAGGAGAGAAGCGAGGCCGCTTCCCTTCATTCTTAAGTTTTCCAGGGGGACAATAAAGTCATAGCCCTCGCTTGATCGCGCCCTTCTTTTCCAAAAGTACAGCCATCCGTTTGAGATATCGATGTATCAGTAATGTTTTGGAGTTTGTAGCGTCCCGTTCAATGCTTCAGCGGCCTTATTTTGCGAAGTCCGAATTTCAGTTCGGTATCCCTTTAAGGGTATCTCTGTTTAGTGGCTCTAGGACAGCTTATACCTGGGATTCTGATTTTAATCATCCCGGCCAAGCACACAAGATTTGAATCTCTGTTCGGAAATTTCTGGCGTTCGCGTTTCCGCAACTACCACTCAGAGGCGTAGTCTGGCGCCGACTCACTGCGCAGGAACTGTGCCAGGTCGAGGAGGGTGCGGTCCTCGTCCCCTCCGTCCCACTTGCGTAGCCTGAGGGCGTTGCGGGGCTGCAGGGAGCACGCCTCTTCGCTCCAGTCCACCAGGATCACCTTGGACAGGTCCCGGTTGAGGCAGGACAGGTCCTGCGAGCATGGGCACAGCCGCTCGGCAAGTGAGGCAGGTCCGGTGGCAGCTTTTAGCACGAAACTCGAGAACCACAAGAAACTGTTTGGCTAGTTGAGTGAACATAGCAAGAACATAAATCAAGTGCTAAGGACAAGGAAAGGGAGAAGTAGTGAACAGGACACATGCTTGTCAGTTCACTTCTACTTCACCTGCTCCTACAAGGACTAGTCTTCTACTTCTTCTAAGAGGACAAGTCTTCTACTGCTTAAACAAAAACAAGGAAGCCTTCTACTTTTTCTACAAATATTCTACTTCTACAAGGTCAAGGCTTCGACTACATATTTTACAAGGTCAAGTTTTCTAGTTCTACAATGACAAGTAAAAGTGAACTTGACAAGTGCTTGTCCCATTCACTTATACCTAACCTACTCCTACAAGGGCTAGTCCTCTACTTCTACACAGACAAGTCTTCTACTTCTTCTAAAAGGACAAGTCTTCTACGACAGCCTATAATAATAAGACGAAACCAGGCGTCCCCACCTTCACGTGGTGTCCCTTTGTGTAGCGGGTGGCGTCCCTGAACAGCCGGTACATGATGAATCCCTGCGGGTCCAGACTGTCCAGGATCGGGTAGGCCGTCTGCCAGAGAGGAGCCCTCAGCGTCAAAGGCTCTGGGCCTTGATTTGGCAGTAAGTACACTTACGAAGCCTTGCTCGGAGGTGTAGACGACAACCTCGAACAGCGGAGGCCCCACCTGCTGCAGGAAGAGGTTGACTCCAGGACGCTTCTTGAACCGCCAGCCAGTCTGGTACTGCAGAGGTAATGTGATGCTTGCAAAACAGGCACTTTCAATTGCTCTGCTTCCTAAAAGGACGAGGCAGCAATTTCTGCACCTTCTGTAAATTCCACTTAGAATTATTCCTTGATGTCCATAACTTATGAAACATATGAAATGAAAACGTCTGCTTTCATTCTCTAAATTATGTGGTGACAAAGAAGCTTCTCGGTCAGTGGCGTTGCGTGCAAGTACAGTTGGGTCCCACTAGTGCCAGTAAGCTGGCGTAAAGTGAGAAACATTCATGAACAATTTCCTTCCACGGCCCCTTTAAAGCTGGTTCCCACGCTTGTGTTTGACTGCGCTCTACTGCGCTATGAATCTTTGTGTTCCGCTGCAATGCGTTGCACAGAGTTGAAATGAGGTCGCGCCAGTGTGCAAGTAGCACTGGGATGCTTACCATCCTGAACTAGTAACATTGTATGAATTATTTCAAGCCTCTGGTGAGAGAATTAGGCATATTAGGAAACATATGCAGACTGGAGTGGTGCAGGGCTACCTGAGAAAAGGCGTGTTACCTCATCCTAAGCGGTTACAAGAGGATGTAGCACAGTCAATCACAACCAAACACAAGTGTGTGAACCAGCCTTCACACTTAGTCTGAAACAAATCAAAATGGGGGGTTAGCTAGCTATGCATATGCAGGGGTGGGGCAGACCAAACTGGTTTTGGAGCAATCATTGAAGCAGGGAAATCTTCAATTTGGGGCAGCTTAGGAGTGGAAAAGTCAGTAATTTGGTGAGTACATTGGTAGTGGCTGTCCCATAATTTTAAGAAAGCATCTTAGCCAGTTGCATCATGAGCGCAACATTCAAGTAAACCAGGTTTTGTACTACAAGTCTAGGATGGAATTGAACAGAACTGCACTGTGAAGTATTTCTTTTCAAATTGCACGCAGAAACATGTTTTTGCGAGCAATGAGACGGCAACTTGTGCTACCTGGCAATGAAATGGAAAAGGTTATCAACTTATCAAGTACCACCTTTCGCTTCCTGCTAAATCTAGCATTACTGCAGACTTAGAGCAGCGTGGCGCAATTTTGGTCTATTTCGTGCTTTAGGCAGTTAGGTGCAGAAAATCGTGCATGTATCAAAATGGCACAATTGGAGCAGCTGTCACAGCCCTGCATGCATACTTATACTCTGTGTCACTAGTTGCACGCAGTACAGGCAAAGGCAACACCAGGCGAGGGGAGAAAGAGCAAGCACTAGGAAGGCTAGGGAGGAGGAGAAACCTCCTCTCTTTTCTAGCATTCCCAGTGCTCTCCCTTTGTCCCTCCACCCCCCATTGCCCTCCTCTCCCGTCCCGCCTTCCCAGTGCTTGCCCTTTCTCTCCTCACCTCACGTTGCCTTCGCCTGCACTGCACACAACTATAGTCCGTTGCAACTCAAGAAGGTAGGACGAGAGAAACGAAGGCCGGGGAGGAGGAAGCAGGCAGAATGCTGGAGAGAGAAGAAGAGGTTTCCCCTTCCCCTCTCAAGCATTCTGTCTGCTACCTTTCCCTCACCCTACCTTCTTGTGTTGCAATAGACTATACTACATCAACCCTTTGATGGTCGTCACTGTACATGTACGGCGGTGATTACATGTATGAAAGTGCCCGCCTAAATGGAATACTGCACGCACCTCTGGAGGTGTTGCTATTTTGTTATGTCTTTGACAAACTATAAATCTAATATTTGCAGGGTTTATTTATAGTTTTCAAATTAGACGCTCCCTACATGTTATGCTCACTTCGCATACTAGCTGCTCTGGCGGTAGTGCTAATGGGAGCACTGGCCCTCCGAATTCAGACTTCCAACGATTTTCAGAATTACATTTACAGGATGAGAGCTCACCTTCCAAAGATTTTCAGAATTACATTTAGAGGATGAGAGCTCACCATCCGACAGAGAAGCCCTGCAAAGTAGCTCCGGTTAGAAATCTGAAGCCGCTAGAATGTAAATTTTGGCGCAAGTGTACCAAAATGAAATTGAACTGAAGAGAGGCACGACAACTTTTCACCTTCAATATTTTCATTTGATGCTTCCAAGCCTAAAAAGCTTGCAAGCATTGTACGTGCTCCAGCTAGTAGTTAATCAAGAAAAATAACCCGCGCACCCACTTTTTTTATACTTTTCTTTTGGAAACAAAACACGACCGCTGGAAAACATTTTATGGGAAAATAAACTCAACCGCCAAAAAGGGTTAAGGAGAGCTGAGGCCCAGTGATCCCTTATTTTTCCTGGTTAAGCCACTGGCTAAATATACTGGTGGTACTAAAACAGAATGTCGTATTTTAGAATTGAGTTGAGCAGAAAGTGCACAAACAAACATTACATGTGATACAAACAGACTATCAATCGACGAGGCAATAAGAGAAAACAGTTACCCAAGATTCACTAGAAGGCTACGCTCCAAATATTTGCTTTTTCATTGTCAGATGTTGCCACGATGATCTATCGCCCGTTCGCATCATGAAACATCCGTTTATGCGACAATGGCCCATGCACACCACAATCTTGGTTCCTGAGGCCCCCCAGACGCCATTTGTGACAGTTAGGATTATGAGATGCGACTTTTGAGTGGTAGAATACTATTGCATTATAGTTTTGCTTCCTAGTGAAGTGTTTTAGGTGAAAGCAGAAAGCACTTCTCGCATTTTCTATCACGCATGTCACGAAAAGCTAGCAACAGCTGGCAACACTGATTTTATGTAACAATATGGCTATGGCTGAGGTGTCACCACTGCGAAGTGTCGCTTATCTAGTGGTTCCAGGCGACTCTGGGAACCCATTGTATCGTAGAAAAACGATAAAAATTATAACGATCAATACCGTCCAGTCGGGGTGTACGAGCACGCCGGTCATCTCCAGCACGAGGGTGTAAGGCGGCTGGAAGTAGGGCTCCGTCAGGGGATCGGGCAGGAGCTTGTCCCGGGACGGCTCTTGGATCATCTGCAGAAGGACGTCACGTCGTGACGACCGCGCAACGACCATGGAGCCTGGAATGTGCCTTCAGCTGGTGTGATTAGCATACTATGTGCATCGAAACTGGACTTGAAGTGGCAACAAATTAAGTCACAAGAGCCGGCACGTCACGCTGTCGGACATTGCAATTCTGGCGGTCGGTCGTGCGAGCATTAGCAAAAAGGACGAGTAAACGTGAGTGTTATCGTCACCGCAGCGTCCCAACATTCGGCTGCCAAAGTTTCGAGGACTCACGCTGGGAGTAGCCTGCAGCAGAATAGGCATCCGCCGCACCAGCAACCGTGGCTGTGCCACCGCCAGGAATGCCGCTGACAACGGCGCGATGAGAGTGCGACTATTTTTGGCTGGATCCAGTTTCTTAAGACTGCAATCTCCCGAGGGGTTCGGCCATCATAATCCAATCTAATCCAATCATCGTCGGGTGAAAATCGAGGGAAATAAGGCTGCGTTGAACACAACAGCCGGAGTTGCATTTCAGATGCCATAAGAGCGAAGAATAAGAAGAGCTCGCACCTTGTTATAAAGCAGCAGCTCCTTGTACGTCCGATACAGGTGCGCCTTCCAGCTTGGTACTGCGGAGAAACGCAGACACTCGAGCCTCCTGCCCCGCTGACGAAACGACGAAAAGCGCCCCACTGGCCCTCGCATACTTACAGCTGCTGTATTCGTCTTCGACCTTAAACGGAAAAGAAAAGCAGATGTAAGAAGTGGGGGAGGGGTCGGGAAACTCGTCTATTTTATGTAAATTCTACTTTAAAACGACTGGCCACAGCAAATGACAGGCTTGCTTGTGCGAGATGTAGGCCTTTTGCTTTAGTGGACAAATGTATTTATGCATTGCCGCCAATCTTCGACAGCAAAAAGCCCGTTCGTGCTGTGGGCAGGGGCAATTCTGACGAAACACTAAATCAGTGCTGCATAAAGACGTGTAGGTAGTCAAATGTGGTCTCCGATGTATTTTCGTAGGCTGGGCTGCACATGATGCATGCGTAGGGTTGATGTAAATTATTTCTACAAGAAACATGAATTTATTTGTTAACTGATATGACGAGCTGTTTCACATCAAGTTAATCAGTAGCAGTGAGTCGAGGTCACGCTTTCAAACTCGTTGCTTCTTTTACTGATTATGACAGTGTCTTATCTGACTCCTACCACCCTGTCATCGTTACAGGCTTAAGTGCTCATTGAACTGCATCATGAGAGCTTTAGCCGGAGTAAAATGAAAAATTATCGCCACTAACCTCTTTGCCCGTTTCGTCGACGGAAGGTGCCCCTGGAAAAGAAAAGCAAGGAGTTCCAAATCCGAGAAAGTAAACATGCCATGTAGGAACCAACGTCGAAGTAGATTAGGCCCCACTGGAGAAGTGACGATTCAAGCCTCTTAAGAGGAGTGAAAGCGCGGCACGTGAATAGAAGCGAAAAATGCCAATATACCAAGTAGACAGATACTTCCAAGTTCAAAAATGGGGATATCAGGACAGGGGAACCTCCCCCACTGCCCCTGGCTACAGAGGAAGTATGCGAAATGCAAGGACTCTTTTGAACCCCTCCCCACCAGATGTCGCTGGTGGCTGTTCCGGATTATTGTGCTGCCCAGATTTTGTACAAACGGGGCTTGGCACATCTGCTACTGATGGAAGAGTTGACAGATTGACCTTTAAAATACTGAACACAGAAAATAATATTAATAATAATAAAGCTTCTTTGAAACAAAAAGAAAGGATTTGGGGCAATTTTTAAGTTGCGAGCCTCATCTTGCGTTAGGAGCGATTCGCAAACGTACTTCTATTTATCGGCACTGACGCCTGAATAGTTTTTCTGTTTGTTTTTTTATCGCATCAATTTTAACGTTGAGGTTCGCGGTGTAAAGCTGTTTGTTTTTTATCCATCAATTTTAACGCAGAGGCTCGCGGTGTAAATACTAAGCCAATCTGCTAACATGTATTTCCTTTACGTGGAAACTTCATTCTTTGACATACGTGTCTTAGCTAGCCCCCCCCCCCCGAAAAAAAAAAAACTTTGGGGGGGGGGGGGGGGGGGGGGGAGTTTAGTGCCTCTTTGGAGTAGCCGGTGCCGGCAGCGAATCTGCTCGCTCCCTCGTCTCAGCTAGAGCACTATATAGCTCCTTCGGAGCAGAGTAGCGCAATCTAGAACGCCGTCTCTCGGCGACTAGCGGCGAACGCCCGGAGGTTCCAACTGCGGTCAGAAATGCATGGAGAACTTGAGAAAATCGTTGTTTCTTCAGTTTTGTGGGGATGTGCGGAATGGAAATCATTTTTGACATAATAATGAAACATTTTAGAATAATATGAGATAAGTTTTGTGCCATACAAGGACGTAACTTTTTTTAAAAAATTGCCTGAGCGGCATCATGCAGCAGACGACACGGCGACGTCACACCATTCACGTGACCCGCTCCGGCCAACCCGAAAAGCCCATCTCCGCTGCGAGCAAAAATCGTCTGCTTCAAACGCCATTGCCTTGAAAATTGCCTTCTCAAAATTTGCACACGCATCCGATATTATTAAAACTTTGATAAAGTGTTTAGCGCTTTACTAACTTCACGACAGGCTAGTTTTGAAAAATGTGAACTCGCCGTTAGTTTTTTAATCAGCCGTGTTATGTCGATCTCCATGTATTCTCCCATAGGGCGGGCCGCCTCTTGGAACCCTGAGTACCACGTGACTCGCGCCGAGCCGCTCTGTCGGCCATGTTGTCGGCAAAACACGGGGTTCAAAGGATTGCGCTACTCTGCTCCGTAGGAGCTATATAGTGCTCTAGTCTCAGCAACGCACCCCAGCTGACGACCAGGTATCCCGCAACTCCGGTGAAGATGGCCCCGAACGCCACGAAGGTGTACTTCATGGCCCTTTGCGAGAAGTCGTCCGCTGCGCGACCACTGCTGCCGCCGCTGGTCGAGCCGCTGGCGCCGGTAGGAGCTGCGGCGCCGCCGCCACCACTCGTCGACGTGAATCGTACCGGTCCAAGTGTCGGCACCCCTAGGGGGACACTGGGAAGCCATGTACGCAGAACCCTGGGACTACTCCGATCTCGGAACAGTGGGAGGCCCGAGGTGCTGCGGTGCAAACCGGCCGAGCAAATCTTGGGTCGCAGTCCGTGCCAAACGCACATGCCTGCGCGACCGACCGCCGCCATGTTTCCAGATGTGTGGATTGGCTTGGCGTCGGCTTGGCAGCTCAAGTTGGTGTTTTCTGCGTGTTCTAACTTCCGGCTACACAAAACAAAAACAAAATTTTTTTTCGTAATTATTTGTTGTGCTTTATTCTATATTCCAGTGCTTCATTCTATGTCTTTACTGCAGAAAAAAATATGATGACTACTTTTTAATAATCAGTGTTATCGCGCTTCCCCGCTTGTTCGCCGCAGCGGCCGCAGCGCGAGTGAAGCCACCGGACGGCCATCTTGCTCGTAGACGTTTTGCGGTTCTGCCTGTAGTTCTGCTAGCCTTTTGCTGCGGTTTGCCAGCGTCGGTAGACACGTTTTCTTCTCCTTCGTCGTCATTCGCAGCAGAAGTATTAAAGACTCTGTAACCGTTGAGATTTGCCGTTGTGAACACGTGGAAAATTTTATGAAAGCGCAGTTCTCCAGGAGAAACGTACAACTCGTCGAAAGCAAGATTTGCCGGTCTCGCGGCACGCCGAAGTGCTGTGCCTAGAAATTACAGAGAAGATGCAAGCGAGCAGGTGAACTTTCAACATTGTAAAACCCGAGACGTAGGACAAAAGGAGAAGAAAAAAGGGGACAACACAGACACAGGTCTCAAATTCAGTTGAACATTTATTTCCCCTGCCTCGCTTATAAGGACACCAAACCACCATCCCTCGGCGCATGACATCACACTGCCAAACACTCTACTCTCTCACCGACCCTTTCCACTGCCCCCACCGCAGTTCGTAAACACGATAAACAAGCCAACTCAGACACAGACTGAATCATTTTCCCCAAACTTCAAACTTGACGCCAACACCAGGCGGGAAGCAACAACCGCTCCACAGATTTCTTGACCAAACTAAGCCCATAATTTTAACCTTGGGGACGTCGGTCAAACGCGACAAAGCGTGTGGCCTCCAGCGGCGGTACTTTTTACCCCCCCCCCCCCCGCTCCTAATCCCCTACCTCTTTCCCCCCCCCCCCCCCCCCGCCCCCCCAAAAAAAAAAATTACAACAAGAACATTTTTGAGGAACCTTAAAAGAGATGCGTGCAAACACATACTCCCAAAAAGAAAACAAAACTAGGAAACTCTGGCTCACACAAACAAAACATGCCTCGTTTATAAATATTGACGGGTTACTAATGCAGTTGGCTGTACTGCCCTGAGCGAAGCTGCTTGTTCTACGTTCGAAATATCCCCCGCGCGCTCGATATCTTTGAGAACAAGTGCGATAAAAGCTGCCCGGCAGAGACAACAATACGAAGAGACATCTTTCATAGCCCACGGACTTTATTCTCTACGTTTTGAAGGTTTTTATCCGCTCATGAACGACGGGATCATTTTCATATAGTGACTGGACTGGCATATTATCATTATACAAGCGTCACCAGAGTGCTATCGAGCCTTGAACACACTCTATGTTCGTTTCGATTGTAGTTTTGCTTTGAATCGTCGCTTGTTTTTACACACCTGCTGCGGAACACGCGTTTGGGACTGAAATGTAGCGAAGTTAAATATCGTTCACTGATGCAGAACAATGCGCTAACTAAAGCAATTACACTTTTAATCAAGGTACATGCTATTCGGTACGACCCAAATAACCAAAGTGTTCCGTGTTACTTTCCGGCGAAGAGACAAAATGCACGCGCGTTTTCCCATACGAATGCACAGGAGCACCGCAAAAGTAGACTGGTTGCTGTCTGCTTCAATTTGCGTCACGGAAGTCGCACAGACACTAGCGCCAGTTGAACCTCTAGCGTACATTATAATAACTCTATGTTCGCGCCAACGTTACTAAAACACTCAGTTGGGAAACCCCCATAGAGACAACTTTGAAAAAGTGGCCCCAATCTGTCTCCGAACACCGAGCTAATGACGAACACAACGGCACCATTTCTGCCGCAGCGGCCACTCGAGGAACTGCACGACACTTCTATTTTGGCTTTAAGAACAGATACAGCGGAGGAGGTTACAGGGGTGCCACCCCTAGAGCCCCGGCGGACGCGCCGCATCGCAATACCGAAGTTAAAATGCACCTAGGTCTGGACGCGCTACCCGAAAGGACCGCTGAGGCATGGCTGTATAAAAACAATGGTAATTGTTCCGCAAAACCTTGCGAACTAAAGATTTTAAAAACATAATGCGCCCCTCTTTTTGTACTAAACTCCAATAAATTTCATACAAAAAGAGTCTTTTTCGTTTGTTTTTACGCAAAAACAGGCTTTCAAAAAGCTCAAATTGACCACAGTACAGACAAGTGACAAAGAGTGGCGCTGTTGTCGCATTTAGCTCGGTCTTGGTGGACGCCAGCGGCCCAGGTTTCGACGGCGAGTTTCCCAACTGAGTGTTTTAGTAACGTTGGTTCGCGCGTTACCTTCGCTGAGTCCAGGGTGTAAGATAGACAGGTGGGGAAACGGCCCGTAGAAACCTACCGCAGCGCCGTGACCGGATTGTGTACTCGTCTGCTTGCGGGTGGCTTGCGGGTACCCCCGATTTGCGACAGATGGCGCTGCGGCAAGAAGAAAAAAATTGTAATCGAATTCGGATGGAACTCTATGGGAGAGTGCGCAAAATAAACTGAGAGCACGACAGTCCTCCATTGAAAATCTACGAGAAACCTTCTCCATCAGTTTAACCGGTCACCAGCGTTCGCCCACCTGGAGTGAGAGTTCGCGGTGCTCAACATAGATGGCGCCACAGAAAAAGAGAAAACCGAGGGGGACACAATCCGGTCGCTCATTTGGCTCTCGTTTCACCACCTGTCTATCTTCCACCCTGGCTGAGTCTTGAATTGAAGTGAAGTGGAGTCTAGAAATATTTTCTTTCACACGGTCGCGTCCTCTGCGCGAGAGATTCGAGCTGAATAAGTAAATTGAGGAAACAAACAGCGCCAAATCTTTAAAGTTCTTTAAAAAATATCAGCCCACCAACGTCGCACGTTCACGCATAAAAAAAATCGCTTATTGCAGTGGCAGTATAAGCGAACATCAGCGCAATCAAATATATAAATATCATTACTTGCATTACGCGGACGATTGTAAACCGATAAACCGGCGCTCCCGCGGCTTTACGGAAGCATTCTGCCACAGCTGAAATAGGCGCGCCCATGCCGCCGATCGGTGCGTTCAGTATCAAACGGGCTCCGGAGAGCCGTTTGATTAAACCGGTAGTTTGCCGGTCACCGGTCACCCGTCTCTGCAACATGGTCGCCGGTTTGAGCAAACGTGCGACAACTTTGCTCAAACGAGTGGCCCGTTTGACCAGACGAGGGACCCGTTTGCCAAAGGAGTGACCTGTTTGCTCAAATAGGTGACCTTTATGGCTCAGACGGGGGACCCCTTTGACCCATACGGGCGACCCTTTTGACAAACTGGTGACCGGTATAGCTAAACAGTTAGCGGTATGAACTTGCTTACTTTCATATAGGCGCCAACTGTTTTTTTTTTTTTCAGTAGGGTAATCAGAGGTATCAAAATACTGCTTGATTTCTTTCATATCCATACTAAAAAAAAACATTTGAAATTTAAGCGGGTGGGAAAACTGGTCGACGCGTTTGAATCAAATGGATGGCAAACCTGTCGGTCTGTTTGGATCAAACGTGATTATGGGATACGGGTACCGTTTCGGACGACCCGTTTGATTCAAATGGGTAGAAAACCTGTCGATACGTTTGGATCAAACGTGAATATGGGATAAGGGCACCCGTTTGAAACGGTGCCCGTTTTGATACGGGTGCCCGTTCGAACAGGCACGCGACCACACATTTGAACGAGCCATTCGGATAGGCAAATTCTTTTGGTATTGGCGGTTGCGGCTTATCGAACAAATCATCGCTTAATACGAAATAAATGGCTGGACATTTTTAGTAGTCATCGTTTCTAATTAATTTCATTGACTATTTGTTGCCTTTTTTTCTTCTTTACATTTGTTATCTTCAACTGTTTAGCTAGAGGATAGAGGAATTTAAGCGGGAGATATTTTATTATTCCTTCCATTTATATCAAAAATGTTTTTCAAAGACATTTTATATATAAGAGGACATTTTCTAACATTTTTAATTTTTTTTAAAATCGACAACGGTTTACTTAATCAGCTCGTTTCTAATATGAAGAAATCTACTTGTCGTATTCGTGGCTTTCGTTCCCGTAGTCGTCTCTATGAAGGGAGAAGAACTGCATCAATCAACTAAAACAAGCTAACAATGCGGAGGAAACCGGATACAGCGTATGCTATGTCTTTCGAATAAAGAAAGTTTTAAGCGACGGTGTTTGCGGTGTAAGACACCACGAGTACCGATGTTTCAGCGCCAGCTTCGGTGATGACACCGCTGTTGTCAGCGGCTCGTTTTGGAGGTTAACCTCCTCGTTCAGGCGCATCTCACCCAAAGCAGAGTTGCAGTTGAGCCTGGCAGTCGCCATCGAAACTCCTACCGAAAACGTCAGTGGACCTTTTTTTGTTCTGATACTCCCCGTATCATAGAGCAACCTTCACTCGCTCGTTGGGAGCTATGCGCACCCCCAAAACAGAACGGATGAAAGTTGCAGACAAGAAAAGTGACGCGGTAACAACCAGAGAGTGCAAAGCAGACGGCGACATGTAGCCTAAATGATTGTAGAAACAAATGAGACAACACGAGAGTTTTCTTTTTATTATTTATTTTATTTTTTATGTTTTATTTGCGGAATAAAACAGTCATCCACTAAGAATTCATGCAAACAAAAAAGCGCGTTGGTCCTGGTTGGAGAAAAATTGGGGCTCCAATGAGTCGTGCAGAGGGCAAAGAATAGATCGTATGATGTTGAAACGAATACAAATGTTTGTACTGTGGCGAATTAGAGCCGTCATGCGAACGTGCTAGACCCAACGTGGAGTGGTTAAGAAGAAACCGAGGTGGACAACGACCAGGCCGAAAGCCACCATCAGGAAAAAGGCCCAGCAGGAGACGGCTGTGTCGGCAAAATGTCCTCTGAAGGCAAAATCAAAGGGTCCAAGC